ATTTCTTCTTTTATTTTCTTCTCTCTCTTCCAAACTTAATTCATAAAATACAGCGGACGTGTTCAATAAATAATATAAAAATGTTGTAATATATACATATACATGAACAAACGGGTTGGCACTATTTTGTATTATATTAAGATTTTTTTTCTTTTTTTTCAAATTTTTATTTAGCGCTAGGCTATTATTGCTGCCGATAGTAGAAATTCTCCCTTTAAAATAAATAAACCAACTATGTTTATTTTGTTACACATTATTATATCATTCGCCAAGGAGACTGCAAAAAAAAAAAAAAGAGAAAGAAAATGATTAATATTAATTTTTTTTTTTTTTTAAGATTGAATTAATATAAATATTATATTGCACAAAATATGCAGATTACATTATTGTTCCTCATTCGTTTCTATAGTAAATTTGGAAAAAAATATAGCTGAAGTTTCCATAGTCCTTGATGACTTGAGATTATTGTCGAGTGACATTTTGAAACGATTAAAAAAATTTCTTATAATTTCCCAGCGATCCGAAAACTCTAAAGACTTTCAATTTGGATTAATAATAATAATAATGAGGCTTAGCGAACCCGAAGGTTCGATGCCGACACCACCAATCGCTTGTTACACACCTCCCTCCACCGTTCGCCGTCCAAACCCAGTCCCTTCAGATCGGCCTTAATGCAATCTTCCCACCTTCGCTTCGGTCTACCCCTCGGACGCTTACCATTCGGCACAGCAAATATTAACCTTTTAGGAATTCTCTCGTTACTAAGCCCAACAACTTTACAAGCCCATTTGATTCGCCTCGATGAACTTACCTCAATTATATTATCCGGATACAGCTCATGCAATTCGGCGTTGTGTAACCGTCTGAACTCTCCGGTTAACTCATCCTTCTTCGGTCCGAATATTCTACGCAATACTTTATTTTCAAAAACCTTAAGACGCTGCTCATCCCTTAATGTAAGCGGCCAAGTTTCGCATCCATAAAGAACTGTAGGCAAGATAATTGTTTTATAGATTCTAATTTTTAAGTTTCGGGACAAGAGGCGCGAACTAAGTAGTTTTGTCACAGAAAAATAACAAGCATTCCCCGCCTTCAGTCTAACCTTAATCTCTTCTTCAATTTCGTTTTTTCTAGTTATCGTAGAACCTAGATACCTAAATTTATCTACCTGTTCAAACATATTACCATCTATATCGATATCACCAGTAGTATCGCCATTTTTGCAGCTAACCATATATTTTGTTTTATCCACGTTTATTTCGAGTCCTAGTTCTTTACCGGCTTTCATTAACGTTGTCGTATTTAGTTTTATAGTTTCAACGTCTTCGCTTAACAGTACCAGATCATCAGCATAGCCCAGCACGGATGTTGTCCCGCCCAGATCCAACCCTTTCTCGGTTCGCATTACCTCCCTAATGGCATGTTCTAATGCCAAATTGAACAGGACAGGCGAAAGAGAATCCCCCTGTTTTAAGCCCGAACGAACCTCAAATTTTTCGGACAAATTATTACCGATTCTAACTTTATTGAGTGTCTCCGTCAAGCACATCCTGACTAGATTTACTAGTTTTTTTGGAATCCCCTGCTCGATTAGAATATTATACAGTTTCTGGCGGTCAATAGAATCGTAAGCCTTTTTAAAATCTATATACAGCTGGTGAACAATACCGTTATACTCCAATTTTTTCTCTAATATTTGCCGTAAAGAAAATATTTGATCAATTGTCGAACGATTCCGTCTAAATCCGCATTGGTAGTCTCCGATAATTTCCTCGGCGTATTCCGTGATTCGACTGGTTAAGATTGAAGTGAATATTTTATAACATACCGGAAGGAGTGAAATTCCTCGATAGTTATTACAATCCGTCCTCGGGCCCTTTTTGTGAATCGGAATAAGAATAGATTCTTTCCATTCTTCAGGTAATTTCTCGTTCACCCAGATCTTTTTAACCAACCGATGTATTTTAGAAACTCCAGCTTCCCCGCATGCCTTAATTAGTTCAGTAGGAATATTATCGATTCCCGCTGCTTTATATGATTTTAATTTTCCGATAGCTACTTCAACTTCCTCTTTACTTGGTCCTTCTATTAACGGTTCAGCACTCTGGTACTCAGAAGGAGGACACAGATCATAATTTCCCGTATTTAAAATATTGTCAAAGTGGTCCTTAAACTTATTCAATATGTCAACCGGATCGGTCAGAATATTGTTATTATCATCCCTAATTCCAGACGTTACGGGCCCTACATATTTACGTGATCTGTTTATACCTTTGTACATGTCTCTTACGTTATTTTCGATTCTATTAGTTTCTATTTCAATTATTTTATTTTTAAGATACTCCCTTTTTTTATTTTTGAGCAATTTTGTCGTTTCGTTCTTTGAGATTCGGAAGTATTCCAGATTGTCTTCGCTAGGATTATTTAGAGCTTTTAATTTAGCGGCTTTTCTTTTTTCACACATGTTTAAGCAATCTTCATCAAACCACGGTTTGTTATTCTTATTTTCCTTTTTTCCTAGACACGAGTTACCGACCGCTTTAATATTATCCCTGATCTCTATCCATAACTTGTCAATATCCTCGTGGTCCTCGTCAGGAAGCTCTAAAGCTTCAAACCTATTCTTAACATCTAGCTCGAATTGGTTTCTAATTGATGGATTTTTTAATTTTTCCAAATTAAAATTCTCAAAATCGAAACGGTTTTCTTTTCTCTTTTTTATATTAAGTTTTTGTCGAAGTTTCGCGATTACTAATTCATGATCCGACCCACATTCTGCTCCGCGATAAGACCGTACATTAATTATACTGCTTTGCCAGCTATGTTGTATCAAGACATGATCGATTTGATTTCGTGTTTGCGAATCCGGTGATGTCCAAGTATATTTATGAATATCCTTGTGTTTAAACGTCGTACTTTTAATTATCAGGTTTTTCGAGATGGCAAAGTTTATCAGACGGATCCCATTATCATTACTATATTCGTGCAAACTTTCTTTACCAATCGTCGGAATATAAACTTCTTCCCTTCCTACCTTTGCGTTCGCGTCACCTACAATTATTTTCATGTAGTTTCGCGGTAGTTTATCATAAACCCATTCGAGTTTATCGTAAAATTCACTTTTGACTTCATCGTCACTGTCTTCGGTCGGACAATGTATGTTTATTAATGCGATTTTAAACCAACGTCCCTGAAATGTAGCTACCGAAATTCTATCACTAAAGAATTGTACGTCACTCAAAGCGGATAATAATCTACTCCTAATTAGAAACCCGGTACCCAAACAATGATTCCCGCTTCCTCCGTACCAAATAGTGTACTTTCCTTCCCTCATCGAGCCCTCCCCTGGCCAGCGAACCTCTTGCAGAGCCACGACATCCAAATTGTACCCATTTACCTCATTCGCGACCGATTTTAGCCCCCCTGCTGTGTTTAAACTCCTTACGTTCCACGTACCAATATTTAAATCCCTATATTTCAACTTGCACCATGAATCCCCTAAAGCAGTCCCCACCCGGAGACCCGAACGGGGGACTAGTTTACCTCCGGATAATGAGCGTTTTACCTTAGGGAGATCCATGACTTTTTGTGGTGTTTGGTGAACTAAAGATATGTGAGTAGGGTGTTCAATCCTACGTCACACCCTCCAGCAAGTCTGGTGGGCCCCTACCTCCAGCAAGTCTGGAGGTCCCCTCCCTCCAGCAAGTCTGGAGGGCCCCTCTCATTGTTGGTCAGCGAGTCCATCGGACTTAGCCGGGAGGAACTTCCAAGGAATTTCCACCGACCATCCCCACATCCGCCACCCGTGGGACGCTCCCCATACGCGGTAATGAGCCCGCGCGAGGTTCAATTTGGATTATTATTTATTATTTATTAACGAAACAAAAATGTAGAACATTTGATTAAATTTGCAATCAGCAAATTTCTTTGCAATGAGCAAATTTTTTGTCAGCTTCGCAGCTTCCTGTCATGTCCGGGATATAAATCAGATCAGCAGGTCTCTTGGACAACGCCTGCGTAATCGTCGTAGTGGGCTGTACGGGTTTCTTGTACGATGAAGAATTTCTGTCAGGGAATTCATGTTGTACGTCAGTCTTTGGTGAAAGTTATTGTATTTTTCTTTTGCAGTATCTAAAATTATAGGTACGTTTAAGTCTTTATGTAGTGTATCGTTGTGTATCTTTATGTATTTGGATTAAAAAACACAAAATACGTTTTTATCCTTTTAAGTTATTAACGATATACCTACCTGGGGACCGTAATTAGTAGTTCTGGTAAGATAGACGCCGAAATATCAAGTAGAATATGTAAGGCGAATCAGGTATATTACCAGACTACTAATAGCATTATCGGCCATCGCGAAGTAGACAAGAAGACCAAAATGCACGTATATAAGTCTGTTTACCTACCTACACTCACCTACGGCGGAGAAAGCTGGACAATGCTAGACAGGCACTCTAGTCGCATAACGGCAGCAGAAATGAGGTTCCTTCGCAGATCTGTTGGCAGAACTAGAAGGGATCGCATTAGGAATGGAAGCATTAGAGAGCAGCTAGGAGTTGCCGAACTTAAAACTACTTTAGAAAGACGGCAACTCCAGTGGTTTGGACACGTCTGCCGCATGAATGAGAATTTGAATCCTATAAGGATATTAGAGGCTCGACCCACAGGAAGGAGACCACGCGGACGCCCCAGACTCACGTTCCAGGATTACATTCAAAGGATTGGGTGTAAAAGAGGCAAAACCCTTAATGAGATGAAGCGACTAAGCAGGGACCGGGAAGAGTGGCTGCACTGGTTGAGGCTCCTCGACGCTAATTAATGGCATAAGAGGAAGACAAAGAAGAAGAAGAAGAAGTTATTAACGATCAGTTCTACGAAAAAGAACTATCGAATTAGTTACCTGACTTGATGCTTCAGAAAAGTTTTTTGACTAATTTAGTTCTCTTAATGTTAATCCTACAAATTAATCAAAAACTAAAAATGATTAAAGAACTTACGCAAGGCAGACCAGGCGCCCACGACACAGAGGAGAACGATGCTAAGCTGATACAACATGACTAGTGTTAACGGCGGGGATGTTACCTTTTTATATTTCCAATTTTTCAAGGAAATTACGACAATTATACGTAATTAAAAATAATAAATTGTAATTAAAGGTATGAATCGCTCAGTTTACAGACTATTATGTCAATTATACCTCAAATTGCCATTGCATGTTGGAGGCGGTCCACAAAAAAAATAAAATTTGCAGAACTATCATGATCATGAAAAAAAATAGTAAACAAATCAATAGTAGTAAACGCAATGCAAGATAAGATCTCTAACTCTCTAGGGTGTATGGTGAAGTGGCGGAACTAACCCCCTTTGCGTTTAAACCAAAAAAGCCTTGAGTGCGTAGCAGACCATGGCTATCTCTCACAACCCTCATTTTGCTATTCCTTGTCTCACTGTCTTTAGAAATCAAACTTAAATCCTTCCAGTCCAAAGTCCTTCGTACAAAAATAAATGCTCCTTACTGCGTTACAAACAAAAGTCTACATCATGATCTTAACATCCCTTATTTCTTTGAAGTTATTCCATCCCAATTTTCAAATTTTCATCAGAACCTAATCCATCATCCTAATCCCTTAGCACAATCCTTACTCAGCTCCAGCCATCCCTACAATCCTTCTCGCAGGTTAAAAAAGCAGTGGTCTCGAGATCTTTTGTAAATACGTTATTGGAGTCCTGGCAATGACTCCATTTAGTGGCTTTAGTGCCCTTTCTCAGTCTCCACTGGATCCCCATTTCAGTGATACGGTTGACAGAGAAGCGCTGGGATCTCTTAGTGTCTTGCTTTATCTTCCACACGTGGGGGGAAAGGGGCCGACTTGGAGCTCCCTCGGCTGACTGTAAATATTGTAAATTGTAAATGTTTTTTTTTTTCTTTTCTTATTTATTTTTCTTATTTTTGTTATAATTTCTATTATTTTTGTAATTGTATATATTGTATGAATGAGATTCTTATATGCCAAATATTCAATGCTCTTGATTGAGGCAAAATGTATTTTTTTCTCAACTAAAAAAAAAAAAAAAAGAAAGAAATCAAACTATATATCCTTATAAATAAAGATATACATTTTTCCTTTATCTCTGCCAATCTTGCTCTATTTCTCTCTAGTTATCATTCTTGAATTGAGGATCTAAGTCAAAATAGTGGAATAAAATTCAATCAAAATACGTTGACGTCCTGTATATAATTATTTATTCTTTCTTGCTTCAGTTTTGTATCGATTAGATTGTATGATAGGTTAATTTCTGACGGTCCTCAATTGATAAACAGGAATAAATAAACATTTATACAGGGTTAAGTGGCCAAACTGAAAAAATGAAATAAGGTCTTCAAAACAAGAAAAAAAATCTCTGAAGATATTTAGGAGATATTCACACCTAAAGATTTTCGTTGTTATGAATTATTTACGTTATATTAAGTAAATAAAACCTATTTATTTGTTCTAACTACTTTATTAATTAAATTTAAACATTAACATTCATATTGAATGTTGTTCAAAGTGATTTCCTTGAGAATTAAGACAGGCTCGACATCTTTCTTCAACAGCAGCAGTGGCAGAACGGCACTGGATATTTGTTATTGTTTGACAAGATTCAATTATCCTTCTTCGTAAGGAATTAAGGTCATTGACTGGACTTGCATAGACTTTTTGTTAATGTCACTTCAAAAAATAAAATCCTGTGGTGTCAGGTCTGGAGAGCGTGCAGGCCAAGCCACTGGTCCAGCTTGATTGGGATATGATTGAGCAAGTTCAGTCAATGGCCTTAATTCCTATCTTAATTTCTTCCTTAATTCCTATCAATGACCTTAATTCCTATAAATTTCTTCAATAACATGTCTTGTATGATTCGGTGAAGTAAATTTTTATTAATTTTAACAGTTTGAACCCTTGCAAATATGTTAAAAATTAATGAGTGATTTAGAAAGAGAAATGTATATTCTAGATGCTTTATCTTAAGGCGTTTTTCGTTATTGTTGACCATTCAATTACAAATGGCGCTTGATTTTCAGCGTTAACGATTTAAATTGACGTTAACGATTTAAAAGAATTGAACTATACTGATATTTTTTTTGCCAAGGGCTAATTATTTTTTAATTTTCTTTTACGTTTTATTTTTCTCTGACTATTCAGCTTTAATAAAAGACCAATTATGACGAAATTAAGCCAACTACTAAATCTTTGTGAACGAAAATTCAACTCAAATCAAAGGAATCTATCCGTCATGTTTGGACGCCATTTTAGGACAGTACGGCTACACGTTTTTGTGAAAACATTGGCTTTTTTTTTTCAATAAATAGTTACAAGGAACACAGCGGTATGAATTTTATAGAGATAAGGTATACGTGTAATACCTACATAAATCACATGTTTTCAAGGAAATTAAATGAAATTTGCTTACTAAATGTATTATTTTAACATTCTTTTTTTTAGTTTGATAAAATATTTAAAATCCACGGATTCAAGGCAATGACACTGTTTAAGATACTATTTCATTGTACTTGTGTGAAAGAAGAAGTGAAATATAAAAATATTTTATGGATATGTTTATAGCCTTAAATATATTTACTGTAGTTTAATAAATCCAGATCTGATATTGTATTTAAATAATTAGGTATCTATCGTCCGTTTATTCCGAAAGATCGTCACGTAACTTTTTAGAAAATTAAATTAGTGAATAATTTGATGAATTTTTCCTTCGTGACATTCCAACATTATTATGTCCTCCTCTAAAGTACCTTTAATTTGGTTTATTATAAATAATAATTATTTCCCATTATTACTAGTTATGAAAAAGAAGGTATACGTATAATATATCGTTGGAAAGCGGAAAGTTAAAAAAAATATGTCTAATATAGAAAATTGTAGAAGGTAACGGAGAGTGGCGAAAAAAATATAAATTATAATTTCTAGAAACTAACATTATTTAACGTAAATCACATGTTTTCAAGAAAATTAAATGAAATTTGCTTACTAAATGTATTCTTTTAACATTTTTTTTTTTTAGTTTGAAAAAGTATTTAAAATCCACAGATTCAAGGCAATGACACTGTTTAAGATACTATTTCATTGTACTAGTGTGAAAAAAAGAAGTGAAATATAAAAATATTTCAAGGAATGTTTATAACCTTAAATAAATTTACAGTAGTTTAATAACTCTTGATCTGATATTGTATTTAAATAATTAGGTATCCATCGTCCGTTTATCTCATGAAAAAAAATCATGTAACCTTTTAGAAAATTATAGAAAATTAAGTTAGTGAATAATTTGATGAATTTTCGCTTTGAGGTATTCCAACAGTATCCATATTTCATATTCCAATTTCCAATTAGTGTGACAAGTTTTGACTTATCTTTGACAAACAACGCAAATCTCTATTCGATTTTAGTTAATTTTGTAATAAAAAATAACAGTTTCATAACTAATAGTCGTACAATCCATAATCAACGGATTGTTCAACCTATAATCAACCGGTGATATAATAATAGGACATTTGCTATTTTAATAGTATTTATGATTTGTTAGTAAGCTGCTAAAAATGCAATTCAAAAATTGTATAATAGCCCAACATAATTTATAATAATAGCAAGAAAATAATTTCTATTCAAAGTTGAGCGGTATGTGAAAGTTGTGTTGCGCGCACCAGATTTTTTTTAATTAAACAGTTATTACTTTGTTTCATTTCTCATTTCTGTTGTATAAAGTTCTTGAAATTTTGTATATAGTTTCATTTTAAAAGTTTGTTTAATTTTTTTTGTATATTTTTTAGTTTACATTAGATATTTTATTTATTCAAAGTAGTTCCCTAGGCCAGAAGTATTCCTTTGTTGTAGAAGTATGTTGTTATTCATAAGATACTTTGTCCCAGAATAAAGTTATTTCTCTATCTATCTATCTAAACTAAAACAGTACGGTATTTTAATAGATGATTACTTTAACAGTTTAGGTTAACTTAGGCATCCAAAATAAGACACCAACTATACTTGCTAATAGATAGATACAGTCCTCTGTAATGTTCGCTGTAGATATGTTCATGAAGTTCATACATAGTAATTTGTTGAGGGGGGAAGGGCTGAGCCCTCATTACTAGCGTATCCTGGAATTAATTTTTTTGGGGAGGAGGCTTCAGCCCGGAAGCTTTTTTTTCCCATTTATATAACGATAATTTCTTTGGAAAAACAGAAAGATTCGAACTACCTACATGAAATAGTGTTTAAGTGATTCTTGAAGTCATATTAAATGTAATTAAACGATCAATAATACTTTAAGACATAATTTTTGAATATTTTTTACCATAAAACATGGTTATATTTTACCATTTTTAGGGGGGAGGGGCTTCAGCCCGAAAGCCCTCTATGATAAACCCAGTTTTGATATACGGTTGCCAGAACAGGATAATCACCATTTGGTTATTTGGACTCAGGAGACCTCAATACGTGGCTTTTCCTTAAAAACTTGGATTCAGATATTTCCACGATTGAAATTATTTACCTTACTGTATATTTCATATATTGGTCAGTGAAAATAAAAAACGCTGCAAATTATTTCACAATGGTTTATTATTTCCAAACAATTATACATCTAAAGTAACATTGCCTTCCTAGTTACAAAGAAAAATAAATAAAAGGTGATTATTGGGCTAAACTTTTTTTCTTTAATCATTAGTAATATGCTAAAAAAATAGCATTACATCAGTAACACATTCAAAATTTAAAAACCAAACAAAGGATATAACATTTGGAGTAGAACATATAAAAAAAACCGGAGACTTTAGGAAATTCCGTAAACTTAAAAAAAAAACAGATTCAAAAATTTTCTCGATCGCAATACTTACCCTTACTATATACTGCATATATACGTAAGTGATTATTGAAAATAATAAACCAAAAATATTTAAAAATCGCGATAGCTCTACTAATAGTGCTTTGGTTTCGATGAAATTTCCTTAATTTTGTAGGAAATTTAAATATCTTTGAAACATCTTATCACAAAATCAACAAAAAAGTGTAAAAAAATTTTCAGCTTCTTTTCGTTGAAGTATGTTATATAGATAAATTTAATGGGCGTCAAGAAAATGACTTTAGCGAAGTTTCTTTGAAATCATTCGTTTAGGAGCTACAGTCTATAGCAACGCAGGTTTTTCGGCCGCCATTTTGAAAGTAAAATGCGGATAGTAATGTCGATGAAGGAGGATCAACCTCGGGTGACCTCTGATTAAATATCCAAATTTGAAAAAAAATCGGTCCAGTAGTTTCGGAGAAAATGCGAGGCGGACGGATAAAAATATTTTTATTCGTCTTTCGAATTCTACGCATCCTGAAACGTGATACCTCAAATTTTGAGAGGGGGTTGTGTTTTTTAATATTTTGGTCGATCACAATTTTCAATAATGAACCAAAATTGGATCTCGAAAAAAATGTGGATCGTTGCAATGTTGATATTTTAATATAGAATATTCACTTTCCTATATGAGACATCTATTCTTCACTTATTTGATTATTGCAGAATTGAATTTATTCAATGATACGGAACCAGTTACTTGAGATAAATGTTTTGAAAGATAAGAAACCACTTATAAAACAAATCAATCGAAAGTTTCTATTCGGACGAAATGGTGCCGTTACTTTTCATATTCCTCTTGTTCGGTGATTCCTCCGCGAGGATGAATGATTTCGACCCGTTGGTGGACCGAGTCGTGGGTCATATAGACAACACCGTCCACTTCTTCGGCTACGACCACTTCGACATACCTCCCATAAACAAGACCTTCTACAAGAAGCTCGGTTTCACTGACGTAAAAGCTGGCTTGGTCTGCGACAGAGGGTCGGTGGATATCGCCTTGATGAAGAGATGGGGTCCCGCGAAGGCCGACGTCTTCGACGGCTATTTCACCTACTCCATGTCCCTGGATGTTCCGGACATGAAAGCGGAAGTAGGCCCATGTACCTTCACCATGGCGGGCGGCTTCGCGGTTTCGGGACACTACAAAGCTCGCGTCAACACTACAGTTGTAGGAGTCGGTCTCAAAGTGATCCAAGAAAAAAAGAACTGTAGAGTACAACTGACCGATTTGACGGTGGACATCGGAGGAGTGGATATCTACAGTGGCGCGAGCTTCATCCGCGCGTTACAAGATTGGACATTTGACGCCGTAGCCTACATGGTCAGGGGTTCTGTCGTAGAAAAGGCGAACGAGACCATCGAGAAGTTTGTGAAACAAAAACCACAGGATCTGGTGCAGTTCCCCTGTTTCAAGCCAATTAAGGCCGAAACGTAGTGATAGTGCGTATCAAATGTTTCCAATAAATCTACAAGTAACCTTAAAAAATAAGAACTTAGGGTAAGCTCACCAGTGATGGACATAGCTAAGGAAATTTTTGTCTTTTTTGCATTATGCCACTATAATTATTGTAGTTATAAACTTCTCCGTTTGACATTTAAAATCTCTATTGTCTCCTTTTTCTATTTAACGCTTTAAAATTGAAAAAATATTCAGTCAAGCATTTATAATCTTCATTAAAAAAAACTCTTTTTGCACCGCTGCACAGTGGGGCGAACCTATGCATTTGGTGGACATAGGACCAATATCTGAAATTTCGAATTTCCTCATATTTTTTTTATTAAGCTGTTCTTTGTTTCTATTATCATTTTCCATCGTCAGTTTTTTTTTTTTAATTAAATATTTCCAGCTAAGATATCTTATTAAAACGACCGTCCATGGAAAATGTCCTTTTTAAAAAAAAAAAAGGATATATCGCGATATCTCATCTCTATTAATAGCGCTTTGATTTCGATGAAATTTCCTTCATTTTGTAGGAAATATAAATATCTTTGAAACTAAATATAAATATCTTCAATTTTTGTCTTTTTTGAGTTATACCACCGTAATTATTATAGTTATAAACTTCTCCGTTTGACATTTAAAATCTCTATTGTCTCCTTTTTCTATTCAACGCTATAAAATTTTTTCTATTATCATTTTCCATCGTCAGTTTTTTTTTTAATTAAACATTTCCAGCTAAGATATCTTATTAAAACGACCGTCCATGGAAAATGTCCTTTTAAAAAAAAACAGGATATATCGCGATATCTCTATTAATAGCGCTTTGCTTTCGATGAAATTTCCTTCATTTTGTAGGAAATATAAATATCTTTGAAACTAAATATAAATATAAATATCTTTAATTTTTGTCTTTTTTGGGTTATGCCACCGTAATTATTGTAGTTATAAACTTCTCCGTTTGACATTTAAAATCTTTATTGTCGCCTTTTTCTTTTTAACACTTTAAAATTGAAAAAATATTCAGTCAAGCATTTATAATCTTCATTAAAAAAAAAACTCTTTTTGCACCGCTGCACAGTGGGGCGAACCTATGCATTTGGTGGATATAGGACCAATATCTGAAATTTTGAATTTCCTCATATTTTTTTAAATAAGCTGTTCTTCTTAGTTTCTATTATCATTTTCCATCGTGATGAACCAAAATCAATGAATCAACTTTATCACGATAATTTAACTTTATTATCATAATTTAAGTTAATGCAGCTTGAACGTTTATAGACTATTAAAGTTTTTTTTTTTAATGAAATTTAAAACATCCATAACGAAAATCGCTCAGAAATCTACCTCCACAGAAATTAACTAGGTTTGTAGTTTACTTTTCCATTAATAATTACCAGCAAGTTCGTGCCAGTTTACGAGAAAACATTTTTTTTTAATTTTTTTTCCTTTTAGCTCTTGCTATTTTTCAAAAGTTGTCCCTATAAATTCCAGTTTCTTTGTTTTAAATGTTTGTTTATACTCCATGAACGTATTATTGTCTTTAATCCTCATGAATTGTAAAAACAATAAAGTCAATCAAGAAATAAAATTCAGTATCGGGATAGCTTTAATAGCAATATGAACAAAAATTGTGACGTTTTTTACTTTTTCTGAACAAACCATATAAGTTTCCAAAGATTATTACTGGGAATATGGACAGGGATTCACGATTTTGGAATCGAAAAAATTCCTAAGAAAAATGAGTTCTGTGTGCGAATAGAAGTTTTGTGGAAATTTGTGTTCGCGTTGGATAAAATTTAATAGGAATCTATCTGACTTTTTAAAAGGTAACTAAAATTTTATTGTTCTTCATGAATTAAATTTTGATCTACTTTCATCGCCTTCGTCATCGTTAGCTTAAACTAACGTTCCATCCCGTTCTCAGTGTTTTGATGTGCTATGTGATTGATAGACAAAAGCGAAGAGAAAACTCAAGAGTATAAGAGAAGCTCCGAATGATAAGTTTTTATATTCCGTGATAAAAAGATTTAATAAATCTGATGATGATTTCTTATTTACGGTCAAAAATGACTAGTTTAAAACAAGAATTATCACCTAATACTCTAAACTTGTTGATAAATTAATTTTTTATACTTTTTTTTTAATATTTTATTAAACCAACATACCTATAGATAATTTAAAAAAAAATTTTAATACATAATTATGTACAAATATAATTAGTAAAACTGGTGATATCGATATAGATGGTAATATGTTTGAACAGGTAGATAAATTTAGGTATCTAGGTTCTACGATAACTAGAAAAAACGAAATTGAAGAAGAGATTAAGGTTAGACTGAAGGCGGGGAATGCTTGTTATTTTTCTGTGACAAAACTACTCAGTTCGCGCCTCTTGTCCCGGAACTTAAAAATTAGAATCTATAAAACAATTATCTTGCCTACAGTTCTTTATGGATGCGAAACTTGGCCGCTTACATTAAGGGATGAGCAGCGTCTTAAGGTTTTTGAAAATAAAGTATTGCGTAGAATATTCGGACCGAAGAAGGATGAGTTAACCGGAGAGTTCAGACGGTTACACAACGCCGAATTGCGTGAGCTGTATCCGGGTAATATAATTGAGGTAATTTCATCGCGGCGAATCAAATGGGCTTGTAAAGTTGTTGGGGTTGGTAACGAGAGAATTCCTAAAAGGTTAATATTTGCTGTGCCGAATGGCAAGCGTCCGAGGGGTAGACCGAAGCGAAGGTGGGAAGATCGCATTAAAGCCGATCTGAAGGGACTGGGTTTGGACGGCGAACGATGGAAGGAGGTGTGTAACAAGCGATTGGTGGTGTCGGCATCGAACCTTCAGGTTCGCTAAGCCTTATTATTATTATTATTATTATTAGTAAAAGTAACTAATTATAATATTTTGATTAAAATATTTATAGATTTTGTTCATGTTTTTTATTGTGAATTGAATGGTACCTACTCTTATATGGAAAAGAGGGGTTTTGGTTTGCTGAAAAACCCCGTAACCCTTTTATAAGGATACGGTTGCCCTATCAAAACAAGTGACTTAAGTAAAAGTTGCTGGAAATAGGGTGTGGAATAAATTCACGGCGTCAAATCATAGGGTTCCAATTAAAAAAAAAAAATTCTTCTGGGCCACTCTGTACATCAAAATTAAGATCTGAATACAGAAATCAATTCCTCATTAAAAAAATAATGGGGGTTTATGTTTAACTTTTTTTCGTATGTCGATAAAACTACAATGTCCAATAATTTGGTGTTTCGCTCCAGTGTGCGCTGGACATTTTGAAATTCAATCGTTCCAGTAGTTGACAGGGGGTCGGTGTACCAGTAATGGACATACCTCAGAAAAATTCTAAAATCTTTACTTAACTATAAAGATAAGATAAATGTTCAACTTAATATCATCAAAACTGTTAGTAGGAAGGTATGAAACACACTGATTTCAAGAGCACTATAGAAACAACAATGATAGGCATTTTAAAATTTTCTTTTGGGAACTTTGTTTATATAGTTGTCAATAGAGGGCATTGTTTTTCAATCTAGTAAAAACTGGAACCATTAAATCAATAAGGAAGCTTTTTATTTACATTTAAACTCCAACCTGTCCATCACTGATGCGTTCAACCTAATTTGTTCCCAATTTTTTATTTATTTTCATTTTCGACTGTTTTATATTGTTAATAATAATACAATAGAATAATTTTGAATATAAGCATATTGAATGCTAAATTATCAATTAGTAATTTATTTTATTTTTTTAGGTCCTTATGTATGCAAGAAGAGATTGGAACATTAATAGCAAGCTGGACATCGCTCTTTTTGAGACTACTGCTGAAAATGTAATTAAGTTTTTAAAAACATCTAAATACTATAATCTTGTTAAGACAACTCAAACATAATAAATTTTATACATATGTAAAAAAAGAAAAATATTTAGATATCATTAACTATGTAATATTCCAAGTTCAAAAATAATCGTACTGTAAATATTAAAATCTGTGTAGTATATGCTAATGACAGGGCATAAGTAGATGCATTTGTTGAATAAATAAATTACGTTTTTGTTCTTGACAAAAACGACAGAAACTTATTGTTCAAATTTTATATAAATAAATCTAAATTTTCAAAGATCATAGTTTTATTTCTAGTTAATAACTTTTTTTTTTTCCTACCCCCAGGAATTTCTTGATTATAAAATACAATATATATAAATGTATATATACATAAATTTTCAATTTCCTTTTATTGCCCAAGGGCATTTTAAGGTAAGAGGGCTACGCTGGGGCTAGGGGGACGCTGTATGCGTTCTTTACATCTGTGGCCAGAGGCCTTTTATTATACCACAGGGTGTGGACCAGTTAATAACTTATTATGGTTTTGACATTTAAATGTTTTCAGAGAAAAAAACATTAGTTGGGAATCGCATTTGCCACAACCTAATATAAATTTAAAAAGAAACCAACATTTTTGAGAGGGCACATTTTAACATTATTTTGAGTTTATGAGAGGGGCAAATTGTAACAGAATTTTGAATTTTTGAGGGGGACACATTAGGAGCAACTATATGGTCTCTAGATGGTTTTTATATGTTATACTGCAAAGGTTATATCCTTTGTTTTGGTTTTTGAGTGTGTTACTGAAGTAATGCTAATTTTTTCAGCATATTACAAACGATTTTATGTTGTTTTTTTTCTTTGTAACTCGGAAGGTAATGTTACTTTAGATGTATAATTGTTTGGAAATAATAAACCATTGTCAAATAATTTGCAGTGGTTTGTAGTGTGTTACCTGGCTTTACAAGTTAGGACAGAGAGGCACACATGGAAAGTACTTGGAGCCTTAGTGGCATTACACGTCAATAAGATTATAATGTTAAATATGTTTACCGTTAACACATAATATGTAAAATATATTATATTAATGTAAAATATTTATAAAAATTAAGAGATAATTTTCACTTTTGTAAAAATTCTCCCACAAAACAGGATTTTAAGTGGCGCTTAAAGACTTCAGCTATGAACTGATTTTGGGCACAATAATGTTATAAGTAAATTTATTGTTGTAAATAATCTAGTCCACTGTTACAATCACAAAACAAATATAAGTTTATTATAAATTATAACATATATGCTAATTTACAATCCAAAAATATAAATGATTACAATGCCTCATGGTTTTACTTAACTTTTTGTTGTTCTTAAATGTTTAAAGTCTCTTACAAGTTAGTTTATCCTTATTAAATATATTCAGGGATGCCCATTCCCCCCAAGATATTTTATTTATTTCCTCTGTCTGTGCCACTCTAAAAAAGTTTATACCCCATCAAAATGTGTCCCCCTCAAAAATTTTTACACCACAAATTGCGCCAACAAATCCCCTTCTGCACACGATTTTGTTTAAGTATGGTTTCTTAAACGCTAGAATACACCAACTTTACAAGATGATAAAAAATTTATTCAATAATTGATATATTTCTTGAATGTGATTAATACAGGCAATTAAAAAGTTGATTAAACTTTCATAAAGAATAATGATTATTATATTGTTTGTTATTACCCAAAATAAATTGATTTTTTAAGTAATTTACCGATTAGAAAAAGCCCGTTAAAGAATTTCATGTCCTGAAAGGAAATTTATAACAATTGAAATTGTCTGGAGTTTATTTTTAGTACTTCCATCCAAAAAAATAAATGTCTTTCCTACTTTCAGGTCACATAAACTTGAAGGGATGTCCTCACTTTTGGTATATTAAATATTTTGATACATTCACATCCTCTAAAAAAAAATTGCAGTCTTTTCACAACTCTCCAGACCATATGCTGATCTAGAGGGAAGGAGTTTCGGGCTGAAGCTCTCCCTCCCCCCAATAGTATAATATAACCATGTCTTATGAAAAAAACATTTATTTAATTAAAAAAGTATAATTATATACTCTAAAGTAATAATCATTATATTAAAAAAAGAAGCTTTCGGGCTGAAGCCCCTCCCAAAATTAAATCCTGTATCCACTAGTGCTCAAGACCAGAGAAATAAATTCTTACCTTTTTTTTTTTTACACTCAAGAGTAGAAAAATGAGTAAAACTCCACTATGCTTTGAAAACCAAAACCTGATAGAAGAGAACTAAAAACAAAGACTTCACTTAGTGGCCTAACAAAATCTCATGACGTCACATGATTGTACAAGTTTCAACAAACCTCTATTATTTGAGCTTTTTGTTGACAGAATTACTAACTACAATTGCAATATTTTTGATTCTCAATTTTAGTAATATTTCAAGTGTGAAAATTTATATCTCTGTTCACAGTTATATATCTCAACAAAGCAAGCACCTACTTTCGAATTAACTACTTACTGTCAGTACAGATATCATAAATTTTCCAACTGGAAATATCACTAAAATGAACTTACTCAAAAATATTGGAATTGGAGTTAAATCATTCTGTCAACTGAAAGGCTCATTTAACAGTAATAAATTAAGTATTGTAAAGAAATAATAATATAAAATGACTAAAAATAAAATAAAAATATATTGACTTACCTTCAACTCCAAAATTCTTTTTCACTTTACTTCGAATCAAAAAAATAATATTCAAATTTGAGTAATACCAAAATGTTTTGTTGAAATTTAGATTGAAAGTGTTGGGGATTTTCTGAATGTTTTAGTAAAAAGGCAGAATTGTTGACTTAAAATATAGTATTATTGGAATTATCTTTGGTTAATTATGTAATATTAAAATTCATGTGAAAAAATTTTGAGTATAATTTTTTCGTCTTTGTTTATAATTTTAGTAAATAAATAGGAAAAAAAAGTATACGTTTTAATTTATATTGAATGGAAAAGGTAAAGACGGCGATTAGAGAAGCCTAGTAAATGCCTAGCTAACACAGCAGTAGACTGTAAAACAAATTTATTTGTACTTATTTTTTATACTTTCACTAAAGTATAAATGAAATATATAATAAGGGAAAGTATTGCTATCGTACAAAATTTTAATAGGCCCTTAATAGGCCAAGGTGACTTTAAAGTCACCTTCCACATTTTACTTGCCCAAGAGAGCAACTGTTTCCATTCATATATTTTTGGGCCGTAGTCCACACCCCTGTACTGTAGTCTTTCAACATTAGTACATGTGACAAAAATTGATTTGTTAATGGAAGCGAACTATTAACAATATATTGAAGCATATCACCATTATTTACCACGCTGTTTCACATTAGTCACCAGGCAAGTTCCTAATGTAAAAAAAATATATATTATTTGATTTAAATATGAACTAAAATGAGTGAATTAGTTTTAAAACATTGTATTTAAGTTCTTATGTGTTTTATTTCATATTCTGGAGAAGAATATTAGCATGAATTTTAATGATGGTGTACTCAAGTTCATCCTGGCCTAATGGCAGGATGTCAAAAATATTACAAATGTGGCCTGAGCTTCATGATTTTAATTTTTTTTTTTTCATTTTTATTCTCAAAAATGTATGAAAGTCAAGGTAAAAAGGTTTTCACTTTGCTTCCAAAACGGCTGAAGCAAAGCTGAAAAATGAAAGTAATAAAATATTTAAGATGAAAATTTCAATAATATCCAGTGCTATGAATTGTTGAGAACGTGTGAAGAAGTAGAAGATACTATTTTTATTGGAGTGCATGAACAAACATCAGTACCAAAAACATTTCAAGAACAAAATTGAGGTGAGCAAAATATTAACATTTATTTCATATTACTCAATCCCTTTTTCCCAACATATATCTGTTGTTAAAAGGAACACCCCTAAAATAAATTTGACTTTAAAACAATTTTGAATACAAATTACAGAGGATATTCTGCTGTACCGGCGAGCTAAAATAGCCAGTGGAGCCAGGACATCACCGATTGCAGTCTTGAAAAAAATAACAGCTCCAGGTCATACCTGACGCAGCAAGACTTGATAAGATGCACCATCGGAAAGTATTAACTACAAAATGGAAGTGCAGACTATTGCCAAAAATGTAAGGTGAGAATTTGTAACACCAGTGAGAGACCCTGTTTTCTAGAATTTCATGGACAAGGGAAGATGTAATGTTATTTTTTATGGATTTATGTTTGGTATTTTATTATATTTTGTTTACAATATGCTTATTTTTTATTTAAATGTTTCTTTTATTACCAAATAAATTATTTAATTAATTTTTAAAAACTATGATGTCAGTTTATTAGCAAAAATGAACTTAAAGACACCACCTTTGATTTACTGTGATTGGCCAAAGTTTACTTGAAAGACACCATGCAATATTTTTATAAAAAAAAGAAAAAAAGAAGTAAAATCATATATATTCTACTTATTTAGAACAAAAAAAAGTTTTAATTAAGGAAAAATTTTCATTTCGAGTCATTTTTAGAGTGTCTGGCCAATTAAGGGTTAAATCATAGTTTAAAAAAGAATACATGTTTGGAGGTTCCAATAGTCATAATAACCTAGTCCCATAAAATAGTCTGAGTAAATGTTAAATCTTACTAAAAAAATGACGACATATTTAACTGAAATTATGTTTTAAGATGAACATGTCTGGACGTTACAGCAATGTTTTTTTCAAAATTAACTATAATCAGAAGAGGCACTTCATACAATTTTAGGTTTGGACATAGATAGCTGCACTGTGTCCGAGGCGTACTTCCGATAAAAGTTGGTTCAGGAATACCTTTACCTTTTGAATTATTGAAGCAAGTTAGTCTACTATTCTACGTATCATAGGTGATAAACAGTAGCTGGTAACATGCTCTGATGATCACACACATGCTTGGGTTGAAACGTCGGCAATAATAAAGATCTTAAAATTACTGCGTCCTGATAATTTATCACCTATGATCTTCACTTTTTGGTGATTTCAGTGCGTTATAGTTGTATGTTACAAATGTAAATTGAAAAGTTTTGGGTCCTTTATAACCAAATCATATGTTTAAATATGAAAGAACCCTCCAGAGTCAAAATCAAGAAGTAAACCAAATATACATTTTTGTTAGGTTAGGCAAGTGGTCGAAAGAGTGCAACTCTGGCACAAATATCCACAGAAGGCACAATATTTTCAAAAAACGTGATAAGAAAATAATTACATCGTATTTTGATAAATTAAAATTCTTCTATAAATCGAGAACATGTTTAATTTTTTATGTTAAAATTTAGATAGGTAATTAAAATTTTATATTGTTGTAAAAATACGTAACGAACATCGACTTTAATAATTCCTCAATTCATCAACACCATTTTAAAACAATAATTTTAAATACTAGGGAAGCATTTATCAGCAGATTTCAGGAATTTAAAAATAGCAAAGTAACTTTAGCATTTGTCAAAAATCCTTTTAATGCTATGATAACAGAGTTGAAATTTTCTCCTTTTGAAATTGACATTGGTAGCTTTGAAATACAATTGCTGGATTTAAAAAACAAGGAGATATGGCGCACTAAATTCGAACGTCTTTGTGTTGAATTGTAAATATTGGAGAAAAAAAAATGTGATCTTAGTTCACAACACAAGTGGTCTGCTTTGAATGACCTGGAGAAGGCAGACATGATCATTTTCAACGCTTGGAATAGTATTCCCGACTGTTACGATGGGCTGAAAAAGCTCGCATTTGCTGTTCTTTCCCTTTTCGGTTCTACATATATATGCGAACAATCTTTTTCAAACATGAACATTATCAAGAGTAAACTGAGAAGTCGTCTTATTGATGAGAACTTGGAATCATGCCTAAAATTAAAAACAACAACATACAAACCTGACTTAGTCAAACTTTCCAAGGAGATACAAGCACATTGTTCGCATTAATACTTATTTAGAGTAATAAAAGTTTACTAAACAAGCAGATTTGGCTCCAAATTTTTTTTTTAAATTGTTGTAATGTTCATATTTGGCTCTTTGACTAATAAGTTTGCCGACCACTGGGTTAGGTCAACACACAGAGGCCAGCTGTGGATGTGTAGTTTCATTACGACAGAGCCGAGAAACAGCCATGGTGAATATTGGAGATGTCCCAGCCTTTTCTCAATAACAGCTTAACCAATCTTTATTAAACTCATATCAATGTACATTTGAATAGTTTTAAATATTAAGTAAGCCTTATCCTTACTTATAAAAAGGCAATAGAGCTTAAGGCCTAAGTTTCAGAACAGCTTCTTATTTTTATGTTTTGGAATAGAAATTGTGAATAATTTTACAACTAAAAAATAACAACAATTTCCAGCTTTTGAACTATCCTTAATATCCTCTTCAATTTGGATTTGTATAATTATTGTCGATACTAAATAACTAAATTTATTTGCATATTCAAATGTATTCTCTTTAAAATCTGTATCACCAAAACAGTAACCATTTATGCAGCAAACCATATATATTCTTTTATCCCTATTTCTTTACCAGTTTTCATCAATTTTGTATTAATTTTTTTTTGTTTTCATATCTTCACTTAGTAGACCAAATCATTGGTATATCAGAACAAGGATATTTTTCACCTAAATCCAAACCTTTTTGAGTATGTACTCCAAGAAATATATGGATTATTTCTTAAATACAAGCTTATCGCACCTCTACCCTCTTACATTGCAGATCCGTTATGAATTCACTCTATGAGAGGACGAACTTAGCAGATATTATACTCCTCTTAACAGTATCTAAATTAATAAGGTACTAAAATTATATACAATCGTATATAAATCAAGAATTTATTTAATATGGAATACATTATCATAAAATTATGTAAGAAAGTTCCCCTTTTTTGTATTTATTTCATTTTTATTTATTTTTTTGTCACATTTTGATGTAACAGTTTTCCTCTTTTTTTTTTTAAATTTTAATTTGCGGTTATCTCTCAATTTACCAACTACATTTTTTTAATAAAACAAGAAAATAAAAAAGAATAAAAAGAGGAACTACTCCAACAGTACTTAGGGATTCCACAACAAGGTTCCTCCTTTGCGATTCTTAACCGCAAAAGAAAATTAACACCTTCATTGTGGAACAAGAGAGGCGATAAAACCACATATAGAAAATCCTTCATAATTAAGTTCTACTGACAATTACCAATAAAGGTTTATAAGATAGTTGTTAAAATTAATTATTACAATAAATGGAAACAAGTAATTAAAAAACAACGAGAAAATATTCTTGTATCTAAATTGTTTTCTTTTTTCACGTTTTTTTTTGTCCTCTAATACATAAAAGTCATCAAAACTTGCAAAATCCTGCTGCCATTACACCGTGTACTAGAAAATCTTTCTTGTCGCATTAATATGGAAATCTGTAACTATCAGATTCCTTCTTGAACAAGATTAATTAGAATAAGTAAATATTATCCAGATGAATCGCCGAGGATTCTGTTTGCACAACCTCTTCGTAAACATTAGCTATGTTCTTTAAAAAACTTTTACCTCAACAAAACGTGCCCATAGACATCATCTATACACTCACCAACAGCTGTACAAAAGAAATGAAAAAAAAATTCATCTTGTATAAAATACAAAAACATATCTTTACGCAATTAATTAGTTACAACAATCGCTATTACTAGATATAAATGATAATTAGTAATACAAACAAACATAAATGAAAATGGATTTGACAAGTTTTGAAAGTAACCATGCTTTACAAAGAACAAGAACTATCAACAAAATAAAAATATATTCACAATTAAAATTGTTAAGTCATCAAACGAGGACTTCTTTTTGTGCTTCTACTACTCTTCTGGCTCTCCATCTCCCTCCGCAGCAACCGCTGTTGCCTCGCCTTCTTCTTCGGCGGGTTTCTCCTGGTCAGTTCCTGAGGCGGTGCCTGGCGTTGATTTAGACGCCGTGCTGGCATCTTTGTGTGCTGCCTGCATTTCGGGCCTAAACGCACAAATATATTACTAAATTTGACTACAAACAATTAAAAAGGAAAATCAAATATTTTAATAACTCTAATGCCTACTCAACAGTTTTAAGCCAAATCGTTCCTGCATAAACTTAATAAGCACTATGAGGATAATTTTAGAGCAGTCTAGAGTACCAGAGAACTCCCACATGGTGTTTTCTTAGATTTCTTGAAGTTCTTTGACAGTGGGGACAGAGGCAGAATTTGAACTCCTCTGGTAAAATGACAGATTCCAGGAAGGATTCTGAAGCAAATTTAAGCTATTTACAGGAAGTTTCAATGCTGCATGGCTCACACATCTCAGCCCATCAGCAAAACTTCTGCAATAACTGTTTGAAGCATATCTTCGGAAGTCGGTGAGCAAGAACCGTCAACCAATTCTACTGAGGAGCTACAGAGAAGGACCAAGCAGAGAAAAATATAAGATGAAATCGGTCAATAGAATGGAAATGGATTGGGCACACCTTAAGGAGGTATAATAAGGAAGGCATCTCGCCCAGGAAGCTCTTGAGTGGAATCATCAGAGTCAACGTCAAGTTGTTAGGCCAAGGAAGACATGGAGGAGTTCCATCATGGAAGAGACGAGATGACAAAATCACACATGGGTGATAACTCCAGGCAGAGACAGATGGTGTCATTTATTAAGGTCTTATACCCCATCATGAGATAACAGGAACTATAATAAAAAAGTATAATAATAATAGCAACTTAAACTCAAGAATTGACAATATAATGACGAAAACTAATGATCATAGTTAATACTGTGAGACTCAATGATACAATTCTAGAAACAGAAAGAAAACTGTTACAATAAGAACTCTTACACTTACAACTTCAAGATTTAAATTAACTTTTGTTGAAGAGGATCCAAAAAATTATTTCTTATTACTAAGAGACATCATTTCATAAAAATTACACAAATGAAGTATCCGCCACAAATCCTCTTATGTAAAAAATAAAATAATAATAGCCGAACGGGCTAACGCATGTACCCAAAACATACGTTGCTCATCAACCTAACAAACCAAAGTTTTCGATGATTTTGTCATTCTCATAATTATTCTGTAATAATGAGTTTGCATCCCGGTACTGGAGGGGCTTTTAGCTCTGGCCCTCTCCCCTAGCCCGGAAAAAATCTTTTATAGCCCAAAAGGCAAGGAAGTGATGGACAAAAACAAATAATGTACAAAAAAAAAATTCACAGATACATTATAAGTTTTATTTTCAATATGTATTAGCTCTAAACTGCTTAGATATACAATTAACTTTTATTTGTATTGGATTTCTCTAATCACAACCTAACATCTAATTGAATTTTTATATATTAATGAAAAATATTAATTACTATATTTTCCTCTACCTTTGAACAGAAAAAAAAAAAAAAAGATAAACCACAAGTTTTTTCTCTAGTCTTAAGAAAGTAAATACTTGTTAAAAAGCAAAAGTTTTTTTATTTTTTTTTTATTTATTAGATATACATATTTCTGGCTCACAATAAATTTGCCATCTACATCGGTATTCAGCAAATATGATATCAAGGACAAGAAATGATAGCATAAGAAAAAAAATAATAGTAATAACAAAACAAAAAGACAAAAAAAAAAAAGAACAAAAAAAAAAGAAAAGATAATGCAGCAAGTAGCTCAATGCAATAAGTCTCTTGGCCAGCGCCTCAGCAGTCTTCTGGACGGATTATATAGATTTGTGGCAGTAGATAGAGCTTGAGTATGTGGATTGGAATTTAGAGTCAGTCTGTCATGAAAATTATTAAAGTGGTCAATGGCAATTGCCGTGATGAAAGGAGTGTTAAGGTCAGTGTGTAACGTGAGGTTTGAAACATAAAAGGGTGCGTCTACAATTTTCCGAAGGACTTTTGACTGGAATGACTGGATGATTTTTATATTTGATTTCTTTGCTGTCCCCCATAGTTCGATTCCATATGTCCAAAGTGGTTTAATGAGGACTTTGTAAATAGTTAATTTATTATTCACAGATAATTTAGAACATCTGTCAAGTAGCCTAGAAAGAAGTCCCTATCGCCGATTAAGTTCTTTTCTTTTTTGTTTTATGTGGTATGTCCATGTCAGTCGTTTGTCCAAGTAGTAAAAGTTAAAAAAATAAAATTGAATCTTCAAGGATTTCCTTGTAAATATTTGTGTTCATATAGGAATGATAAGATTAATAGAAATTTAAATTAAAAAAGAATAAAAATAAAAATCATAAAAAAATAAAAAAGAATGCTAGTAAAGATAATAAGAATGCTTTAGTTTGAAATTAGTTTACATTTACTTAAATTGAATGATATAGATTGTCATCATTGTTACAAATAAAACAAACTTACGTAATTTGTGATGAATCAAATTTAACAGTGGTTTCTCCTCCAGCTCCAACTGTCCTGTGTTCGACCGTGATAGGGTAATACGTGTTTATTACAGCCTTGGACCAACCAGCATACTGCAAAGAAAACATCGATTAAACTAATTTAAGGTGAACACTTTTTTTTTAAATTATATATATATATATATATATATATATATATATATATATATATATATATATATATATATATATATATATATATAAATTAAACAAATAGACATTTCTTTAGAGGAGTTTAATTTGGTGCTTTGAACAAAAGAGATCATGGTAATATTAAGCATCTATTAATATAAACTTGATAACATATCTTAAACCCATACAGCGGGGCACATCGAGGGCTTAGATTATACTGAGCTAAGACCTTGATGTAACACACTGGATGTGTTCAAGATATTATCTTATTATTATATTATCTTATCTTATATTATCAAGTGTAAATTAAAAGATGCTTAACATTACCATGATCCCTTTTGTTCAAAGCACCAAATTCTATCATAGTAACAGGTTCATATAACTATTATTATGCAGTAATCGTTTTTAATTTTTATTGTCATTTATGTTTTGTAAAACCCATTCTAAACATAAAATATTGCAAATTTTATTTATTTTTAAATGGTATGTATATAACTTGTAAAACCATATTATTCTACAATAGCCAAGCTAGGCTCTATTTGTATGGGGAACCCCCCAAAAACGAATAAATTTTTATCAATCTATCTACACATGCGGTTTTCATAAATGCTATTGTTGGTATTATTTAATATTTAATTGTATAGAATACAGCGATATAAAAATTATATTGCAATGAATTGTAAATAAATATAGTGTCAATAATTTTTACTTTCACTTTCCCGTTGTCTGAAAATACTTATTTCTGCCAAATTGGTAAGTGAAAGTCGTGTGATGCGCACACCAATTTTTCATCATTTGTGTGATTTCTTTAATCTACATTTTTTATAATGTATTTTGAACATAGTCATGATGTTTTGTATGGCAATCAATTATTACAAATGAATTGTGCTACATTGTCTGTATTTAGAATAGAATAGAAAAATAATTTTATTCTGGAATGAAGTCCCTTCAGAATAACAAAAAAGTACAGAAATTAAAATTTTATATCTGGCCAGATAAAAACAAACATAAAAAGTTAAGACAAAGATAAATTAATAAAAAAAAAGAAAAAAAATTTTCATTATACATACTATATACAAAATAAAATTAAAAAATCTATATACAAAACTCTTGAAACCATACTAAAATATTTAAAACTATGTACAATGTTAAAATATAAATAAACCCTTTTAGAAAAAATAAAAAATACAGAAAAAATAAATGTAAATTCTTCTTTACAGTAAAATCTGTGTTTCTGTTGAAAAAAAAGAAAAAAGAAAGTCGAATCTATAATAAGTATTTAGGTTATGAGCTATATGTGAATATGTTATTATAAATAATATGTAATTTTACATAAAAGGTTAGCTGGTATCTGACTGTTTTTGGGACAGGAATTGGAATAGGAGGGTTTTGAATGTAGATAAGGATGAAGAATGTCGAATTTTGATAGGAAGGGAATTCCAGAAACTAACTGAACGAGCAATAAAGGAGTTTTGGAACAAGGCAGATCTGTGAGAAGGAATGTAAAGGTCGGAAGGTCGAGATCTTGTGAAGAGGGAGTGGACTGAGGACTTGAATTGGAGAAGGTAGTAGGCGTAGGAAGAACGATGATTGTTGATGATATGATAGAGGAATGTACCTAGGAAATATTGTCTTCGAATGGAGGGGAAGAGCCACTCTAACTCAGTGTAGTGGTGTATCTCGGGGCACCAATTACAAATCTCACGCAACTGTTCATTAATCTTTTCAGTCTGTCACGGAGCTCCACCGAGAGTCCATCATACACCACACAACTGTAGTCAAAGTGGGGGAAGATGAGAGAGGAAATGAGGAGTCTACGCGTATGTTGAGGTAGGAGATGGCGGAAACGATGGAATAGTTTGAGAGTAGAAACTGAGTTTGAGAGTAGAAACTGATATTCATTACTTCCCTACTTACTAGTTAGTTGTTACTTCCAAGATAGGGTAGTAAGTAGGGTGATGCACGCACCACACCAGATTTTTTATAATTATGATAGTTTTTAAAAATGTTCCAAATTTCATATTGTGTAAAATTATTTAAATTACTCTCACAAATATACAGCCATGCATTAGATGGCAGGTAATATGCTTGAAAAAAAAAATTATATAACTTACAATGGTTGTTCCTTTATATAATTCTTCACCATTGTGGACAAATTTGTCGAATTTCTGAAGTAACGACTTCCCATCAATTTTCCATAAAGGATAATTCTCCTCTTTATTATCAAAGTCAGATTTTAATAAAACAAATTTTCCAGACTGAAATACAAAATTAATTTTCATTAATATCTAATATAAAATAAATAACTGAAATAATGTAAGAATAATTACCCTAAATTCCGGAGGTATTTCTACATCTTCTGCCTCACTATCGTCATCGCTTTCTTCCTGAAAAAAAAAAACATTTATATATAGATGTAATGCTTTTTCTATAGATAAAATTTCATAGTAAAAAATACTAGGTGTTTAAAATAATATGAATTCAGAAGTTTAAATTTAATATTAAGAAATAAAATATACATCAATATTTAATCTGCATTGTTAAGAAACGGAATATTAATATTAGTAACGGAGTGGAATATAATAAGAATAGAAAAAAATGTTGATAAACCATTCTAGTCAAATTTGACTTTTTCCATGGTTTTGACCCGACCCAGCAGACTAACCTGAAATACCAGAATCGAATTTTAAAAATTTTAGACGAATATGGTTAAATAGTTTTCGATTGAATAATGTAATATGTTCATGTACATGAGACAGTATTTTTTATTTTGAGTATTTTTCAAATAGTGAAATGGTTTCAAATAAAAAAAAAAGCACTAAAATGAACACTATTATGTTTAATTCTTTTTGTTTGGTTTAAGAGTTGCAAATGAAGTTAGTTTAAGATTTTCTTTCTACTTTTTTGTTTCAGCTTAAACTTATCAAATTAGATTATTATTTATAAATCTTTTAAATCTAGGTAACATTTAATTAACTATTCTTCTGTTTTGATTTAATTTAACCTTCATTTACCACACATTATTATTTAAAAATGTACTGTATCCAATGATCACAGAAGGAAAAATGAAAAAAAGAAATATTAAGTTACATAAAGATTTGATCTAACCCAAATTTTAGATTATAATTCAATTTTGATTATGTGTCAAACTCTTATCTTGTGAGAGAAAATTCAGAAAAAAACTTGACAGACATACAGAGACAAATATGATAAAATTAAGCATCAGAAAAGTTAAATCTAGATTAAGAAAAATAAATTATATTAAAAGGAAGGAGATGGTCCGGGGTGGCGGTCATAAATAGACTAAATAGTTTCGCCACTATTTAGTCTATTTATGATTGTCACACCGGACTATCTCCATCCTTAATAATACAATGGTCAACTACTAAGTATTAAATAAATTATATAATGATTAAATTAAATGATAGGAAGATTCACTAAATCTTAATAGTGTTAGACGATTATTTAAAATTAAGCACAGGTCTAAAACCAAAAAAGTGTTATCTATTCACCTCTTCAGAAACGCTGTCTTCTTCATCCTCCAGGCCTTCTTCGTCTTCAACGTCTTCCATTTCGTCCTCTTCAGCCTCTCCTTCTGGTTGTTCTTCTGTGGTACTCTTCTTCTTCCCCCTTCCCTTTCCATTTTCATCTGTTTTGGCCTTCTTTTGAGTTACGGGTGCTCTTCCTCTACCTCGACCTCGCCCTCCTCCTCCCCTGATAGCTGTATTGCCTCCCCTCTTTCTTTTGGTACCTCTCGATTCCTCCTCTTCCTCATCATCTTCTTCGTCATCTTCGTCAGATGTGGTTTTGCCATCGAGTAATTTGACAGGCTTTCGAGCTCTTGCTGCCCTCTGTGGTCTGCCAGACTTCTTCTATAAAGAAAAAATTATATATCAATAGATTGTTTTATTTAAAGCGGCAAAGTATACAGAATACAAAAGGAATAACCAAAAACTCTAACACTGAATGCCGAGTCCACTGATTACTTTCTTTATCAGTAAGAACTAAAGACAATGAAATAATATACAATAATAATTCACATAGATAAAGACTGTGGTACATAACTTATACCAATAAAACGGTCTGTTTTAGGAGGAAAAGCATAAAAAAATAATTCAATTACGTAATTAACAATACACATAAAAAAAACTGTAACTTTAAATGGATTAATGTTAATAATGATAAAAACATTTTATTTTCACCATTTAAAGTAATTTACTATTGTCCGCTTATATAATCGCAAGCAATAATATACTAACGACCTTCTTAACACGGACTAGTTTTTTTAATCAAGAACAATCATTGCTAACTTAATAGTTTTTTAATAAAGTGTATTTCATCACAATTCTTTCTATTATTACTATACTATTGTTAGATAGAATTGAACTAATCAAAACTCACCATAAAAATTGAATTATATTCAAATAGTTTATTGAGAAAATACATATTATCTTTATGAAACCTAATGATTAAAAAGTAATACTTTATAGTTGCTAAAAAAATGTAGATTTTAGTTCAGTCAAAAAACTGTTACTTCAAATGGAATCATGTTAGTAACGATAAAAACATTTTGTTTTTCACCATTTAAAGCAATTTGCTATTGTCCGCTTATATAATCGCAAGCAATAATATACTGACGACCTTCTTAACACGGACATAATTTTTAAAGTAAAACAACTAGTTTAAACTAGATAATATTGTAAAAAAATATATAATTGATCATAATTCTTTCTATTGTTACAAATAATGTACTGCTTCCCAGATATTAGTCAGAATCAGGCTAACCCTTATTTATTTTTGTTACACAGCATCATCCCGTTACCAGGTTTTTTAAATTATTACCCAGCAATCTTTTACAGATAAATTTTTTGTGTATACCCTAATTCAGGACGTAAAACTGGATATAGAAGCCCAGGCATTTCTTAGGGTATAACCATAACAACAAAATACTGAAATTGTCATAGTGCCCTATTAACAGCTCGTTCTTTCTTACAACAATGCTCGTTCCGATGTAAATTAAATGATATAGAGATAACACAAAACATATTGATAGCTTTGGGGAGTGACGTTAATAAATCCGATAAATGAATATATACATTAAATGAGAGTGAAATAATAATAATATTTTTTTATGTTTATTATTTTTTTTTTGTCTAATTATTTCTTTTTGTTATAATAGTTATTTACTTTTCTTATCATAATATTATATTTTTTTTGTTAATTTATATATAAAGATATATATTTGTTTGATATGGGTATAATATGGAGCCACGGTGGTTGAGAGAGTTAAGATACCTGCAAAAATTTGATGTCATCTATTTAAATGGCGTTTATGAATTTTAAAAACAAAAAAAGATAAAAAATAAAAATGAGTAGTTGATCAGGGGGGGGGAGGGTGCAGTCAAATAAATACTAAATTAAACAAATAGTATTATTTAATTTTTGCCGACGTTTCGACCCACTTTGCAGGTCTTCATCAGGACTACAAAAGATACAAAACATGGTTAAAATAAAATAAATGAATATAAGTAGATATAAAATAAGAAGAAGTTGTCTGATACAGAAATAAAAAGATGATATCAGAGATATAGTATGTAAGCATGTAAAGTTAACTTACATGCTATATTCTCCTTTATTTTCTATTTTTACTCATACTTATTTTCCATTTTTGTTTGTATCTTCTACATATAATACTTGATATTTTAACTACATTGTCACCCACTATATCTCTGATACCATCTTTTTATTTCTGTATCAGACAACTTTTTCTTATTTTATATCTACTTATATTCATTTATTTTATTTTCACCATTTTTTTTATCTTTTGTAACCCTGATGAAGACCTGCAAAGTGGGTCGAAACGTAGGCAAAAATTAAATAATACTATTTGTTTAATTTAGTATTTATTTTACCGCAGCCCCTGATAAACTCCTAATATTATATTAACGGACAACCATCTCTACATAAAAAAATAAAAATAATTAATATATTAAAATTAATAAGTGCAGGCTCTATTTTCGATTGCTTAGCCACGACAGCACGGGTTCGATTCCCGCATCTAAGCTATCCTGCTGACTGAAGGAGATAAAAAAAAAATTGAAAACCAATATTTTCAATTTGACACATTTTTTTAATATACTACTTCGACATTGGTCAATCGATGTCTGGTGTCAATTTCTATATTTCACCCAGTTAAAAAAAAAAAAAAAAAAACTGCATATCTTATAACCTCATCAGTACATTTCTGCAAAAACATTTGTATGGTAACCACAAAAAAAAAATATATATATCCAAGAGCAAATATATCTTTTAAAAAATGAAGTTACCAGTCAATATTGCACAGTATTATAGTTGCAGGCTACGATAACCTAACAACTGATCAAGCTGTGCTTAGGATTATTTCTAAATTAGAAACTAATAATAAGTGTAAGTAAAAGTAACAAAAAAAAGGATTATGTTAAACGTTAGTATGATTAAACCCAAGGAGTAATCTAATCATTTTTACAGTGCTTAAATCAAATTACAATTGTGAAATAAACAAATATAATGAAAACACAAATGAAACAGTATTCACTGATCAATAATTAAAAAAAAAAAGTCTTTCATGACTGGCAAGAAGGTTCTGTGATTGAATAAGAAAGATAAGACAAGAGGATTCAATTCAAAGGATTAAAATTAATCTTGTTGAACTGTTCAATTAATCTACTTCTTTAAAAGGACATTTTTTAAAACGTGAAATTGAAATTCTTATCTATAAATATACTTGATGATATCGTATTATTAATTTCTTATGAGATGCATTGTTATAATGCATCTAAATGGCCCTAATAGATATGCTATACTTATTAAAACGCTTGTGCAGTTTCTGGGACAACTCTCTCATTTCCAAAGATCATCGACAAAGTAGAAGGAAAATTTATGCACATGTATGAAGACTAAATTCACCCTTCTGCCACTGTCAGCATGTGGTTTGTACATGCCTCAGAAAATATTCTGATTCACTTGTATATGTACTAGGCAAAAAAAAAAAAAAAAAAAAAAATCAATCCGAAAACACTAAAAAAACAGAAAAAAAATGAACATTTGATTCTAATTATTTAAATTTAATTGCTTAAACATGAAGAAGTCATACTATGCATCCAATGGGCAGAAGAAAATTATAGAATGCTAAGAAATCAGATTTTCGTATTTAATATAGTTTTTTTTCTTGTTTGAATTTTCAGATTCGATTTCTGAAGCAGATAAGGTCAGAGGTAAAAAAAGATTTCAAGTTTCAAAGTAAATTTTTGAACAATGATTAAATAATGTAAAAATATTTTTATGTAAATACATTATAATTTTTGTTTTTAAATTCATTTATTAGAGTGCTACCAGTGGGTAGTTTCTCAACAAGCGTGTTTCATGTAATAATATTTCTCTGTACAAATTTACTAGATGTATTCATACTAATACGGTTGTAAATATCATAATAAAAGTTTTAAAAAAAAAAATTCATTTGTTATTTACAAGTTTTTTTTTTCCATTCGGTAGTCCGAATTTTCCACTAATCCAAACCTCTGTGGTTTTAATTAGAATAGATTAGTAAGAGACCACTGTACTTAATAAGTAATCTTACCTCTAATAATGAATACACATTATCATCGCAAATTGTAAGGTAACCATATATAATAAAATCAATAGATAATTTAAATTAAAAAGAAAAGTTTACCTTGATTTTTATAGCACAGTATTATAGTTGCAGAATATAATAATCTAACAACTGATCAAACTATGCTTCTTAAGACTGCATCAAAATATAAAACTACGAATAAGTGTAAAAACAGCAAAATGCAGTTGCATTATAACTCGAGCATGGAGAAATCCACTTAATTCTTTAGATAAAATAAAATTGATTCCTTTAACAGCATGCTAAAAAGAATTTTGTTATTTTATAGTAATTTTAATCTGAAAATGAAGGTATTTTTACCATGGTGGTATCAGCTGAACTAAAATAAAATCTTTAGGAAATAAATAAGCATAAGAAAGTTATCATCAATATACTCTGCCAGTTAGTAGGGGTTTTGTGTTGATAAAAACAAAGCTAAAGCCCATTAGTTTTGGTGTACTAAATAATTTCTTCCTCTTTTAAGATATTGCATTTACTATTGTACTACCCTTTTTTTCCTGGCTGATATATATACTTTATTATTTCTAAAAGGCATTTTTTTTTTTTGTACATTTTGTATTTTTTAATAATTAAGAAAATCCCATTATCGATGCTTTATTTTGAATGTTACCATTCCAGTCAACATTTAAAAATAGGTCCTAGCAAAGCAGTTTGTACAAATACTTTGGTCTATTATGTTAAATGGAATATTGTAATCAACCAAGGAAAATCAATTAATTCCTCCCTCACTTAATACATAGAATCATATTTCCATATTGTATAGTATAATATAATAATTAAATGCAATATCTTAAAAGAAGAAGAAATTATTTACTATACCAAAACTAATGGGCTGTATCTTTGTTTTTATCACCCAATAACCCCTACCCCTACTCTAACTGTATCTTTGTTAATAATTGTTCAATTTTTATGATTTGATTTTTTGTTTAGTAGGTAATTTAGTAATTTTTTAATAATCATGGGTACAATCAAGAAAAAAATGCATAATTTTTTACTTATTCGCAAATAAAATTTTTTCTCCTTCATAACTTATTTTTCTTGAATTTTGGGGGACGTGACAATTTTTACCACCAGAAGGTGAAGAAGATCTTTAAGATGAGGGCTCAATAATTGGTTTTAATGAAGAATTGATAAAGTTATGGCGTTGCGACAAAAAAACACCTTTTAGAAATAATATATAACATTTTAATTACAAAGTAATAAAATTTTTTCACATAAATTATTGTTATGTTTACAACAATGGAATTGGATGAAAATAATTGGATTTACAACTGAAGATTAAAATTTTAGTTCTTAGTTGTGACCAATATAAAATAACTAATTAAAAAATTATAACATTCCCCCCCTTTAAACAACTAACGACTATAATTTGACAGACGTTTATTTCCAAAGTGAACCCCTAATCATTATTAACCATTTTTCAGAAAACTATATTTTCTACTCCGACTGTAATATCAAAACCAATATTTAAAAAAAAAAAGTTAATAAATTCTATTATTGTGGAACATATTTCTAAAAATCACTGATTATTCCAGTAGTAATTATTGAAACTTGAATAGGGTCCGCATCCCTTTTGAAAAGAAATGAACTTCAAGACTCGTTTTTGAATAAAAAGAAAATGTTGATTGGGGTTCGTTTTGGAGAGAAAAATGGTGTATGATTTGGAAGAATAAGTTATAAAAAAATTAACTTTTTGTTTAGAAAAATGGTCCATAAAATAAATTTATTTTTAATTTTCATTTTAATAAAAGCTTTTGGTGAATTTTTTTATAGGAATGCTTTTAAGAAAAACAAGTTTCATTACATTCTTGAGAAAAAAAAAAAAGGCCAGTTTCGGAAATATACTTATTTTCAGATAACTTTTTTTATATTTAGGTTTGTTTAAAAAAAAATTATAAAAAAAAAATAATAATAATAATTGCATTATCGGACTCGATTGTTTTTGCATGGTAATCACTAAAACATTATTATAATATATAGTATTTAATTTGACCACACTCCTGACTCACTCCTTCTCACTCATGTTTCTTTTTAAGTTTATTAGTAATAACTTCACACCCTTTTTTTTTATCACAGATCAAATCAATATAGGCAAACCACCGGTCAAACTACCAGTGGAAATAAAAGTACTTTCGGAATTTAAAGAAGGTATTATAAATGAAAATTAAATTCGGGAGCAAACTGCAAACTGACAACTGTAATATACCATTCCCCGTAAATTCCTGGATTGCTGAGAGTTGACTGTATCGATAACAGAAAATTAGAACATTACCATAAGTTTTTTCGAAGATATCCCATCTCACTAAAACTCTAATCTCAAGTTACAGCACATAATGTCTGTACAAAAAAATAATAATAATAATAATTTGACAACTATTTTTTTAAATAAACAAATTTAAAATATAATTTCTCATTAAAGGTTAAATAAACAACTTTAGGACAGCAGTCACCAACCAGCAACCTGCAAAAACTTTAATAAATTTAACAGAAAAATCTATTAATCGTTACTATTAAATTTAGTTTAACAAACAATATTCAAAGAAATTTTTTAATATTATTATTTTAAAATTAAACCAGTATTAATAAAATTAAAATATAATTAATTACCTTCAAATTATTATTATTATTATTATTATAGGAACAAATATACAATTATAATTGGTTAAATTAAATTATGCTTTCAATTAAAATAAATACGTCTTCAAGTTGTTTCAAAAATATACTAATCTTTTAAAAATGTTAATAATAATGGAGTGAAAATGTGAATGGCAGTTAAGTGTCTGCAATTAGCACATTCAATATTATGTGAGTAAATAAAACGACAAAATCTTTACTTAAGGAACTAAATTTACAAATACATAACATATAAATTTGAAATATTAATATAACTTATAACTTCATAAATAAAAAATATTCCAAAATAATGCAACGTACTACCCATGTAGCTACAAAAGATAAAACTACGTGTTTGGGTCATATTGAACAAAAGTTTATAAAAAAAAATCATGATAATTATGCGGTTCACAAAAGACAACCATACATTTTTTTGTTTCCTATAAATTTTTTTTAAATGGATCGAGGAAGTATTGAAATCAATCACATCATATTAGTATGAGTGACATAATATAGAGAAGAAAAAATTGAGATACCAGTTCTGAATCCCTACTCCAAGAGAGATGCTGGTTTCAAGATCGTATTGACCACACTGTAGATGGAATTCCAAGGAATACTCAACGTAGCAGACTAATGACAATTATGTTCACATACAGTGACAAAGATATCTTAAGGACACATTTTCAGCTAAAATGCAATGAAAACAACTCATTGAGGAAAATTGAAGAAAAAAAAATACGTATATATTTTTCTTAAGTGTTCTTTTCATATTGGCAGAAAACATACTCGATTATACGTAACATATATGACATTTTAATGGTCATTATTTATTATAAGATGCAATAAACCAGAAAGTTGTTTAAAATATAAATGTATGATTTTATAAATAACTTTGATGGCAACAGCAATTCAATTTAATCACTAGTGTTGAATTTCTAATCATAATTATTTAATGTAAATCCAAATGAATACAGGGGATCGTGATTATTATAGGTCAGAAATATGAAAATTGTGATTAATGCACAGAAAGAAATACAAGATTTGATTAACAACCAACAAACATTTCAATTAATCAGTTTGCACTATTATTTATATATAAACAAATAAACATCTAAGACTTGACCAGAGCTAACCTAAAATAAAAATTATTCTAACAATGGATTAAAGTTCTGATTTCTAGGTCTACATTCGAACACTCTAGTGTTATTTTCGATCATACAGTGTGCTCTTTGTGATCTTGAAACCAGTTACTATCAGAAAGTTCCGAAATAGACAAATAATAAGATTAAAAAAAAAAAATGTGCACAAAATTTGCATATACAAAAAAAAAATGGCAATAATTGAAGTGGCTCGACACTAAAGCTGAAGATACACTAATTAAATAAATTTTAAGTTCATTCTAAACAAATTATTTTTTTTTTATTTTAAAAAATAATCCTTAATTATTTTAAATCTACTGATTTGAAAATAAACAATTATAAAATTAAAAACCATGTGCATCACCTTAATCAAATAACAAAAGAATGTTAACTTTTAATAAACAATGAGGCATAGCTAATATTTATAAATAATAGAAAACTGACAAAGTCATTACCTATGAACAAGATCCATGAATACTGAATAATTATTCTATTATCAGAAAAAAAAATGAACAAAAATGAAGCACAAAAAAAAAACTGATATAGACTGCTTTAATGACGCTACTATCACACCAAACAACCATAACCTCTTAAACGATTAAAAGACATAGTACTCTTAAAATATTTAAGTTATATGCACCATTTAAAAAAAAAGAAAATAAATAATTAAAGCGTAACATTATGAGAACACTTGTTAAGTAATTAAAGAAATATAACTGTAGGAATAACTCACCTCTTCTTCTGCCGGTGTCCAGTCGTCGTCAGTGGCATTATTTTCAAGCTCTTCTACTTCACTTGGTTCATCAACCTCAAACTCCTCCTCATCTTCTACTAATTTCTCCTGTTTTTTCCTCGGCATCGTATAACTGAAAACACAACTTCAACGGTAAACTGGTCTCTTAAAAGGAGAAGATGGGGTAATCCAACCGTCGGCACAATAAATAGATGCCGCTTCAAGTCATGAAAACTGATAAGGCAATAGGTACCTTTACCTGAGTAAATAAAAAATTTATTAAATAAAATTAAAAAATCTTTTTTGGTGAGAGAAATAAGCTCTAAAATAGGACCGATTCCAGTAGCTAAATAATAAATCCCACTACTTCTAACCTGAGATGAACTCAAGACTAGGCTTGTAAACTATCCAAGTGCCGCCAACATGGCACGGCCAAATATTGATTGTTTCTCCTCCTGCTTTTAAAATTGCAGTGTATACTTTTTTTCTTTTTTTTCTCATAAAATAATTCTATGCTTTTAGCACCTATTACAACGAATATACCGAATAATGGAGCTTCTGAAAATTAACTAATAATTATAATGTATTTATCATGTCTAATTATAGTCAAATAACTTATTTTTCAACATATTTAAAACACTTAATATTTTTTAAAACATTTGATAAACCAAAATGAGAAATCAATATTAAATATATATAAAAACAGATAAAACACAAATAAAAAAATGGACTTAAGTAAAACTAACAATAAGAATATTTAAGGCATCGCCCGATCCATAATTTTATGGTATACCCTCCCCCACTTAAGAATAAGTAGAATCTCTTGTTTCTAACTAAATTTAATTAACATTTGTTATTTATTTTTATCATTCTTCATTATAATAATACTTCACATTTATTGACAAGCTAAAGTGCTAAATATACACGCACGCACAGGCAGATTTACGTTCGTTTAATTACATTTAATAGAACAGCAAGAATTACTTAAACACCATTTCGTATAGATAGTTAGTTTCTTTCTTTTTCTTCCTAAGTAATTATTGTTATATATGAATAAAACAGAGATTTCGGGCTGAAGCCCCCTCCTCAAAATGAAATCCTGGATCCGCTAGTGCTCGCGGAAATGACTTTCGTTTTAAAATGCGATTAGACATTTCATAATCAATGGAAAACACAATTATGTAATTTAACTTACAGAGAGGGATTTCTGGAAAAAACAGGTGATTGATTGAAGGTTACAAACGTAATTTATTTCTCTCTCCAAATTCTATTGAATTATCACAAGTTTAAGTCAATTAACTGCATGTTGATTTCCTTTATCTCTTCCATATTCGTGAGTTAAATAAGTGCAATCAATTGAAGTAAAATTACTGGTGTAGCGGATTCTTCCGCTAAAAATGACGGAAACTTCGGCTTCAAACGATTCACCAACTGAAGTCAACCACGATAATGCACCAGAAGCTATGTCCTGGGAAGTTGTGTCTGGACGAAAACGACATGTAGCTTCAGACAGAGATCCACGTCATAAACAAATAAAGGTTAGTGATACTATTATTACTAACAATCGATTTGAAGTTTTATCAAATACTCCGGAAGATAGACAGCCAGCAAATAATAATCCCATTATTATTAGACCTCCACCTATTCACATAAACGATGTGAAAGACTACACGGCATTAGTAACCTATCTTCACAATGAAGGTGGCCCTAACAGTTTCAGGTTGAAAACGTCTATGAGAGGAGTCAGCGTGTATCCAGAAAACGCAGAAATATACCGTAGGTTAGTGACCAGTCTTAGAAGGGGTGGAGCTGATTTTCACACATATCAACTCCCGGAAGATAAAACGCCTCGAATAGTTATTAAAAATTTACACCACGCCACACCTCCAGCGACCATAAAACAGGAACTTGCCAACTATGGTTACGAGGCAACCAACATCGTAAATGTTATATCAAGATTCAAAACACCGTTGCCAATGTTTTTCGTTGATGTGTCAAAAGCAACGTTCAATGATAAAATTTTCGACATTGAATTCCTGTATTACACACACGTGAAGATCGAAGAGCCAAGGAAAAAAAGGATCATTCCGCAGTGCGTACGTTGTCAGCAGTATGGCCATACCAAGACGTACTGCAACCACCAGCCGAGGTGTGTAAGGTGTGGTATGGGTCACGAAAGCACTTCCTGTACAAAGACTCGAGAAACAGTCGCAAAATGTGCGAACTGCCAAGGACCACATCCTGCTAACTACAGAGGTTGCGAAACTCTGAAAGAGCTTAGGAAGACCCGCACAAGAAACCATACTCTGCAAAGGCCTCCTAGAGTTCAACCCCCACCACCAGAACTACACGAGTTCCCACCACTGCATCAGCCTCAATACCCTCATCCGATTCCCTCAGGACCAGAACAACAGCAGCAGAGACAGCAACGAAAACCAGCACCGGCAACAAACCAAGAACAAAGGCCTAAAGGTATGAGTAGGGGCATTGCCCAAACGCTCCCTACTATTGAAACCTCCTCAGGTGATATCATACATTTGATTAGCGGTCTCAATAACCTCATACAGCCCCTCTTCAGTCTTCTACAACAGCTATCTCAGGCTACTCTCGCTCTTACCCAAAAATATGCCCCGTAATCAGACGACTGTGGGCTCCATGTCTATTATACTATGGAACGCAAACGGACTGAATCAACATAGAACCGAACTAGACATATACTTACACGAGAAACGCATTGACATTGCACTAATAACAGAAACACATCTGACACCACATTCTAAATTTTACATCCGTGGTTACAAAATCTACAGAACTGACCACCCAGATGGAACTTCACATGGAGGCACTGCCATAATTATCAAAACAACTCTAAAACATAATCCTTTACAATTACCCATAACACCAGAGATTCAAGCTACAGCCATTACACTATCAACACAACAACAAAACATTACTCTTGCTGCGGTTTATTGCCCTCCGAGGTATGTTCTGACACCCATGATGTTTAGTAATTTCTTTAAACGTCTTGGTAGATGCTTTGTTGCAGGAGGCGACTACAACGCCAAAGATCAGTTCTGGGGATCCAGACTATCTACTCCAAGAGGAAGGAATCTTAGGTATGTTCTTTATGAGCTTTCATTAGACACAATATCACCTAATTCACCCACGTACTGGCCAACTTCTAGACGGAAAACACCAGACTTACTCGACTTTTTCATAACTAAAGGACTCCGAACAACACCTCACACTATAACAACGAGTTCAGATCTTTGCTCTGATCATTCCCTTTTGCATTTGGTATTGTTTGAAGAGCCTTGTGAAGCTACAAAAAAACTGTCCCTGATCAATGGCATAATGGATTGGGACAGGTACAGGAACCAATTGGACACTGCTCTCTCTGTTCCTCTATCCATTAAAAACGAAGCAGAACTTGAGGATGCCGTTGAATACTTCACACGAAATATCCAAGAAGCAGCATGGTCTTCATCAGTAGCAAAACCTCAAAAATATGAGTTCCTACCAATGTACCCACAATACATAAGGGACTTGATCAGAGCGAAGAGGAGAGCTCGCAAAATATGGCAGACTGACAGACTCCCATCAGATAAACGAACTTACAACAGACTTAATAATGAACTCAAGCGACAGATTGGAAAATTCAAACGAACAACCTATGACAACTACATCAGAAATCTCTCAACCGACGATGGAAGCTTGTGGAGACATACCAAAAACCTTATTAAGCATCGTGAAGTGTCAGCACCCCTTCGAAGACAAGATGATTCCTGGGCCGTGACGGACGGAGAAAAATCAGAACTCTTTGCCGAATATCTTTCTTCTGTTTTTGTACCACACACAGACTTCACTAACACTGTGCACGATAACAACGTACTAAACACTTTAGACATGCCCTTACAACTAACTTCACCTCCTATTTCATTCACACCTTCACAGATTGCTGAACAAATCAAAAAGTTGCCTAAAAGAAAAGCTCCTGGACATGACTTGATTAACGCTGAAGTGCTCCAACAAATGCCTAGAAAAGCTCTAGTGCTTTTGACAACTATTTATAATGCAATACTGAGGACAACTAAATTTCCCCTACAGTGGAAATACTCACATATAATAATGATTCACAAGCCTAAAAAGGACAAAAACTCACCTTCCTCATACCGACCAATCAGCTTACTACCTATCTGTTCCAAAATTTTTGAAAGCTTACTGAACAAAAGACTTGTTGATATACTAACAAACACCCAAATAATACCTGACCATCAATTTGGATTTAGGGCACATCACTCAACTATACACCAACTACATAGAGTAACGGACTACATATCTACAGCACTAGAGCAGAAAGTATATGCAACTGGCGTATTTCTGGATGTTTCTCAAGCGTTTGACAGAGTTTGGCACCAGGGTCTTCTCTTTAAACTCAAGACAATACTCCCACCTACATATTATCTAATTCTACAATCCTTCCTTTCCGATAGATTTTTCTCGGTCCGACACGGGTCAGAACTATCTTCCATCAGGTCTATCTCAGCAGGAGTACCTCAAGGTTCAGTACTCGCTCCACTACTCTATATCACATACACCCATGACATACCTTGTAGTCCCAACATTTTAACAGCGACATATGCAGACGACACAGCAATTTTAGCAAGACACAAAAATCCAACATACGCCTCACAGACCCTACAACAGTATTTAACAAGATTACATGACTGGTTCAAAATTTGGAAAATCCGACTAAATCAAGACAAATCACAGCACATCACATTTACGCTTCGACATGAAACATGCCCTCCAGTTTTCCTTGACGATACACAGATTCCACAGACAGACACCGTTCACTACCTTGGTCTGACATTTGACAGAAAAATGACGTGGGGCCCACATATAATCAAAAAACGGAAAACTTTAAATCAAAGATTAAGAATTCTGAGTTCACTTCTTTCAAAAAATTCAAAACTAAAACTTAGACAGAAATTGAACACATACAATTACTTACTAAAACCTATTTGGACTTACGCATCGCAGATATTTGGAACTGCTAAAAAGACTCACTTAAACAAACTTCAAATCTTTCAAGCAAAAACATTCAGAACAATTACAAAAGCACCTTGGTACGTTAGTAACATAACCTTACATACTGACCTCCATATGCCGACTGTTAACGAACACATACGTATTCATTACAAACGATTCCATGACAACTTACAAGGACATACTAATACACTTATAAATGACATGGCCACTACGAATATCCCCGGTAACGTCTGTAGGAGACTGAAGAGGAGCTGGATGAGGGACCTCCTCGCCTAATGTAGATATCACGCCGAGTGAGGTGCCGCTGGGCACTGATCCTCCTCATGCCTTTCATGACAATTCTATTAATCAATCGATCTCACATTCACTGGTTGTCATTATCATTATGACAGGTGTGAATAAAACATTAAAGCTAAAAAAAAAAAAAAAAAAACTTACAGAGAAATTATTTCTAAACCAAACTATTTATTTTATTTCACTTGATACCTACAGCAGATGGAAAATAAACAAAAACAAGAAACAAAAGTACTAGCTTAGTGAAATAATCAGTTATATATTTGTTTGTCCCGTTGTTTGTGAAACATCTAAACGCCTCTTTAGATCTTGTCACTATCGCATCCAGGATTTAATTTGGGGGGGGGGGGACTTCAGCCCTAAAGCTTTTTTTCATAAAAAAAACGATAATTACTTTGGAAAAAAAAGAAAGAAATTAACTACCTATATGAAATGGCGTTTAAGTGATTCCTAAAGTCTTTTTAAATGTAATTACAGGAACAAGAATACTTTAAATATTTTTTTCCATAAAACATGGTTATATTTTACCATTTGGGGGAGAGGGCTTCAGCCCAAAGCTCTCCCCCACCCTCGTAGATTCGCCCGTGGATCTTGTGGATCAATCAGCGTCTGAAGAGTCCTTTTTTTATATCTGTTTTAGGCAACCACTTTCCAGTTTCCTGCATCTCTGCAGCATCTTTGTTGATTCTATTCAAACGGATTTAGGCGAGGGAAGGGGCTGAAGCACAATCTCTCAAAATAAGAAAATATATCTTTTTCATTGGTCAAAATTTGTTTCTATGAGTGAACTGAGTCGAATACACAACCAATCACAATATCTTATCTTTTTATATTATAACGCATGCACTTTAGCTACCAAATGTGAAATATGTGCATTATTCGGTGTTATTAAACTTGAATTTCAGCCTCCTTTCCACCGAAATTGAATCCTGAATCCGCTAGATTTATCTATTTTTTCCTTTGACAAGATAATATTTCTCCATAATTCTGTGAGTACCCTAATAGTCTCCTCTTCCCCTCTTCCAAACCGCCTCTAGATCTGCCCCTGAATTATCAAGCTCATTTTTGGAGTTTTTCTTTAGGCTAGGAAAAAATGAGGAACATATTCCAATCCACCGGAATCATTTTCTCTTCTCATATCTTTTGGATTGGTTACTATAGCTTAGCAATTAGGTATTCTCCTTCTTTAAATGACTATGATGGTAGGTTGAGTATCTGTGAGAACCTTTCGGAGATTTTTTAAACTCTTGTGAGCCGAGGTCCTCAATATGGTCCAAATCTTCATCACTAACGAGTTCACTTTGATTGAGAAGGTCCTGGAAATGTTCTTTCACGATATTTAGCATCTTTTATTTGATACCACCGGCTTAACATTAGCATTAGTGTAACCAAAGAAATGTTTCTACTTTCTACCGGCTGTTATGCCTCCAATTAATTTGCAGAAGTAATTAGATAAATCTTTCTCAATAATCTTGTAGTATTTTAATCTACTAAACTAGTTAACAAACTAGCAGTAAAAAAAAAAGAAGGAATAAATTTAAACAAGCAATGAAAATTTAAACGATATACGTTGTAAGGAATCGATTCGTATTAGTAGAATGTTATCGATTCATGTATTGCCAACAAGAGCTCAGTTTACGTCAGAGTCCAGGCTCGGTAAGGGTTGCCAGATACGTCTTGTGCGTAGTGGTGTATTGAAGTGACCATATTGTAGGAAAAATGAGCCGCATCATCACAGAAAAAGGTACCATCTGCATCCAGCCCGGATGGAAACCAAGTACCATAGCAAAAGACCAAGTAAGAGACATGATGTTAGCTACGGCGAGCTATCAACTAGCCCTCAATGGAGATGATGAAATGTTGATAGAACACACACAGCCCATCAAGAAGAGGAAAAGACTCACAGATTTATCTTTTGAAGAAAAACTGAGGAGAAAGTACGCGATATTGTGGATAACAAAGATTATAACATTTTAATTAACCTTCATAATTATCATATTTATTGTTTACAGGAAATTGAAAAATCGTGAAGCGGCTCAGAACTCTAGAGATAAGAAGAAAGCTTATGTTACCACCCTGGAATCCACTGTTAAAGGTCTTGTAGACCAGGTAAATTATTGTTTCACTAATTTAATTTTTTACATAATCGTATTGTTTGTTTATTACAGTTCTTGAAATTATATTCTTACAGATATTTAAGTGTATAAGTTGTTGTTGGTTTGAGCTTATCTTTCTATGACATATTAAAAAGAATAGAAAAAAAGTATTATATGCAGTCGTTAGATATTACATCATCCTAAGTATGGAGGTTCTTTGTTTCTCCATTATTGCATATGCATTTGTTAAAGTTTTATCATATAATTACATCATATAAGACATTGATCACATTATTAAGACTATTTAACGATCTTTATGATCATATGGAAACATTTATCTATAAGTACTTTTGAGTAGGTAACATAATCATTTTGATACAAGATAAATGTTTTATTTTTCTTATTACTAACTAATACATTGACCTTAAAATTGTGAATTGAAATATAAACTAAAATATACATTTATTAAATTATTTAGAATGATTTTTAAACAGTTTATTTTAGTGACATTAAGAATAACATTAATAATCTTTGAAGTTTTTTAATATATGAGTAAATTTTGATTTCTTGATTCCACTTCATATAAGTGTTACATCTGTTTGACTTAAGATCTCATCGATCACTTTATAGAAATAAATCTTTATGTAAACATAAGGCATTGACCTCAAATGAGAAGGTCCTACCTATTAGAGATTTATTTGTTGTATACAATAAACTAATTTACTAAATTCTAACTGCAGTATGATCAACATGACCTTGACCCATCAGCCAATCAGAAATGCCTCTAATGAACTATTTTTCATATAATTTTTTCTAATGAACCAATAATTAACACACAAAAGAAATGTGTTATTTTTGTGTCTATAGATTTGTTATTTAATCCAGACATGTGTATATGGGAAGTTTATTAGTATGGGGAAAACCACTGCTGTCCCATTATGATAAATCTATTGATATCAGATAGATAAGTGTTTATGATAAACATAAGGATGTAACTTAAAATTTAAATCTGAAGTTTTACAAAATTGTATTTTAATTTAAACAAACTTTAAAGAAAAATAATTTTTTTAAAATGTACACTTATTAATATAACTGTTATCTTTAAAACTTGATTCTCATCTATCAACTAGAAATATAGTATCAATGCTTGCCAATCATTGTTACAGAAGAGGTTTATTTCAATTTCTGAATTAAAATGAAGAAACAAGGAGTGAGTACTTGTCTAGCAAAATAAATAATACAGTTGAATTGAGAGAAATAAAAACTGAAAGGATTATTTTCTTAATGTTAATGATAGATTGTAGGAACACAAAAATGAGTTCGAGGACACAGAGAGACAGATGGCTTTAAATTTTCAGAGAGATTAATGAAAAAGATTAATATTTTTACGGATTTAATCTTTCGTTAAAATTTTAAAAAGATCAAGTAAAAAAACATATAAAACTCTTGAAAAAATTTAAGGGCTCCCAATAAATAATTGGTACACATTTTATATTGATCGGTTAAAAAAACTTCAGGTTCAATTTCGCCCTTCTGATATGAGAGAATTAAGATAAACTGAAAACTTTATTAATGTATACATGACTGAATAAAAATTTCATCAAAGGATTTAGCCATGAAAATGGAGGTTTTGATCTCACTTTTTAAAGAAAATCTTAGGCAGCCCAAACACAAGTTATTTTCCATGTAATGCATGAATATTGCTTTTTAGTCTTAACAAGCATGCAAAAAAAAAAAAAAAATTCTATTATATCATTATGGTTGTCGAAGGAGTTAGCTTATCTTTAAACTCTGGTGGATTACTTAATAATTGTTCCGTTCTTTATCAGTTTGTAATAATAAGGATATATCATAGTGCCACAAGAACGACAACGCAAAAATACAATGTTAGAGAGACAAATATGTTTTCGACATATTTTATATTATGAAAGTATCTTAGAATCGTACTATTATACTATCATTTAGTGAAATTTCTGAAGCCTCCATTGAACTGAATCACTTTTCATCTCGGACGAAACCAATGATTCTGTTAAAGACAACTGTGATCTAGTTCCTTAAGATTGGAAGGTTGTCTTGAGCTGGTCATGTCTCTCGAAGGGATGATTTTAGGATTTCCAAAGTGGTAATGTCAGAAGAAATTGTACATGACTGGAAGAATAGAAAGAACTAGGGCAAGGTGGTTGGACAGAGCATCTTGTGCTTAAGGAATGGAGAAACTTCCTACAAAGCTAGAACAGGAGAGATGCTTCATGGGACTGAGACAACCACCAGGCCTAGATGTGTTGTATCCTCGACAATTTTATAACGATTCCTGTGTGGAATGTTTTATCCTATTTATTTCAATATCTTTTAGACTTAATTTCAACTTTCTAGTTATTTAAAGAAACCATTTCTCTGGTACTGCCTATTGCGCACACTGCTGTAGTGAAATAGAAAAGAGCATATTTAGTTAGCACTGCTCGGCAGTCTAGGTATGACGTCAATCTTTACTGCTCCTTTTTGAATACACCTGAAACAGTGAAGCTGTTGGCAGTACAGTGGTTATAGGTTATATTATCATATCGGAGAATTGTTTTGATGATAACAGCCACTTTGATACGTTTCATTTCTTTTTTTTTTTTTTCATCAAGTCAGGCAAAATTAAATGAAGAATTGTTTAAAATATTAAAAAAGCTACTATAGTAAATCATTTTTAAAGGTTGAAGTGACAATATTATTTACTACACCTAAAATATTTTACAGAGGAATTCAAATATACCTAAATCCAAATGACATTAACTAAATAAATTAATACTAAAAATTTTAACCTCAGATACTATACTCAAATCCAGGCATTTAAAAATTAATTTGTCTTTTTTAATTAAAATGCTGATTTACTGATTACATATTAAGAAAACTGTAAAACTTTGTTTCATTACAAGTATAGATATTTAGTACTGAAACGATCATACTAATAATAAGTACTAAATTTAATATCAGTGATACATTCTCAATTCTTAAAGTAATATTATAAGAAACCATTATTTTTTAGAAGGTGGACTTTAATATGTAGTTAATTGTTAACATTTTATATTGTATTAATAAAATTAAATTGTAACTTCTCCATCGTATGTATTGCTGTCCTGAAACAAATGAAAACTGTTTAATTTAAGGCTAATATTTTTTATTGAAATTATTTCATACTAAGATGCTAAATCGAGAGGATTTGGTGGTGACTGTGAGCAGTTTTAGAGACCCAGACAAACATTAGCGATTGACAGTATAGAATGCTGGTCGTTGCCATGGGCAGTACCAGTGAAAAGTACCATTAAAACCTTGTCACAAAGGTCATTTGACAACCCTCTTCTAGATATAAAATAAGTTCATTATTGATTCATAATGCAGATTAGATGTTTCATTCTCATTTGTCTATATTTGTAATTAATGTTTTTTTTTTATTACAGAATGATAAATTAAAGGAGAAGATGAACGAGCTTTGCGAACAGAACAAACGCCTCCTGGCAGAGAACGCCCGGCTAGAGGGCCTGCTTGCTGGAGGGGTGGCTAAGACCGTAGAAGATAGGCCCGCAGCGCCTCAGAGTCCTCTGCAGAAGGATATGTGTCTTGTCACTCCTCCAATGAGCAGCCACCGTCTCTTGACTCTTCTCTGCTTGATGAGCTTGATTGGCTGGTTGACTCCCTCCAAGCACCAGATCTCTCAGAGCTTCAAAAGTTTGCAGACTCTCTGTCTGAAGCATCCCTCCACCTTCAGGTATCTTTGTAGTGCTATTTAAAGTAGCAATTAGCTCCATTATTTACAACTTATTTTAAATTGTGGCGGAATGCAAATTATGCAGATTATAATCTTTACCAAAGTCTTCGTTAGATAGGAAAGATGACATGCACAATAAATTAATAAACTAAGGAATGAATTTAATTTATAATTAATTAATCTTAAATAAAAAGCTAAAAAAACATTATTTGCGGTCTTCAAGACACAATTATAGATAGAAAAATTTCAGATTTAACTTAATTTTGTTTTAATAACACTTACAAATATGTTTTAAGTTAATTTAATCACGTAAGAACTATGATTTATTTGTTTATATCTACCCTTGATTAATAATAACCAGAAACTGTATAGAAAAAAAAAAACACTTATGTTATTTTCATGATGTGCTGAGACTAAAAACAAAATCTGTTGCGTGCAACACACAACTTTCACTTACCACTCGACTTTGAATAGAAATTATTTTCTATCCATGTTGGGCTATTAAAAAAAAATTTTAATTGCATTTTTGACTGAGCTAAATCTAAAATATTACAGCTAACAAATCACAAATACCATTAAAATAACAAAAGTCCTATTTATTTTATGACCGGTTAATTATGGATTGTACAATCCGTTCATTATAGATGGCGCGATCCATTGATTATGGATTATACAACTATTAGTTATTAAACTGTTATGTTCCATTGTAAAGTTTGCTAAAATGGAATTAAGAGATTTGCATTGTCTGTCATAGACAGGTCAAAAGTTGTCACACTAATTGTAAATGAATTAGTAGTGGATACTGTTAGAATATCACAAAAAGAAATTTCATCAAACTATTCACTAATCTGATTTTCTAAAAGATTACATGATGATTTTTCGGAATAAACGGGCGATAGATACCTGAATATTTAAATGTAATATAAGATCTAGAGTTATTAAACTACAGTAAATATATTTAAGATTATAAACGTATCTATGAAATATTTTTATCTTTCGCTTCTTCTTTCACACAAGGACAATGAAATATTAGTGAATACTGTTGGAATATCACTAAGGGAAGATTCATCAAATTATTCACTAATTTAATTTTCTAAAAAGTATTTCTGAATAAACACGTTGATACCTAATAATTTAAATATATTATCAGATCTAGAATTATTAAACTCCAGTAAATGTATTTAAGGTTATAAACATATGCTTTATACATCCATGAAATGATTTTATATTTTACTTCTTCTTTCACATAAGTACAATGTAATAGTTTTTCAAACTTATAAAATATTTTAAAAGTTTACATTTAGTAAGTAAATTTCATTTAATTTCCTTCTAAACATGTGATTTACGTTAAGTTTTATAATTTTCAAAAATTATTATTTATAATTTTTTTTCCAATCTCCGTTACCTTCTATATTTGATATTGGCCTTTCTAAAATTCTATGCTTTCCAACGATATATTATATGTATACCTTCTGACTAGTATTCCCGGAGATTCATTTTCGACCTGTATAAGCATTTTTATTTTTTCCTCCTTTATTCAATTAGCAAATTCTTTAAAAATTTGTATTTAACATTTTTTCGTAAATCTAAATAATGTGAGATGATTAACTTTTTAAAATAAACCATATTAAAGGCACTTTAGAGGAAGATGCATATGAACATTGGACATTTAGCTCTGTAAAATCAACAATGGGGACAAGACCTGATTGATATTAAAGACCACTTAATTATACAATGATACACCGAGTTTAATCAAAATCGTTAGAGCCGTTTTTGAGAAAATTGTAAAAATGTGTTTCAGCGTTGATATAAAGTGGCACTTCCGGTTAGCCGATTTTAAGGAAAATGTTGCTGTCACATCTAAGGCATATACCTATCTTAAATACGTAATGTCAGTTTCGTATGACTTCGTTTTTGAGCTAGGCTGTTAACATACACACACACAGACCATTTTTCAGGGTTTGGTTATTTGGACTCAGGACACCCTAAAACGTGTATTTCCATTGGAGACTCAGAATCAAAAATTTTCATGATCGCAATACTTACCCTTACTATATATTACATATATACATTAGTGAAAGTAAAAAGTTATAAAGCGGTTAAGAGCCTGGAAAAATTAAATGAATAAACGACTCTGCTATTGGCAAATGGAATTACTAAATAAAAACATCTCTTATTATCAGTTTAAAAGGACAGTTCATTTTTTTGAATTGAGACTCATGTGTTCTTATAGATGCGGAAGAACTAAATTAAAACAACTGTTGTTATCTGGTTGAAAGAACTGTTCATCGGTTTAAAACGAGATTCTCGTGTTAAAACAGTAAGTCTGGAAAAACTTACACAAATAAACGACTCTACTATTGGCGAACGGTAGATCTAAGTTAAAACAGCTGTTGTTATTTATTTGAAAGAACAGTTGATTCCTTTGAAATCAAGAATAGTTGTTTTCAAATGTTAAGTGTTTTTTTTTTTCGTACCCCTACCATATGGCTATTGTAACTCAAGCTGACAGCTACTTGTCTCTACTTTCAGTCCCTGATGAAGACCTATTACGTCAATCGAATAAATAGTTATCAGTTATTTGATGTTTTCTTTTACCAACTCCCACTCAATCTTTCCTTTCTAAAACCTTTTACTAAAATTTTTTATTTTATTTTTTCAGGTATATTAAGTACCGGTTCAAACTTCTCTTATTAGGCTTCGAACCAAACTATTTTTTTATTTTATAACATTAAAAATGTTAAATGGAAAAATAAATTAAATTTCATTTTAATGATGATCCTCATCATTTGATTTGATGGCAAATATGTTTCTGTTTTAACTTAATGAAATAAAATTAAATTTGCAATGAGGTGGTATTATTTCTGATCCCGAAGGATTTGTGACTGTTGTAGGATGAGCAGTCCTGCCCAACAGAGATTAGCGCCTTGGTGGGGCCCAAGGCAGAAGTCTTGGAACCCAATGCCTATAGCAGCCCAGATAATGTTATTGAAGAAGATGCTATCATCGTTACAGTGCCAGCAGATGATGTCCTCATCGAAGATGCTGTAGAAGAAGTGGTTACCATAGATACTGACGTTCAATCTCCTGGATCTTATTCTACTTCCGACAGTCATTCAGATCTTGGCTACGAGTCGTTGGACTCTCCTGACTCTGGCCTTCATGCCCTCTTCCCCGAACTACTATAATTGCTTTTTATTTTATTTTTTAATTTTTATAATTTATTAGATATAAGTTTACTGTATAAAATTATATATTTGGCCAGTTTTTAATTCCATTTTATCTATAAGAACCGAATATTATAATATATTATGCACAAATATATGATGTCAGTTATCAAACCTATTTTATCAATTTTTTCATCCCCACTTAACTACCACATTTAATATTTTTTCTAAGTCTGTGCATGTGCATGACCTTTGAGAATGATCTGTTTAGTTTTAATTTGTTGTTCCCACATTTAATAGTACTAGTTTTGGAAAAAGTTATTTTCTTAAAAACAAAATTTAGCTTAATGTCAAAGAGAGAATGTGATGGTCACAAGCATGTTAGGGTGTGGATCCCCGAGTATTCATCCAATTCGCAAGTGTATCCTCGACTCCCTGGGAATCATTCACTACCATGTGCATGGGAGCAGATAGGGAGGGAGTTTGTTCATGAGAGTGAGAGGCATGCATATATTACATTTTTATATTATTTATTGAACATATCTACTGTATTTGTATACATTAATTTTATTTGTGTGGCCGAACGGCTAACGTGTGCACAGCACCGCCATTGCCAGGCAACCTGATCTTTGATACAATGGATTTAAAATAGTCACGAGTTCGTGTCCTGGTGCCTGGGGGTCTTTTAAATCCTCGCCCACACCCTCTGGCCCAGGAAAATCCCGTATAGTCTTAAAGGGGAGGACAAAAAAAAAATTATTTTATTTAGTTTTTTTCTTGTCATTATTGTATAATTTGTCATCATAAAATATGAATTAGTTTAGGAAGAAAGAGGCAAAAAATGTATAAGGAGGAAGAAGAGAAATAGAATGTTAATAAAAGAATTTAAGTTAGTTAGTCGACTGTGTGTGTGGGTCATCAAATATTCTTATTTGAACACCTTCAGTGCTCGAAACACGCCCTAATGATGACCCATATGCTTGGATTGAAATGTCTGCACCAATAAAAACCTTAAACATGAGACTGCATTCTGACTATTTAGCACCCATGTTATTAGAAGAACTAGTGAAAAAAATGTTTATTATGCTCATATTTATTATTATCATTATTTCAATATTTATGATACTGTATATTTGTATATTGTAAGAATTGTCCAATATACTCATTGAAAACTATGCTGTGTCTAGCAACCCAATATAATTGGGCAGCATCCTTTTATAAAGATGAAGTTATTCTCTCTTTCGTCAGTTTATTGCAAAAAGTCATTAAGTAACATTTTAGTGGATGTAAAGTTTCTGATTCATTAAAAAAAGACTGAAATAGCATTGTGATCATTTATTTTTTGTATTGTAATTCTAAATATGTATTCTATTTGCGATGATTGGGGAAAAACTGAAACTATAATGTATATAGTGACTTTTTGCACAATATCGTAGCTATACAAAACATTTTATAACTTTGCAAGCAGGTTGAATATTAGTTAGGCTTACCTCACTTCAAGTCATTAAGTACCAGACAGTGTGTTTTGTTATTCTACTTTAACCTTATTTAGAGAACAAGAATTTAATTAAGTTACTTGATGGAAAAAGAACATCCTGCACTTAACGGAACTATTTTTTACATATGTAAGGATTTGTATTATTTTTATGCACTTCACAAGTTCTTCTGTCGATAGATATGATCAAAATTGACAACTAACCTTCAGGTTTAAATTGATCAAAAGTGTACCAACTTTTTCAATAAATTCACAATTTATTATGCTAGTTCCATTTTGCTACTCTTTTGGACATGTTCGTTGTTGACAGAGATGGATGATAGTCGATAGTCCTAGTGACTATTGATAGTTCATTTCGTCCCCTTTAAGGGGCTCTTACACGGTCAAGGTAAAATATGTTGACCGTCCGAGGGATATATTGTAACAAGAGCAATATGTAAACTAAGTTCAATAATATGGAAGGGCTACCTCACAGGAGTCAATATTATAACAGTTAGAATCTTGCTTCCACTAAACAAGGAGGTTTCCAAAGAAGTAATCTGTCTTTTTTGTGGAAATGAATAATAATAAATTTCCTATCACTTTAATTGCTTTGGCTTTAGCATTAAAAAAAAAAAGTTTTCTTTGTAATGTTTATTTTATTCCTAGACATTAAAACGTTTCTTGTTTCCTAATTATTTAATATTTAAAAGAAAGCCTAGTAATAAAAAAAAAAATTGTGATTAAATTTTATTGAAGGAAATTTATCGACTGTTCTACATATCATGGGTCATAAATATTCAGGACGCAGTCATTATAAAGTGTTTATTGGTGCCGACGTTTCAACCCAAACAAGTGGATCATCATCAGGGCTAATAAATAAATAAATGAAAGTAAAGCAAAATATCATCCATCTACCAAAGCATATGTATACCCACCCGTTTTAACGTCCGGATTAACCTCCTTCATTATTTCATTACAAGCCAATAGTCACAATTTTGTAACTATAAGAAACAAAGAAAATCTTGTATACATCTCGAATATTTTAGTTAACAAATTATTTGCATTTAATGCAGTAAATAGTTATTTCCATCCTAAAACAGTTTAACCTTCTATGTTATCTTCTTCCATTCAAAATCTATCAACTGCAGGTTTCATCTCTTGTTTTCCTCCACTTCGGCTGTATGGTGGACTCCAGGGAGAACTCGAAGCTAAACTTAAACGTCTAATGAAATGCTCAATAAGCTTTATCTCCGGGATCTGAAGGGATACGCATATTACCGTATTTCAATCTGAGTTGAAGTGGCTAAATCCGTCCTACCACCGTCAGTATTTCCCTGCTACCTCCCTGTACCAAGCTATTACAACTAGGTGACCTTCCTATATTCTACAGATCCTACAATTCAAATGCTCCTTTCAATCCCATCCCATCAGATCCCTTATGTTTGATTTCTATCCTCCTCCTCACCGAACTGGTGCGTTTGACAAATGCTTTTAATTCAAGCTGTCTCCCTCTGGAATTCTATCCCTCTGATATTCGACATACAAAGTCAGTATTCTCCTTCCAATCTCTCCTCTTCAAACACCTACTCCATTCCGAATCCGGTTGATCATGAAATGCACTTAAAAATCTAAGTCATAAGAATCTCCAAGTGCCCAGATACTTTATTTATTTTACTTTCTCTGTTTATTTTATATTCATGTACATTTTTATTTCTTTTCATTATCTGTGCTTTTATTGTATTACTAATCATCCTGTAAATACTTATTGGATTTTATGGACACACCAGAATATTAATATATATATTCTGCATTTATAATTTGTTCTAAATGGACACTAGTCCCAGTATAATAAAATTATTTTCATTCATTCATTCAAACCTTAGCCTGCGATAAGATCGATTTTTGGACCCTGGTTCCATATAGGCCTTGAATCTGCTATGAGTTTTAGAGCTATCGAAGAAGAATTATAGATGGTATAATAGATATGTAAATTTTAATTTTTGGGAAAGAAACCATGAGCCAAGTAATTTAAGAAACTAAGTAAAAATTACAAGCATTTACAGCCTTCATTTGTTTTTTGTAGTTATCTTAGATCTTGAAATTCTCCAAGTGTTCAAAAGTATTCCTTTCAATATTCATATCACTGAAATCAGTTTCTGTAACTAACCATTTTGTCTTTCCTGTACTTATTTTGGGCCTATTCTGGCTTACATCAGTATTGTATTTAGTTTTATAGTTTATTTCTTCTGCCGAGAGTAATAAATCATATAATACCAGAGCATGGATGGTTTTCCACTCAATTACCTTATACAATTTGAATCACCTTTGTAATGGAATTTTCTAGGGTTAATTTAAATTGGAAAAATTAATGAATATCAAATTTACACTAAAACTAACTTCATTGAATGTTTTGACCATGCAAATCCTTATTAGAGCCACTAACATTTTTGTGTTATCAACTCTACCACAGTATTACATCTTCTGATGGTCAATGGAACCATAACTTGAAATTGTTAATAAAAAGTAAATAAATAAGATTTGAATAACAATATTAAATATCAATCCTTCAACGCATATTTAGCTACTACAATAGTATTTTTGAAGGGTACTCAATGTTCTTATGTATGGTGTCTTCAGAGAATATATAGCCTAGTAAATGTTAACAATAGAAGATGTAGTACCGAAAGGTATGCCCCACATATCATAATTATTCATATACTATTACTTCCATCAGTACTAATATAGTCCGAAAAGGATTATATTAGAGTAAATGCACATAAAATGGTACGAGGAATGTTGTTTTTTGTATTTGGTATACTGAAAATTAATGAAAGTATAATAAAAAGTATGTTTTCATAGATAACAAATTTTCGAGGATTAGAGGAACGTTAAATAATTTTAAAGTACAAGGGCTTACAAGTACTTTACAAATACAATACTCTATAAAATATGTACACAAGTGACAACCACTACTATACTACTGCTACATGCAACAGTCATGTCGGAAACCCAGGTTTTGCGAAACCTCAATATTTTTAAAACAAAGTAATAATGTTGGGGATATATACTAATATTTTGTAAACCATTCCAATATATTAAATATCTCCATATATTGTAAAACATAGCTATAATACTTTCAAAGAGGACAACTTATATCACCAGCTTGGGATTTTTGATTGAACTGAACTTTTAAGAACGTTTGTGAATTTTACTCTTATTTATCAATAAAAACTCAATACATAGACTAAAACTACACAAACCCTTTAAATTCAAATATAATAACAAGCGCACGATTTTCTGATCTCATAAAACAAAAATGCATTTAATTTCTTAGTGATTTAAGGTAATGAAAAATCAGTTAAACGTTTTGTAATAAAATGACAATATATTTGTTATGTATCTCAATAATTTTATATTGATATGAAAGACCGTACCTTAGCCGATATCTTAACAACCCTAGTAATATCTTATTTATTGAATTAACAAATAGCTGCAAGCGCGTACAAATAGCTCTGAGAGTGCATATGCACAGTTAGGCACAAAATTGTGAACCCCTGCACCATTTCAACCATATATGTGTAATACCATGGATCATGAATTATGTGAAATCTAATAATTAGCAAATGTTATTTTAACTAAAGTAAGGAAGGTTAAGGTAAGTAGTAAAAGTACATAAGATAGAAATAAAAACATTTATTAATTACATTAAAAATTAAAATGCTTATTTAGAAGCCTCCTGCTGCTTCAGTCTGCGCTCATTATAAGTCTTGCGTGCTTTCGCCCTCTTCAGTTGTTGCTTAGGAGACAGATTATGTTTCTTAGCGAAACGAAGATTCCTTAGAAACTTCTGGTCCATCTAAAAACAAAATAAAAATTAATTAAACGTGCAAGGGGAGTCTTAAATTTCATTCATTCAGGGCTCATAAGAAATAAAATGATTTCACTACTTCTTAAATAAGTTAAAAAGGTAATAATCAATGTGGATAATGATGGAATGAAGGAGGGCGATAAAAGATGAAAAGAAGAAAATAATAGCATGTGACGAGAACAATTATTTTTCACACACATTATAGCCATAACAAAAATTTAAAAAATCATAATACATCTAACCCATGATGACAAGAACTTGGTAAAGAATTTATTTAATAATTAATTGAGCAGAGGATAGGTTAAAAGATATACATATGGTACTACTTCACTAGTGCTGTCTGGACAACACAAGACCAACATTACTCTTTAATCACATTTGTACACGACAGCCAGAAACAGACAAGTTTGTCTAGCAGAATATGGAGACAATTAACCAGTATAATTCTAATAATACATGATTCAAACACAAAAGGCACACCATTCGCTTATCAATTCCACTTCTTCCTGCTAATAAGTACGGATAATAACTATTGAAGGAAGTTTGACGACTGTTCTATATATCATGAGTCAGGACGCAGTCAATTTTTAAAATGTTATTTATGAAAGTTTAAATACAGACTTGTGGGTCATACAATTTACCAGCACTGAATTTGTTTAAGAAATATGATACAACTACAACTAAGTACAAGAATTTCAGTACTTGAACAGAACACCTACAGTATTGGTAACATGCCCTAATGATGACCCTTAGGTAGATATGCTGGAAATAAAAATCTTAAAAATTGACTGTGCTATCTACCAACCATTATACATAACAACATAATAGCATTAAGATTAGACTGCATGCAGATGATTGAATATTAAAATCGGTACTAGTTCACAAGAGTTCCGCACGGATTACACATGGTTCACAATCACTTCGATCACACTTGTTCCTGGAATCCCGAATGCGTTCGTGTTTCTTCGAAAGAGAACGAAGGCGACCGATCTCTTGGGCCAGTTACTATTAACTTTCCCGCCATTTAAGTATACCTACAGTTCAGTTATATAGCAGGAGCAGATTTACATTCGAAATTTAGGCTACACATCATGAAACCTGAATTGAGCTTGTACATATATTATAGATCTGTAAAAAAGAAATAGTAATACATAAAAATCTTTAATTATTACATCTCTGGCTGCTATTTCATGATATTATTTTTCTTATAGATGATTTCCAATATTCATTATCTTGGAATTATTACATATTCTTCGTCAGTTGTTTCCCAAATACGTTAATTCCTTTCTCGAAAATAAATACTTTTTTTTTTGTACCATAGCCTACAATAATCCCTTTTTTCGGATTACCAAGAAAAATAACTGCGAATAACAATAATTACACATCATAATTACAAATCAGACAGTATATGCATACAAAGCGCCCCCCTCCACTAGAAAATAGCCCCTCGTATTATTAGAAATCTAAAAAAATACAGTAAACTAGATAGACGATTGCGCAATTCTAAAAAAGGCTTGCTAAAATAAATTATAAATTCAATTATTCCAACTTCTATTGAAAAACTCGAATAACAAAAAAAAAAGATAATAGATAACTTAAAATTATTTATTATCCAAATGATAAAAAATCTTTTATACACAGTTATAAAAAAAAATATACAGTATATGCGTATTTACAGCCACTACATGTAAGCAGGTGTCAATAAAAATGTTATTACTAAAAGCTTTTTTTTTTTAATATGGCTTGAAAAAATTACTCAAACATTATTTTATGTATTTTTTTCTTTTTCTTTCAAAGTAATAACCGCTATAATAAAAATTAATAATTAACTAATTAGTAAATACACAATTTTTTAATAAGGAAGTTCCATAAAGGGAATACATTGTATTTTTTTCAAAAATGCATGAAAAGGGATTGTATTATGGGGCAATAGCTGACGTCATAAAAGACGACAACATTCGGCTGTTTTCGGGATTCCATGAACAAGTGTGATCGAAGTGATTGTGAACCACGCGTAATCCGTGCGGAACTCTTGTGAACTAGTACCGAAAATAAAAGTTAAAAAATACTTAGTATGAACATTATGAATTATTTCTAACAAATTCTGGAAAAGTTAAAATTTATATATCAAAGAATTCAGAGAGACTGAGAAAAGATTCTATATTCTTATTATTGTTTAAAACGAAACACAACCTTAACAAACATAAATTATATCAAGAATAAATTAATGGCTTTTATTTCATTTACATTAAAAACTTTGATATAGATGAATAAGATGTATCCTAACCTAACATCAACATTGGTCTTACCACCAAGTGGTATAATAGGACATGCTTAGCTATTTCTGACACTCATGGGATCAAAATCACAATTGCCACACTAGATATAATAGCTAATAATCAACATATTCACCGAAATTGCTAAATACAAAAATTTTCACAATATTCTCTACTTACTCCTAATGTAGATTCGTGCCTGCATCTTTTGGGCTTCTTGATACCATTACGGTGAGCCTTGCGGTCTGAAATGAATGACATCTTATTAAGAATATTAACAAAAATATAATGGTAAGTTATCACTAAATAAAATAAATTAATGAAGCACTAATTATATATATAGATGTACAGAATAATAACAGCATATTGATAAGAAAGTTTAACTAATTGTAGAAGGAACCTAACACCAATCAGAGAAATAATTAACACTGGTTCAGGAATTCATAGTAATGCAACATGAAAGTCCTAGGTGTTGAATTGAATATCTCTAGATAGAATATAATCACAAAAACTCCTAATTGCGTCCTCCCACATAGAACAATTTCATCCCACACTTTAAAACGAACAAAAAAAAAACTAGATACAGTTATAAATCTCATTTACAAAATGAATACATTTGTAACAGCTAGGTATCTAGAGAACACCTCTAAATATTATCTACTTGTAACCGTTTTCACAATTATGAATTTAAATAATTGACAACTTTACGAGATAATTTTAAAAGAGAGCAGAATGTGCTATCCAATAAAATTACAAATACTTTAATCACTAAAACAATGAAAAGCACATGGATAACTTACTTTGATTGTGATTGGTATGATTCTTTGACTTAGCCATAGCTTATAGCAGAACAAGTATACAATATACCTATAAAATAAAATAATAAATAATTAGAAACAATCAGAAAAGTTCAAAATATTAAAATAATCACGAATTTCCAGACAACGAACCTTGTCCAACCACGCGCAGATACAGATGGAAGCTAACCGCAGCTAACTGTATTTTATCACACTCAATGAAGGTTATGTTATGAAATAATTGAATAATATTTCTTTCTGCACCAGTTTAATAAATGTATAAAAAGAAAATATAAATAAATTCTGTAATGAATAGTTTAACTCAATTAAAGTATTCCATAAATAATCTGACTGAATCATCAAACCAGTTTTTATCGCCCCCTCTTCATAAAATATTTTCCTCAAGAAAATATTTTAATCATCACGTAAAAAAGTAAACTGCATAAATAAATATTTTTATTACCACATTTTCACTAGTATTTAAAACTTTTTTTGTACGAAAAACCATCTATTTTATTGTAATTAGTCCTATTTTATTTTATGTCCAATGTTTCAGTCCTTCAGGCCATTTTCAAAAGAAGAAACTGTATAAAATAAAATAATTTAGGCTTATTTTCTCTTGTCAAATTAATTTGTTGATTGATATTGATGAATCAAATAATTTTATAAAGTTTGTTCACCTAAAAATCTATTTTTATTATTATAAATAAAATTAAAGTCCAACAGTATATATATATATATACATATATAATGCTAGCGCCAAGGCTATTAAAGTAATAGAAAAAACATTTCCACAAAAAAGAAAGATTGCCTCTTTGAAAACCTCTGTCTTTATTGGAAGCAAGAACTTAACTGATATAATAATGACTCAATTCACTAGCGTATCCAGGACTTCTTTTTTTAGAAGGGGGAGGGGGCTTCAGTCCGAAATCTTTTTTTTTTTATATGTAACGATAGTTAATTTGAAAAAAAAGAAGAAAGAAAATAACTACCTATATGAGATGTTTTTAAGTGATTCTTTAAGTACTGTTAAATTTAATTACACGAACAATAATACTTTAAGAGATAGTCTTTAATATTTTTTTCTACAAAACATGTTTACCATTTTGTGAGGGAGGCTTCAGCCCAAAGCCCTTCCCCCATAGATCCGCCTGTGACAATATAATTGAACCGTGTGAGGCACCAGCTCAATATATTGCCTTCAATAATATTGACCGTGGAAGGGGCTCTTTAGATGATTGTGTTAACCGTAGTTTATGAAATGTCTAAAGACACCTTTAAGTACATTTTGTATTGTTTATCCTTATTTTATTCTGGGGGGGTAACTTTAGTTATTTTAATATATAAATAAGACCATGGGCGGATCTACGGGGGGGAGGAGACTTTCGGGCTGAAGCTCCCCCTAAAATGGTAAAACATAACCATGTTTTATAGAAAAAAAAATTTTAAAATACTTCTTAAAGTATTATTGTTCGTGTAATTACAATTAAAATGACTTAATGAATCACTTAAACACCATTTCATATAGATAGTTAGTTTCTTTCTGTTTTTCCAAAGTAATTATCGTAATTTTTATGAAAAAAAAGCTTCCGGGCTGAAGCCCCCCCCCAAAATTAAATCCTGGATCCGCTAGTGAATAAGACAACATTAAGAGTTAAAATTGGTGGATTTGAGAAAAAATTAAGATAAAGTATATGACTAAACTGGCAACACTGCCACCAGGAAGGAGGCATGACTAATTACCCGAAATCTTTAATAAAATTAACATTTTATTGCATTTCTAAATTCATTAAGATTGTTGCTGATTTTAATCTTAATTGAGAAAACCATATTTTTGTTAAAAGTATTAATCATTAAAGGTTTATAATTTTCTTTCACTACATATCTAAGATATGGATAAAATAAGTTAAGACAACACAGGAAACTTCACATTATCTCACAAAAATAATGATAGAAATATAAATGTTTTCACTAAATTAGTAATTAAACAATACTATGATTCCAAAGATTAGGCCAGTCCCCGAACATTGTTACCATTTTATGGATGAATTAAGGAACATCCTTTTGATTAATAATTTTTTAAACACGATTGATCAGTTTTTGTTTCTTAAAGAAACTATTTAATCTCCAAGATTTTTTAAAGAATCAATCGGAAGTTTCATCATTAGAAGCATATTTACACGTTTCACAAATAATAGTAATATTATTACTTATTTGTTAGTTGTTAAAATGGACAAATATGTATGAAAACTTTGGATAGTTCTTAAATTATGTTCCTTAAATTTAAATATCATAAAATAATTACAAGTAACGATAACCAAAGCAAGTTAAATAATACCAACTTGCAGTAAAAATCATTTGCAAGTGAAGCTGTTAAACTATTATGTTGGCAATGACGAATTAAATCCATAAATTATAAATATTCAAATAATAATCATTAGTTTATCAACAAAGATTATAATGCAAATAGTAAACATTTAAATATGTTTACTTTGAATTGTTTATAACCAGTTATATTTCTAATTGTTATAAATTAATGATTAAATATTTAGTAAAAAAAAGAATAGAATAAATATGCCGAAAATATACAGAATTCTATTCAGAATATTTACGATAGAAAAGGGGCAACTCATTTTTAATTTAATTTGTCAACGTATTTTCTTGATTTTGGAGAACCTCTCGCCAACCTGATTATTGAACTTTTCACTGTTCTTCGAGTGTTTTTTTCAATTTTTCGTTTATTGTCTATGTTAAAGTTGAATTGGTTTTACGTGTCAGAATTAAATAATTGCTTTGAGCATCTATTGAAAGTACTATCGCCTTTTAGTGTCATTGAGTGTTAAAGAAATAGGTGTATGTGTTTGCACAAGCCTGATGACCATGATGAACTCTAGGGAAAAGGTTTTCAATTCAGAACCTATCCAAGTTTTCTGCAGAGTACGTCCAGTAATTAATTCTTCTGAAAGAACATGCTTGAAAGTTGTTCCACCTTGTGAGATACATTTGACTCAGCCTCAGACTCCTTCTAGACATGGAAAGAATATTAAGTACACATTCAAAGAAGTGTTTGAAGAAGATAGCAAGCAAAAGACAGTTTTTGATCTAGTTGCCTTGCCACTAGTCCAAAATTTGTTAGTTGGTAAAAGTGGACTTCTTCTTGCTTATGGAGTTACTGGAAGTGGAAAGACATATACCATGACAGGTAATGCTGAAAATCCAGGAATAATGCCTCGGTGTTTAGATGTGATTTTCAACAGCATTTATGAATATCAAGCCAAAAAGTTCATTTTCAAACCAGATAAGCTTAATGGATTTGAGTTGCAGTCTGATGCTGATGCTAAATTAGATAGGGATCACGCACTGCTGTCTCATATATCTCAGAATAAAGGAAGTCGACCAAAAGTGTAAGTTTATATCACAATTTTTATCCATCAAATGTATTTTTATTATACACATTGGTGCTAGTTCTGCAGTTCTACTGCAATATAATACCTGGGCCAAGATATGATTATTGCACTGAATTTTGAAAATAGCCAAAAGAAAAGGGAGATGGTCGATCTTGACATTTTAGTTTTGAATAATCAAAATACTGCTCAGTGGTTATCCTATCTATGGGAATTTTTAATGGTTATTAAATTTATTACTGCTTCACTTCAATCACAATTTTTTAACGATTTGAATCGAAACTCAAATGATGAACAATTTTTTTTTCATTTCACAGTTAAATATTTTATGTAGGAGATGGTCTGGGGTAGTGATCATATAAAAAATTTAAAATAGTGAAAACTATTTTATTCAATATCCTAACTTTTATTATTACCTCTACTCTGGACCATCTCCTTCCTGAGTATTATACAATGGTTAATCTTTAAATACTCCAATATTTTATGGTTACACATCTACACCAAGTAGTACTCCTGCTTAGTAGTAAGGCTTGGACCTTGACTGAAAAGACCCATTATTTTTAGAAGTTGGACAGTTGCTATATAATAAATGCAGTAATAATTTTAAAAGCCTCTAGTAATCTCAATGAACCCATCCTATGAAAATGGGTAATGTAACCTAAACATTATGTATAACTGAGAACCTGCCATTGGTTGTGAAAGTGATTGTCGATACTCTGCTACTTTCGGGATAACATCAGCAGTAATCTTTTGCCCAGCTATTATATTGGAGTAATACTGCAGAACTAATGTTAAATAATTTTATCACGTCAATTGATTATTAAATGTTGATCAGGGACAAACTTAATTCCGATCCAGATTTGTTGGGTAGATCTCGTGACTCTTCGAGGGTTAACTTCATTGATGAAGATAACCACTATGCAGTTTTTGTCACCTATGTTGAAGTATACAACAATAACGTATATGATTTACTTGAAGATTTGTATTCCGATGCCTCACGACCAAAGTAATATATTCCTTATGCATAATTTTTTTTTTTTTATTACTATTGAGTTTTCATTAATTCCCAACATATTTCTTTTCCAGACCCCTGCAAGCTAAAATTGTTCGTGAAGACTCATCTCATAATATGTATGTTCATGGTGTTACTGAAGTAGAAATTAGTTCACCCGAAGAAGCTTTTGAAGTATTTTATAAAGGCCAAAAAAGAAAACATATAGCTCAGACTACTTTGAATACTGAATCCAGTAGAGCTCATACAGTTTTTAACATTAGGGTTGTTCAGGTAAAATTTAATGTATTAGTGATTTTTCCAATTTTACTCCTGCATGACAGGTGGACCAACATCACATTGATCACACTCTTTAAAGAATACTTTAAATAGAATTAGACAACTGAACCGCAGACCTTTCTTAGTAATACATGTAATTTGATTGATGGATCATGAATGTTTGACTGTTGAGCTCGTTCAGAAAATAGACAATTTATACATTCCTTCGAGTCTTCCCAAGCAGAGAGAGGTCTTTGCAAGGCTGACTAAATATATAGACCTGGCTTTACAGCTCCTCCATCATCACTGACATAATATTAGTGGAGCTAGTTCCAAGATAGTACTAGTATATGGAGAAGAAAGACTAATAATGAACTGTTATAACAAAATGGTGAATCAATATCTTTTGGTATAAAGGCAACAAGGTTAATTCGGGTGGGACATACAGTTTGGAGAAAAATATCAGGAATTTTCTACACAACAATGAATTTCTCAATAGAAGTGTTATGTCGAATACAGGAAATATTCAAATTGCAATTGAAAAGGTAGAATTCTTCTTTTATAATATTTCTATTTGATATCTATGTTTTTACAACAATTGATTTAATTATCATTAATTCAACAATCGATCTCATGTGTTAAATCATGGATGATTGATAGATACAACAGCTCTCCACGACTTAATTTAGCTCATAATCAGAAAGATAAGCTGGAGGATTGTTCAGGTAAAATTTAATGTATTAGTGATTTTTCCAATTTTACTTCTGCATGACAGGTGGACCAACATCACATTGATCACACTCTTTAAAGAATACTTTAAGTAGAATTAGACAACTGATGACGTCTTTGTGATCTGCGCAGAGGCTGGAAGTCGGTCATTACTGGTCCAGAAGCAGAAGTGGTTTCACTCTCCGATCTGTCATTCTCCGTCACATCTACATGAGATAGGTGTGGCATCGTTTCCGTCATCGGTTCAGGAACCCCATAGGTATCCCTTGCAGTGCTGTGGTTGCAGGCGTTGGAAAGCTAAGGAATGTAACTGTTTTGGAGGTATCACTCTTATCATTAGAAGTTCCCGTACAATATAAAAACATTGTATCTAAAGAAATCCACTACATATCCTAATTGAACAACAAGTCTGGATGTATAGGATCTGAACCGTATGTTTGTATTTTGAAATTTTGCATTTAGATGGAGCTCATAAAAATTAGTTTTGGGTAATAGTCTCTGTCCTGCACCTGGATCAACTTCAAAAGTTGGGAATTTATTTTCTATTTTAATACTAACAAAATATTTTTTTGCATCTTGAAATTTTTGTACAATTTGCTTTGCGTAAATATCAATAATTGGGTTAATGTCGTAAACTTCTGATGAACTTGAGTCAGAATCTGTGTCTTCGTTGTTCACGGAGTTAATATTTTTTTTTTTCAGAAACCAATTTTTTAAAACATACTTTTTCTACGTGTCCTGCTTTTTCACAATGTTTGCACCTTATCTTCTTAGGATTTATTCTGCAATCCTTGGCGCTGTGATTATTATGACCACAGCGAAAGCATGGTCCATCAATTCCTAGATTCTTAAAATTTATACCTTGTTTTTGTTGAATTCTCAGACGGGTTCTAGAATTTCGTTGGACTCGAGGAGTGGAGAAAAATTTAATCGCCCTCGAAAGTCTACTGATTGAGGGGTCTATGATGTTTTCTCCAGAAATTTCATTGTTGTCTGAAATAGATGCTAAGGCCTTAGAAGCTTCATTAAATGTTTTTGGTTTTGTAACAGCAAATGTTGTCTCATTGATTGGTCACTCAAGCCTCTGATGAACTGTGAGAAGAAAATATCTGAAACTGACTTCCCGCATTCACACAGTATTTGACACTGAGGAATTATCTTTTGTAATTCATTTGCATATGTATTTATTGTTTCTTTTTTTTTGATAAAAATCTATGTCTTTCTACTATTACACTTGATTTTAGAAAGACATAGTTGATTACATAATTGGTTCTTTAAAGTTTCAATTACATCTTTATAATTTAAGTTTTAAATTTCTGGAGGTCCGGTTGCAATTTTTAATAGTTTGTAGGTTCCTGCAAGTAAAAAATTTCATTATTAATTCATTAGTAAAAAAATTTCAAATCTTTCTAGGTACTGAGAACAATGTTATTTAGTTTTATCAAAATTGTAAGTAAAGTGTTCACACTGTGATTGAATGGGATTGATTTTCATGAAAAAAGCTTTAAATTGTGCCTGTTGTGCCGCCAAAAATTGTGAAAATTGTTCAACATTCATTTTTTTTTGTTTCATCTTTTTTGAATTGAATGCTTTAATTTTTTTTTTTATGTACAAATTGACAAAGACTGTTCGAAAGGGAAGTAATTATTTAGAACACTGGTATAAGTTTACTGTAATACTAGTACCTACTTGACTTTATCCTCGTCGCCAATTTGTTATGTCGAATACAGGAAATATTCAAATTGCATTTGAAAAAGTAGAATTCTTCTTTTATAATATATCTATGTTTTTACAACAGTTGATGTAATTACCATTATTTCAACAATCGATCTCATATGTTAAATCAGGGATGATCGATAGATACAACAAGAAGGCAAGAGACTATTTGGACAGCCAAAAATCGGATTGAATGGATCAAATCAACAAAGATGCTGCAGAGTTGCATACAGAAAACTGTAAAGGACTGGAGAACGCTGGTTAAGTTGGCAAAAGATCTATACTATCTGTAAAGCCATTTTGGAAACAAATATTCATAATTAAGCTTAATATTTCTAATTGACTCAGATTAATTAATTAATGGGATCTCAGGATCTTAATCTGATAGGAATCGTTCACCTTAGCCTACTTTCGAATCCACTCGGTTATTTTTTAAATTTAATTTATAATGTGATCTTGGCCTTCCCGCCTTGCTAGAGTGGCAGTACTGAGGAATTACCGTGTAACTTTTAAAGCATTACATTTGTACAGATTTATGAAACTTAAATATAACTATATTAGCTTTATTTTATAAAAATTTGTAGGCACCAACGGATGAAAATGGCGAAACATTGCTACTCGATAAGAAGCAGGTCATAGTGAGCCAGTTATCCTTGGTCGACTTGGCTGGTAGCGAGAGATCGGTCAGAACAAAAAATACTGGGCAAAGGTTAAGGGAAGCAGGTATCGTAATTAATCTTCAATGTGTTATTAGTTTATTAAAACATTATTGAAGAGAAGGATGGTTGAGGTGATCAGTTAAAATAAAAAATTGTATTTATTTTCACATTCGCCGAAGTTTTGACCCAAAGTTCAGACCATCATCAGGGCTAAGAAAAGAGGGGGTGGGGTGGCCGAATGGGCTAAAGCGTGTGCATAGCACCGCGAGTTGCCTGGCAACCTGATAATAAAGATTTGAGATGATTAAAAAAGTACGAGTTCGCATCCCGGTGCTGGAGAGGATTTTAAATTCCCCGCCTCCACCCTCCGGCCCGGGAAAATCCCGTATAGCCTAAAAAGGCGAGGTAGAGAAGAACATAAAAAAAGAAAAAAAAAGAAAAAGGGCTAAGAAAAGAACCAGATAACAATAGGTATAAGAAACAATAAAAATTGAATAATAAAAAATTAAAATATTATCTATAATAAATCTCTTTTCCATCATATACGTTCCTGTGCTTTAGTCCGCATTTTTCGGTTGGCCGTTACTGAAGGCCCCATCTGCCAACTTCCCTTCCTCTCCCTACGATACATCTGTCTGTCTATCTACTCTTAGTAGAGCAGGTTTGTTTACTTCTCTTATTTTAGTTTTTCTCCTTCTCTCCCTCCTTCCCGTCACTCTATTTTCCATATCTCCATCTCTGTTTTGTATGTATTGATACATTTTCTCATTCATCTTGTTTACAATATTATTTTAAATTTTTATTCTCTTATTTTTGATATGTTTTGCAATATCATAATTTTATGTTTGTATCTATTATTTCCTTATATAACTTCATATTTCTTTTCTGTTTTACATTTTATTCCAAGATTACCATTTTCCATTTCTTATGTTACCTTATTTTGATTATGTTTATTTCATTGGTCCATGCGTTTTTACCGTTATTATTATTTATTTCTTAGTTCTCTGTTACTATTATGATTCTACCTATTTTATTTTAATGATGTAGAGATGGTTGACCGTTGATATAATATGAGAAGGAGTTAGTCGGGGGTGCGGTCAAATAAATAATAAATTAAAATATATTAATTATTTTAATTTTTGCCGACATTTCGACCCACCTTGCAGGTCCTCTTCAGGGCTGTAAAAGATACAAAACATGTTGAAAATAAAAAATAAATATAAGTAGATATAAAATAAGAAGAAGTTGTCAGATACAGAAATAAAAAATGGTATCAGAGATATAATGGGTGATAATGTAGTTAAATATTAAGAATTATATATGTAGAAGATACAAATAAATGGAAAATAAGTATGATTAAAAATAAAAATTAAGAAGAATATAGCATGTAAGTTAAAAGTAAACAGATTGCGATAAAAGATAAGGAATAAGTATATAACAAACTAATAGAGATTACATTAGATAACTGTGGGTTAACAGGTAAAGAAAATAAATACTTGAATGTTAACGAATAAATAAACATTAACGAATAAATAGATTGAAAATTGAATAAGTATTGTTACAGTAAAGTTAAAATAAGGATAAGATAACATAATAATAAGATATCAGTGGATAACAAGCAAGTGGAGGTTACCTTTAATTGTAAGTAAACAGATAACGGGACTAAATAAATAACGGTTAAGAAGTGAAGAAACTGAAAGATTAATAGGGTAACATTAGTGTAATATCGTTAGGATAGATTATTAAGTATAAATAACTCAACTCTATAAGAAAACAATAATTTTAAAAGAGTACTTTAAAATGTAAGAACAAATGTAAAACAAGGTTTTGTAGCCCTGAAGACGACCTGCAAGGTGGGTCGAAACGTCGGCAAAAATTAAAATAATTAATATATTTTAATTTATTATTTATTTGACCGCACCCCCGACTAACTCCTTCTCCTATTTTATTTTACTTCAATGTTCATTCTACTTAATTTTAGGTCAAGTTTTTCTACTTAAATTTTTAGTCTATAACTTTCACTTTTTTAATTCTAATTCTTTATTATTTAATGTTTATTGTTTCTTATACCTATTGTTATCTGGTTCGTTTCTTAGCCGTGATGAAGGCCTCAATTTCGGACAGAAAGGTCGGCGAATGTGAAAATAAATACAATTATTTATTTTTACTATTTTATTTTGACTGATCACCTCAACCATCCTTCAGTCAACAATCAATCCACAATTATTGAAACATAAATTGATTATTCCATATAATAACTCCATTATTATATTATATAACTCAATATAAATAACTTCAATAAATTTTGTATTTATTTATTTTTTTAAAAAAGGTAATATTAATAACTCCTTGCTGACATTGCGTACCTGCTTGGAAATTCTGAAGGAAAATCAGAATGGTGCCAATAAAATGATTCCTTACAGAGAATCACGACTAACTCATTTGTTCAAGAATTACTTCGATGGCCAGGGACAAGTTACTATGATAATTTGTGTTAGTCCTTCGTTTGAAGACTTTGATGAAACACTTGTAAGTGAAACAATAACATTGTAAAGCATTTCAAAAATTTAAATTGGTTAAATTTAAAGATAATTTTTTTTCCCAGCACGTTTTAAAATTTGCTGAGATGAGTCAAGAAATACAAATGACTTGTCCTACCGTTATTCCCAGCGTTGGCTATACTCCTGGTAGGAGAAAAGCTAATCAGGTATGTTTCAACTTTTTGTCAAGTATTAAACATGTAAAATATATTAATAAAATTTTTATTTTTATGTATTATAATAAACTTATATGTGTATATTTAATAGTACTTAAGATGTAACGACTGCATTGGCATGTTATGAACATCTTCATGTGTACAGACAGTCTACCACTTTAAGTAGTTTTGTATTTACATCATTAAACAATTTCTTTAAGGAACCATTCATTTTATATCGAAGAAAATTCAGAGTTATATTGCTTGAAAGGAAGAATTAATTTTTTTACAAAACGAAAGTGATAAATGAAAATTAAATTGTCAGGAATTTCAGTAATGATTATATTTATTGGGTTAGCCGACGTTTCGACCCAAACATAAGAGCTGAAAATTACAAAACTCAGCAAAATAATAAATATAATAGTTTTTTTTATATCAATAACCCCTCAATAATCGTCCTTCTTACGCCTCCTACAACCTTCTCCAGTTCAAATCCTCAGTCCATTCCCTGTCCACAAGATCTCGACCTTCTAACCTTTACATGCCTTCTCACAGATCAGCCTCATTCCAAAATTCCTTTATTGTTCGCTCTATCAATTTCTGGAATTCCCTCCCTATCAAAATTCGACATTCCCCATCCATATCCACATTCAAAACCCTCCTATTCCAATTCCTATCCCAAAAACAGTCAGATAGTTGCTAACCATTCGAGCTGATTTTAATAGAGAATTTGATACATTTTTATTTTTTAATTCTTTATTTTTTTCGTAAAAGTGTATACTGGTCTATAAGAGCAAACAGCTTTAAGTGTCTTGTCGTAGTATTAATGGTTTTGTATATAGTTTAGTTTGTTTTGTATATAGAATTTTTACCTTATATTTTTTTTTACATTATTTCTTTTTTTCGATTGATTTTATTTTGGCCAGATGTAATATATTAATTTTGTTCTATTTTGTTATTCTGAAGGGACTGTGTCCCAGAATAAAGTTATTTTTCTATTTCTATTTTCTATTTAAGGGTAGTAAGAGTGCAGAATACATCTTCGGGATCCCTAGGCATTCACATGTTTGATTATGGTACGCCGAGTTGAAGTGGCTTTATCCTACTTCCCGACGACAATTCCTCCTTGGTGTTTTTCTTTTCCAAGTCCTCAGAACCAAAAACCCTTCCTACATTCTGGAACTCCTTACTCTACGTTCCACTATCAACTCTCTTAATACCAGGTCTCAACCTATAGATTTTTATATCCTCTCCCATAAAACTACTTCCTTCAGCAAATCCTTCATCATTCATGCTACCTCCTTTTGGAACTCTCTTCCTATCTCCATACATCAGTCCTCGTTCACAAATTCCTTAAACTCCTGTTCCACCACCTACTCCACATTCAAACCTCTGTGAACATGTAAAATTACTTGCATCTATATACTATTTAATTTCAATCTATTGCACAATTGCAATAACAATCAGCAATTAATTATTTTGTATTTTTTATTATTTTAAGCCAGATTAATACCAATAAATTTGTAACTCTGTTATTATTCTTGGGAACTGTAGACCCAGAATAAAATCATTTTTTCATTTATTCATTTCATTCAAATAATAGTTATACTATTCTGTTAATAATGTTATTCTGCACTGTTATTACCCTTAAACTTTTATATTTATTATTTTACTGATGTTATTTCATATTTTATAATTTTTAAATCTGATGCTGAGACACATGTTTTGGTCGGAATGTCAAGTCGAAGTATTTCAAAGTATCTTTTTTTTTTTTTCTTTGTTTTTCTTCAGTTGTTTCAAACTGTGAGATCCGTTTGGAACAGAAACCACACAACTTCCTCCCTTTTTCTTTCTTATTAAAAAAAAATTCAGCTCCTCTATTATATTAGAATTGTTATTTGATGATTTATTCGAGACATACCTTTTAAAATAAATAAAAAAGTTCACATTTCATGAAAGACTAAATATATTGGGTTGGCAAATTAGTCCTTTCGGTTTTTCAGGATGAAATAAAACTTGATGTATTATAGACATAAAATTTATTTTAATCTAAAATATATTGACCATTATTTAATATACTTTTCCACATATTTCCACTAACTACATAATGCCATGTTCATAGAATGTAGAGTTTATTGTTAAAAAACTGATCCAAGTGGTTTTTTCTCCTTGTCCTCTTCCTTGTCCTCTTCCATGTCCTCTTCCTTTTGGAATTTCTTTCCATTCATGGAGTTCTGCAGAGACCGGAATAAGTTGTAGTCACTTGGAGCTAGATCTGGTGAAAAGGGAGGATAGGGCAAAAGGTCCCATCCAAGGTTCAATAATTTATTGCGAGTGACCAATGAGGTGTGAGGCCTAGCATTGTCTTGGTGGACGCAACACCCTTCCGATTTGCCAGTTCTGGGCATTTATTTTGAATTGATTGATCCAATTTTGTTTATTGTGAGCAGTATAGAGTTGACTCTATTGTTTGTTCTGATGGCAATAGCTCATAGAAAATAACATCGTTGATATCTCGCCATATGGAAAGCATTACCTTCATAGGATATAATCCAGGTTTTGAAATTCTTCTAGGAGTCTCACTACTAGATCTCCAAGATTTTCTACCAACTATATTATCGTAAAATATCCATTTTTCATCTCCTGTTACCAATCTTTTCAAAAATGGGTCGTTTTGTGCCGTTTCCGTAGTGAATCACAAGCAGAAATGCGTGTTGCCAAGTTGACTTCAGTGTAAGAGTGAGGGACCCAAACATTAAGCCTGAAATATAGCCGAGCTTGTACAAATGGTTTTCTACACTTGTGTGCGACACATTTAGGGCCATAGCAATCTCTGCTGACAGTTTAATGATTTTATATTATTATTTGAAAATTATAAAAAATTTCCATGATTTGTCTGGTACTAGTCATTTATGCAATTTATAGGAACGTTAATTAAATGATATTTTCTTGTTCAAGAATGCTTAATGAGAAAGTTCATTAATGATATAATGGATAATATTTTCCTAATTTTTGTTTATTTACTCTTTTTAAGGCATTCAAAGCAGCATTACTAGAATACAATACAATTAAAAAAGACCCTTTAATTGTCGAGACTGTGTCTGCTGAAGTCAAGCCCGAATTGGGGAATAATCCTGAAAATTTGGCTTATGAGGAAGCGTAAGTTTCTAAGTATTTATTATTCATTATTTTTCTAAATTTCAATGATAAGGAAATCTTATTTAAGGTTTTCTTAAATTATTATTCAAAAACATTGTCTCATCCCCTTTGGTGAAGATCCATGCTTCTGACCCATAGGTAAGCACTAGACCCACTAGCGACTTAAAAAAATTTAACTTGATTATATTAGAAAGGAATCTACTCCTGAAATGCTTTGTACTGGTTGTTGTTATCCTCCTTATCTCCTGGAAGATATCATTTTGCGAAAGAAATCTAATTAGGAGTAAATAATTGTAACTTTACTAATTTTTATCGTATCAATTTTCAGTTTTCGTAATATCCCTATTCTTGACTTCGTTCAAATGGATGATGATGTTACTTTGAAGAATGCTGTTTCTTATTTCAAGGAAAACTCAGAACTTTATTCATCTAATATCAACAGTATAAATACAAGATGTAAGTAATTCAGTTTAATATTGACTTTAAAAATATTTATATCCTTTATTTAGTATAAACATGTCCAAATTTTTTTTTAGAAAGTTAATTCATAGTGAAAAAGGTTTAACTGAGTGGTCAAATACATTGATTTGTTAGGCCAAGAATCCAACAAAGAATGTTGCTTAATATTGGTTTTGATTTTTTTGTGAATGAAAGAAAAAATAGTTTTATTTTAGAACAAAATCTCCTAAAACTATGAGAAGGAGTTGGTTAGTGTTTGTTAGAGAGTTGGATAAAATAGGGAAATTCTATTTTATAGTTCACGACATTTCGGCCCACTTTGTACATCTTCATCAGGGCATGGTATCGGCCACTGCAGGAAGCAGTTGGTAGACTGCTAATACAACATGGGTCGAAATGTCGGCGTAAACAATAAAATACTATTTTGATATATAGTATTCTTTTGACCGCACCTCCCAACCAACTCCTTTTCATATTATAACCACTGTCAACCATATCTACGCTATTATGTCTTCTAAAAATAATTAAATAGCCCTGTTGAGGAATCTTTGTGGAATATGCAAATGGAAATTTACCTTAATGTTATTGCCTATTATTTCTTACTGTTGGAGCCAGAAGTCAATATATAGTACAGGATTTAAAGTCTAAAGTAATTTTCTAAAAGTGAATTTTTATGGAATATTAGTTTTGAAAATCAGACTGGAGAGGATTGAGGAAAGTGTTTAGCTGAAGGAAGTTTTTTCTTTTTTATATTGACATTACAGACTTTGTAAATCTTTTGTCGCCTTAATCAGGCTTCTCCACCTCTGCCTATCTTGAGCTATTTCTTTTCAGTTATCTGCACGCAGCTCTATAGCTTCTTTGTTGATTCAATCTATCTATCTGGTTTTTGGCCTTCCATGTAGTCTTTCGTTGTGTTGAGGCTTCTAGATGGTTTACCATGAGCTACATGGCCCACCCATCTTAATCTCTTTGCCTTCATATCATGTGATATTGATTGATAAGTTTCCGTAAGCAGTTCTTTATTGGTTTTTCTCCTCTATTCATTAGTATTCTGATCCTATATTGGTGCGGTTATCGTTCAAAGGATTTTTTTTCTCAAATCTTTCAATATTACTTTGTAGGGGTTGGTTAATGTCCAGCAGTATATCAAAATTGGCTTTATCATGGTATTATACACCCTTAATTTGAGATTTTTTGGGATTTCTATACCTTTGAAAGAGAGATGGGCTCTTTTTGCGCTTGTTATATGCTGGTCTATTTCTAACCATTTGATTTTGTCTACTCTCGAGAAGGTTATCCCTTCTCACAGATTCTGTTACTAGGGTGGATGCTCAGCTCATTATCACATATTTTATTTTATCTGCATTAACTTGTATGAGTGAATGAAAATAATTTTATTATTCTGGGACTAGTGTCACAAAAAATTATAAATACAGAATATAAATTAACATGTTGGTGTGTCCACAATATAAAATTAAATATTTACAAGATGGTTGGTAATAAAACAAAACTACAGATAATGAATTCTGAAATATAAAAACTAAAGAAATTATAAAAAACTTACATAAATATAAAATAAACAGAGAAAGGGAAAATAAATAAACAAAATATCAATTTTCATTGCAAATTTCCCCGATGGTGCTCTACCAAAGTTTTTCCAGTTTTAACTAAAACTCCTTCCTAAACACACCTATAAGTCTCTATTTTTATTCCTTTATTTTATTTTATTTATTCAATTTTTTTGTTTTTCTTTTCTTTCTTCACATGTCTATTATTTCATATTATTTATCCTTTTCTTGCAATCTCTCCTTGAGATTTGTAGGAATATATTCATAATTGCATATATTATAGTACATATTATACTAAAACAATCATTAACATTTATTTACTTCAATTTAGGATCTTGTTACTTAGTTTACTCTATTTATATAGTTTATTGTTCTTAATATTTCAATGTACTTACTGTTTATAATTTAAATGCATTTATTCACCTTGTTTATAATTTGTATCTAAATATTATGTAACTTCCACAATTTTCTATATACTTTTGTATCTTGTCCATTCTAACCTTGAAGAAGACCTGCAAAGTCAGGTCGAAACGTTGCTTTGAAATAAAATAGTTTTGCTACTATTTTAGTCTATTTATGACCACCACCCTGGACCATCTCTTTCCTCTAAAATACAACGGGCAACTATTAAATATTCCATAAAAATAAATCATTTTTCTGCCATGATTCGGAATTCAAACATGGGACCTCAAGCATTGGAAGATCAGTACTCTACCATTGAGCTAACCCACTCCCACTGGTATAGAAAGATAGCAAGGGAATACTAACGACGGTAGGATGTACAAAGCCACTTCAACTCGGTATAATACTGGGTAATACGTGTATATCTTTAAATCCCGAAAATAAAGCATATTGAGCAATTTATTAGACATTTAAGTTTGGCTTTGAGTTCTCCTGAGAGGCCACCATACAACATACAGCCATAGTCAAAGTGGGAGAAAACGAGAGATGAAACCAGGAGTTGACAGGTTTTGAATGGAAGGAGATAGTATAGATGGTTAAACTGCTTCAGGGTGGAAATAGTACAGCGTGAAGTTTGGGAGATGTGTGGTTTCCAGGAGAGGGTTTGATGAAGAGTAACGCTTGTAAGCTAATTTGCTCTGTTTCTCTTATCAGAGTCTTAGCGAGTTTCTCAATTCCCTCTTGATTGCTTCCAAGGACTGCTATCTCATCTGCCATATCCAAGGATTTATGATTCATTCCAACGTGCACTCCTCCATTTTCACATAATGTTGTTATCACCTTCTCCAGCGCTAAGTTTAACATTGGTAAGATTCCATCTCTCTGCTGTAAACCAATTCGATCTTTAAAAGCTTTATATACTTCTTCTTGTATTAAGACTCGACATTGTACACACCTTATTATTATATTATATTTATAGCTATTAGGCTTATTAAACTAAATCGTATATAATCTGTCATGGTTATATTATTTGCTAGATTATAGTTTACCTCATAATTTAGTTATCAGCCATTTGTGAATTATCTATCGCTTGTTTTATTGAACATTGATATCTTATTGACATTCTTTGATGTGTTAGATCAGGCTTTTCGGGATTCATTGTTGAAGTCTGAAAGAGATACTTTTATGGCTACTCAAGAACTCAAGTCTTTATCCTCACTTTTAGAAGTTGAAAAAAATAAGGTATACGAGATACGTTATTTATATTTATTTTAGAACTCTTTTTGTTTAATTTAGTTTTCTTTCTTAATAATTTGTCTTTATTCTGGAACAGATTCTTAATCTCATAAATATAATAAAAACTTAATAACTTTAGTCTAGCAGAGATAGTTACTTTAAATAGTGAAAACCAAATAACGACAATAAATATTTGACTGAGTGTTAGCTAGGTTCTGTTTTAACTCAATTATTTGGAGTTTTCATCTGTTTTTTAGGAGATGACAATCAAGCACATTGTTTGATTTTCTTTTTTCTTTAAGACAATAAAATATAAAATGAGCCACCAGGCTTTAACGTTGTGCGACAGAAAATAAAATAGCATTATAAAAATAACCTCATTGTATAGTGAAGTATTAATTCTTTATTTTTCCGTAGGTTTCTGATTTCGAAAGGAAACTTCATCATACAGTGCAAGAAATGAATACGATGAAAAGGAAATTTGACGAGTGCGAGCTTACAATTAAAAGATTAAAGCGTGAGGTCAGTCTTGCGTTATTTTTGAAAATTAATTACTATTGATAATTATTTTTATGTTTCCATTTTATATTTTAGCTTTCTCAAAAAAACCTAGAAATAAATGAAATGAAAATAGAGAGAGAAAATTTAATAGAAATTTATACCAACCAGATGGCCGAAAAAGAACAAAAGATGAATAACGAATTACACAACAAACTATCCTCACAAAAATCAGCATTTGCGGTGAGTTCTCATAATTATCTACATTAAGTATCTGATAAGATAGAAAAAGGATTTGAAAAATTAATAAATGAACTTATCTCACTGAAATTGTTGTGGGAATGATTTTTAAGTCCTTCTATATGTAAAACTACATATAAAATAATATATTTTAACAGAGTTAAGAAACTTTTTACTTTCTGTTACTGAATCATATTAATAATATATTGTATTTACATAGTTGGAGCTTAGAAGAAAAAAAGAAAAATTGAGAAGAGTCAGAAAGATTCTAGATACTGACACGGATAGCTTGTTGAGCGTTGCTACGTCTAGTGGCGTGCCAGCTACAACTTCTACAGCCCCAACTTCACCACCTGCGAAGACCAATACAACTGAAGTCCCATGTCCGATCGTAACCCCTCCTTCGAACATACAGGCAATGGGAGGAGGGCCTGTCCGATCAAGTGCGCGCAGGGTAATATAATCTGCATTTAAAACTGTTATTTTGTCTATTATTGATGTAAAAATTATCTTTTTATTGTTATATATGTTCATTCAAATAGGAATAAAATATTCAATTAATTATTTAAAATATTTACTTTATTTATAGTAACTTTTACTTAGATCATTTATTAAAATGATTTCTAACATTATTATTATTGTTTAGTAAACTTTATAATTATAGAAAAGATGCTAGAATTGATTTAGAGGTGCAACCAAACCTTTTTTGAACCAGATTAGGAAGGTCGAGATTCATTCCGTTGCTCTACCAGGAAGTAAATTTCAATTCATCCAGTCCACATTGTGTTGCTAGACTAGATCATGTTAAAGTTTACGTTTTAACATACTCATGACCTACTGCCAATTTTTCACTCTACTCTATTATTTAACTATGGGTGTACAACTTCTTTTTCTTTCTTTTTTTTTAATTGGATAACCCCTACCCACCATTTCTGTCATACGAGAGAAGGGGGAGGGAGTTGTTCTAAACCACTCTCAGGCCGGATTCGAATCGCTGTTGCTAGACACGAGAATGATAGACTGGGTAACACACTCGGCCACCACGACCTCCTGTCGGTGTCCACTGGCTGGGAGTGCTCCAAGATGGTCTGACTCCAGGATCAATCCACAGATTCTGAAATAGAATAAATAATCATCTGCTTGGACCCTTTAGAATAGTAACACAATATTTTCCTCGCTGTCACATGGAGGTTGCGATGGCTGGGCATGTTAAAGCATTGCCCAGTTTAACATTTTTGAGTATAGTAATGTCGGTTCGAATCTCAACCTTACCCCTCCAGTTTCTATTATATTTTTTTTACTTTGACTTACATATATATGTAATATATAGCAAGAGTAAGTATTGCGATCGTGAAAATTTTTGAATCTGAGTTTTCAATGGAAATACACGTTTTGGGGTACCCTGAGACCAAATAACCAAATCCCGAATAATGGTCTGCTTGGCTGTGTCTATGTGTGTATATGTTAGCAGTCTAGCTCAAAAACAAAAAGTCGTACGAAACTGATATTACGTATTTAAGATAGGTATATGCCTTAGATGTAACAGCAACTTTTTCCAATGCCACTTTATATCAATGCTGAAACACATTTTTACAATTTTCTCAAAAACGGCTTTTGACGATTTTGATTAAACTTGATTTATCAGCCTCTTCGTTGCCTAGAATACCTGAGTGACCTGGCACCCACTCAATGGTAACCTTGTTATGCTCAGCGAGATTGTTATGCTATGCTTGTAGTCTTTAACAATCCGGGAGTAAGTATAATAATTGTTTAAAGCACCTGTTGCTGCCTGACTATCATTATAAATTATTATACTTTTACCAGTCACTCAGCTAACCAATAGGTTTCGGCCACAATGGCAGATTGCCAGTAGTTCGGATTGAAATACTCAAGTATATCTTATATATTTTATCTTTCTGATAGATGCCTGCTCCTGAGCCATTAGCTGTAAAGGTACTATTTCGCTGGCGCGGTCCATAACAGCGACCACTATTCCACGCTGCCAACCGCTGTTGGCCTAGATATTTCGCTGAAACTGCTCACTGAAGTTGTTATAACCTGCCTATAACCTTCGAACATTTCGCTTTATCTTCGAAGGTAAAAAAATGGACATTCTTTCTCTGACTTCGCCTTTTTATTTGAGGAGTAAAAAGAAGAAGAAGAAGAGGAAATGGTGTTCATAAGGAGAAGGAATATCAGTATTTTGATGACATGATCATCATCCAAACCATCAAATCTCTTCTTGGACTTGGTTTGCTATTGTTTAGAGGAACAACCAAAAGAGAACAAACAAAATTTACTAACAACAATAGTCCCTCTGATATTAGATATTATTAATTTGAAAAATAATAGTAATTATTACATAATTGATTAGTTATAAATATCATATATTTGTAATTAAGTCACAACAGGCGATGCTTTATCATTTTATCAATAGTAATCAGTAAATTCCCACTTTCATTAAAAAATACAAAATCGATTTTTCAATGTGTGGATTTTAGTATTTATCTGACGTTAAAATTTGTTGGATTCTTTAATTTATTTAATATCGTTTGGATTTAGGTATATTTGAATTTCGCAGTAAAATATTGTGGAATAAATAAGTAAAGAATCTTGATACTTCAACCTTAAAAAAATAATTTACTATTGCATTGTTTAATTTTGCCAGACTTGAAAGAAACATAGGAAATAAAACGTATCAACGTGACTGTTATCATCAAAACAATGCTCTGACATAACCTACAACCGCCGAACCGCCAACAGCTCCACTGCTTCAGGAGCGGTCAGATAGGAGCAGCATAGATATGACGTCATACCTAGACTGCTGAGCAGCGCCAGCGAAATAGGTTCCTTTCTATTCCACTAAAGCAGTGGTCAACCGCGAGCAGTCGCGGTCGTGGACCGCGCCAGCGAAATAGTACCTTAAGAGAGCCAGCTATATAACACTTTATGTCATTTTTTGTATTGTCTGCTAGTGTCAATACCTACAACCCTATGGTATCCAGATATTCTAGGATTTGTATGTCAGAGTGCATGGCTAGCACCTCATCACACTCGATCCTTTGCAACAGTTTTGTATGTCTCTCCTGTTCAGGAATATTAGAGCAGCTTTTGAGCTTGCTCAGCCTGTACACTGCCGCTGTTAAAATAGGTTTGGTTTTATCCCTAGAACCACGTATTCATATCCTCTATAAAATAGTTATGTAGAACCTAAAATCAGAGGGCACACCTGAAGACATTGCTAGCTTAAGCTAAAAGCATTATTTAATGTTTATTATTAGGAGAGAAGTTGGTGGGGTGTTCAGTCAATGAAAAACCAAAGTAAAAATAAATAAATTATATTTATTTTTGTCCTCTTTGCTAACATTTTGGTCCAAGTTTTAGACCTTGATCAGAGCGATCCACACGAAAGATTCATTCCAAATATTTTCTGCAGTCAACTATTATCCACTATCGGTTTTATTATTATTTTATTTCATGCTTATCACTATATTATTACTTTTTTCTGTCCTTAGCTCGGCATAGCTGTCTCCAATAAGCGGCATCGGAGGTCTCGCTCAGCCGATGTTTGGTTAGACCACAGGCCAGCCATTGCTGTGCCGCTTGGTACCGTCATGCAGCCGAAGATGAACAAGAAGAAATCCGTGACTAAGCTGACTCAGGCCAAAGATGTCACCGATGGAGCCTCCAAATATTGCCTTATGACTCAGGGACAGGACTCGGACGGAGACTTGGAGACTAGACTCTATAAGGTATTTAGAATTTATTTTCGATAGTGATAAAGCTGTTTATACTTTTCTTTTTTCTTTTATGGTGGCATGCATAGTCGCTCCTCTAACACCACTTGAAGGTTCCGTGAAAAAAGAATGCTTTTATGAAACTGAAAAAGGATTCCTTTTAAACAATTACATTTCCATCGATACTTTATCGTACTTTTAATTTTCCCAAGAGAAGAACCATCAAATTGGCTGGGAGGAATTCTTTTTCATTGAGTCATTCTCATCATCGTCCCGAGTATGTGTCTCCTCTAAAAGCCTTTACCAGTTGATTCGGTCTGTTGTTTACCGTCAAGGAGATTGCTTAGCGTGTCTTCTATTTAACATTGCCCTCGAATGTGTCATTAGAAGATCCCAAATTCAGATTGGTGGAACGGCCTTCAATCATTCAGTGCAATTACTAGGGTTTGCCGATGACATTGCATTGGTTGGAAGAACAAGGGCAGCTATACAAGATGCTTTCTTAGCTCTACAAGGAGCAGCAGCGAGAAATGGCTTAAAGTTCAATGAGATGAAAACAAAGTTTATGCGGGCCGACCCAAAGGATGGAGGCCACAGAGAGGCAAATGAAGAAATCGGAGGGACATTTGAAGATGTCTCGGAATTTATATACCTTGGCTCGCAAGTTAAGGTAAATAATGACATGAATCCTGAAATACAGAGGCGCATCATGGCCGCAAATAGAGCTTATTTTGGTCACCAGGGACATCTTGAAAGTAGAGTAATCTCTCTTAAAACCAAGCTGCTCTTGTACAAAACCCTGTTCAGACCAGTACAAACATACAGAGAGTGCTGGACAATGTCAAGAGCCCAAGAAACAGCTCTTCTTCGGTTTGAACGTCGCGTGCTAAGAAGAATATTCGGCCCAATAATAAATATTAATCTGAAACAATGAGCTGATGCAGCTATATAAATAAGTCGATGTTGTGAGGCTAATGAAAATTAGCAGGTTGAGATGGGCAGGACACACAAGGCGGGTAGGCAGACCGAGACTCAGATGGGCTGATGGAGTGAAAGCCGACGCCCGAAGTATCCTTGGTGTTCACAACTGGAAGGCAGCAGCATTACTTGGAAAGGACTGGCGGTTGAAATTGCGGGAGGCCTTGACTCTGCAAGAGTAGTAGAGCCATTCATGATGATGATGTGTAATTTTACACATTCAAAATTATTTATTTTTTACCATTTCAATTTGACTGATCACTCCAACCATCTTCTCTTCAATAATTATTTTATATTTGTATTGGTAAACAAAATTCAATATCTGTGAAAGTCTTCTTATCCACTACCCTTTTATTGATTAATCTATTGAGAGATAATTATTTTTGTTGCAGGGCGATGTTATTCCAACACTCGGTGGCGGAGCACAAGTGATGTTTAATGACATAGAAGTCTTGAAACAGATGTCGCCCTCTCGCTCACCATATAAGGGAGTTGACTGATCATTCTTATTTTATAGTGGATCACCTATCATCGACTTTATAGAATTTTAAAACATTTTAAAATATGTTTAATAGATTATCTGTATAACTTTGTTTGGAGCAAACAAAAATGCTCTGATTAAAGATGCGATTGCATTGCATCTTGCATTATAAAATATTTTTTAAGTAGTGGAACTTGTTAATGGCTCGATAGTCGTTATGTGATAGACTGAAATTGAAGAGACAAAATATATTTTTCTATTGCTTTGTATTTAGATACTATATTTTTTGTATTAATATGAAAAACGTGTAGTTTATTGTAGAAATTATCAAAGTTATGTTTACTCTTTGTTCCATGACAATTTTGAATTGTATTTATTTTATTTTTTTCTTTATTTCAATATTTATTGATTAATAAAGAACTTTAATCCATCTTTTATTTATGTATGATTTAGTTATTGATGTAATAATTTATCAAAAAAAAATTGTGTTAAACCTCTGATAATGGTTAAAATACATTTTAAATCTTTTAACTCAATGTGTACCATTCTTAATTTCATACCTAGAAAAATACAGGGGGATATATTAAGATGGTGCATGTACAGAGGTGGTATATGTATGGATTTAATGAGAATAATTTAAAGCAGGGCTCTCTAAACTAAAACCCATGAAAGTAGTGGGCGGGGTGGCCGAATGGGCTAACGCGTGTGCACAGCACCGCCGTTGCCCGGCAACCTGATATATCAATCAAATGATATAAAAATAGTCATGAGTTCACGTCCCGGTGCCGAGTCTTTTAAATCCCCGTCCACACTCCCTGGCCCGGGAAAACCCCGTATAGCCTTAAGGGCGAGGACCCAAAATAAAAAATAATAACCCATGAAAGTTCCTGTTTTTGTATGTTAATTTTTTCGCAAAATATAAAATTTAATAAAGCACTCAAAGACAAGGTTACTTATTTGAAAGGTTAATTATTTGAATATCTTACAGAAAGCTCATTCCTCATGTCTACAAAATTGGTAAAAATAATTTATTGACCTTAACACTTAACCAAATTATTGAATTCCGGTGCTAATTTGTCACAAAATGTAATGTTATTTAATTCTTAAACAATAACTTTTTCTCTTTTATGCATCTTTCAGAAGTTTTAGGTGCAAAACCAAAAAAATATGTATAAAAAGAAGATTGTTGGTTGCCATGTTTTCCTGAGATCACCTGTGTTAAGCATTTTTGTTTTTTCATGATTACACCCATATAGAAGGTGCCCGTAGATGAAAATATTTAAAGAGGTCATAGTAAACCTCAAATGGTACAAAAAAATTCATATTAACAATAGTCCGATTTTCAGCAGGAAAGTAGGATTTGTGTTTGTTTTTTAAATGAATCACTTTTTTGTTGAATAGAAAGCATAATTTAAGTAATTAATAGTTGCTCCTCAATAAACTAGGCAAAATTTACTTCAAGTTCAAGAGTTTGTCGTTATTAAAACTATATAAAGAGAATATTTGAGCGTCTAAAACTAAGCCAAGTTCTGTTTTTAAAAAAATTATAAATTAATTGCGATTTTTTTTTATGTTCTCCAATTATACTATAGATATCTTACTTACAGAAAAACTTGCTCATTCAATCAGCTTTAATTCCATATGAGATTTACTAGGGAAAAATTGAAATTCACCTCAGGTATCAATATAAGAAGTTGTGTAAAAAATTATGTGATATCTTGTCATCTAAAAGTACCTTTCACCAAAATTGACAACAATAAATTACTGCAAAGATTTAATTTGTTGTTCTTCTATGACGTGGGATATATTATAATAAATATAATTTTCTAAATACACTTTTATTTAGAAAAATAATCAAGACCATTTTCACCTATGTTTTATTTTAAAATATCATTTTTGATAATGTTTCAGCCAGAGTTAGGGCCATTTCCAGACTTGAAAAAACTGGCTGAAACATAAAAAATTATAAAAACGAACTAAAATATTGGTGGGAAATGGCCTTGACTTTATGAAAAATGAAAACACCAAAAGTAGGCAAAATGAACAGAAGTGAGCAGTTTCTCAATCATTATTTTTTTTGGTATTTCAAAGGCGTTCATTCTGGCCACAGGCCTTGCCCACCTTAATCTGGCAAGTTTAATGTAGGTGACTACGTCAATGTCTGTATAAAGAGAACTGAGCTCCCTACTTTTTCTTTTCCTCCAGACATCCCCCTCCTTTACTGGGCCATAGATCCTTCTCTGTATTTAATGAGCCATGTCATTTTTGCTATTTACTTCAGACCCAAGGTATATATAGTTTTTTACTCTCTCAAACTTAAAAGATCCTACCTCAAATGGAGAGTTCAGATCCACCTCACCACCAAATCTCATATACTTGGTTTTCTTCTCATTGACTTCTAGACCAAGTCGTCTTCCAGCTGCTTCAAGGACTGTAAATTCTTCTCTAACAGCCCGCTCAGACCTTCCTATAATATCAATATCATCAGCAGAACAAAGAAGCTGTGTCAGGCGATAGAAGATTATGTTGCTGATCTGAATACCTCTCTTATAGCTTTCTCCTCTGCCAAGTTGAATAATAGGCAGGCGAGGGCAACTCCTTACCGGACTCCACTGTTCATTTCTAACTCTTCAGAGGCATCGAACCAATGCATATTCTACATTTTGTGCTGTCCATGGTCATCTTGATTAGGCGTATAAGCTTCTGAGGGATGCTTAGCTCTTCCAAGGCACAGTTTAGTTGTGTTCTATAAACGCTGTCGTACGCTGCTTTAAAGTCCACGAATAAATGGTGGGTGACTACCTTACGCTCCATACTCTTTTCTAGGATGATTCTGAAAGAGAACAGTTGATCAATGGTTGAGCGTTCTCGTTAAAATCCAGCCTGATATTTCCCTAGTTCTTTTTCAGTATAGTTAGAGAGCAGCTTACACAGCAGAAAAACATGGTGCCCTACAGTTTTTCTCTAACTTCCGTCATTTAAATAAATTATATTCAGAAACAAATTATAAAATATAGACAACAAAACATGAGAATGAATTTCAACTATTCAATTCATTTAAAAATTCTTTTCAATTTCCTCAATTATTAATGAAATTATTGAGAACCATTTTTAATCTGTTTTCCAAAAATTGTTTATGAGGAAAATATAACCTTATTGAGGAAGCTCTGCAATTCAAATTTTTTTTATTAATTTTTAAAATATTTTATAATTCATAACAATTATATTAATATTGATCATAGTAAGAATCTTCTAATAAAAATGCAAACTAATTAAAAATCATATTTATTTACAAATTTGATATAAAAACTATAATTTTAGATATAAAAAATATGACTGATTTTTAAAAATATTACTTCCTTTGCTCTTAATAAATAAGAGTTATATATTTACAATTTTAAAATGTATTTACAACTAAATAATATATCATAAACCTCCATAACACAGCCAACAACAGAGGTTTTCAGTCCTACATTAACAGCGCAGAAACAAAAGCTCACTAGTCTAACATGATCATCGAAATTACAATGACTGTCTCAATGCATCGAGGTCACATACAACAAGGTAGAGAGCTGCTAAAACGTCACGAAGTTTATAACTTGGCAAAGGAAGGTGGGGGGCCCTTGGTGGCGAGGGCCATCGCAGCGTTCATGAAGTCTTCACTCTGGAGCATTGCTTGGTTCCAGTCAGCCTGTAAATAAAAAAACACAGCCAATCAGAATTCAATAAAAAAAGAAACATTTTTTAACTAACACAGTTAAGTAGGGATGGGTGATAGCCGATGGTAATATCAATGCTCTTAATGACTATCTATAGTTCGTATCCTCTCCTTGAACACAAACTAATTTAAATTTTATATACGGTTAGAAATAATTTTTTACGAAATTTCTTTATACATCTATCCTTTTATTGATGTGCATGATACAGTGGTAATATAACAACGTAAAAGTGAAATGTTTTTCCAATGAAATGAAAAAATATTCCTATCATGTAAAAATTAAACAAAAATTAGAGGCCTTTTAAATAAATATTAAAAAAAAAATACAATTTCAAATTATTTTCTTGGAAATATTTTTAGTTGTATTGATAGAAAAAAAACGTCTGCCAAGTAAGGTCAGTATAGCTTCCTCACCGTTTCCGTTGTATATTACAAGGTATACAATTTTTCGAATGAGAATAAAATCTCTGAGAGAAGCAGAATCGGAATAGCCGATTACAGTTACCCTTCAATATTCAACAACCGAGGTCATATTTGAATATTCCATACTTGATTATGCTTAATAAAAAAATAAATAAATAAAAAAAAATGCATACTGAACATGAATTTCAATGCTGTTAGTTCAAAAGGTCTTATGTATAAATGTATTTATTGTTTTACAAGAGTGCATAAAAACTCAATATTTCTTTATGCTTTATTAGAATAATTTCATATTTTATTTTCATCTGCTATTTTCCATAGTAGCAGACTACTTATATCAGTTGAAGGACTACAAAATATCACCTTTAATACACATAGAATTAAAGTTGAAAATTATTACATACGAACTTATGCTCTAATAATAGTATATACATTGCCGAATCAAGATTTAATTTTGGAGGAGGGGCTTCAGCACGAAAGATTTAAATATATATATATATAACGATAATTAATTTGAAAAAAACCACTGCAAATTATTTCTCTTTGGTATATTATTTCCAAACAATTATACATATAAAGTAACATTAAATTCCTAGTTATAAAGAAAAATAAATAAAAGGTGATTCTAATTATTGGACTAAAATCTTTTTTAATCATTAGTAATATGATAAAAAAAATAGCATTACTTCAGTAACACATTCAGAAATCAAAAAAAAGATAAACCTTTTGCAATAGCACATCTAAAAAAAACTAGAGACGATATCTTTGCTCCTAATTGTCCGATTTTGACGATTTTTTTTTTTGTTTTTTAAGAAATTCCGTAAACTTCTAAAAAACCATATACAATATTGACATAAATGTGTATACTTCTTGAGTTATTCGGAATTTAATTTTACCATCCCTCGTAACTTTTTTTGAGCTTCTTTTCGTTGAAGTATGTAGTATAAATAAATTTAGAGGGCGTAGAGAAAATGACTTTAGCGAAGTTTCATCAAAATCGGTTCATTCGTTTAGGCGCTACAGTCTATAGCAACGCAGGTTTTTCGGCCGCCATTTTGAAACTAGAAGGCGAATAGTAATGTCGTTGAAGGAGGATGATCCTCGGGTGACCTCTGATTTTATATCCAAATTCGAAAAAAATCGGTCTAGTAGTTTCAGAAAAAATGCGCGGACGGCGGACGGCGGACTAGTAGTGCACATATAAGAGAAAGTGTTGGACGCAATTCAATGAAATTGACACTACATTACTTTTTCACCAAAGTCTACCTTTTATCTAACTTTGAGCCAAATCGAACGAGCCCTTTCTGAAATATTGGCATATCTAAAAATATACGTTTGCGCGTGCGTAAGCGGAAGTGCTGGGTGGAATTTGATAAAATTGATATGGGACCATCTAGGCACCGATCAGCATAATCCCTGAAAATTTCATGAAGATTGGATGAACGGTACTAGGTGATATGCCCGTCACATCGATTTGACTACAGACAGACAGACAGACAGACAGACAGACACCGAACCAAATTTGATCCTTGATGTCTGAAACGTAAAACGCGAGTGAAAATTTTCGATTCTGAGCAAAAAATTTTTTTTAATTTCTCGCACGAACACAATGCTTCCCTACCTTCGGTAGTGAGGAAGCAATATGTTTTCATAAAAAAAAACTAAAATATATATATAAAAATAATCCCCCACTCCTAAATAAAAATAAATCCAATTTTGAGTAAACGGATGGTAAAGGAACATCAGACTTAATGTCTTCTACAAACTAGGTACATATTTTAAGATCAAATTATTATATTCCTATCTCTCTTTTTAGAAATAAAATTAATTAAATTACATTTAATTATTTATAAATAACTTTTGGAAATCACAATGATACTCCCTTAAATAAAGGATGGATCAATAGCGGAAATATATAACAATGATATATTTAAAAAAATTATGAAATGGTGCATATTAGGTAGGTAATTTTCATTAATTTTAAACCGAAATAATGATGTTATATACTATGTTTTAAATATAATATTAATAATATAAAATAAGGACAATACATGTAACAGAAACTTTAAAAATTGAAATATTTTAGAGATAAGTAACTAAATTAAAAAATAAAAACTTTTATTATATTTTTTTGAAATGGCTCAGGTAAGGAATTCAGGAATTCAACTCCAATCAATACTGTTTAACAGCCCAGTTCAGCTTCTGGGATACGCGGATGATTTTGATATTGCTGCCAGATGTGATGGGCCGTACGAGAATCATTCCTGACTCTGGAAAATGCTTCTAAGAATATTGGCCTAATTGTTAATGAGGCCAAGAGGAAATGGAAGAGATCCATGTGGATTGGAGGAGCTAAGCCAGGAGTTGGATGTTTTGATGCAGGAGAGTTCCGTTTTCAGAAGGTAAGCAGCTTCACCTATTTGGGTTCGGAAATCAACTCCAACAATGACACTACCCAGGAGAAAACAGAAGGATTGCAGCAGCTAACCGTTGCTACTTTGGCCTAGCCAAACATTTTAGAAAAAAAATGCTCTCTAACCGGATCAAGCTCTGTAAGATCCTGGTCCGCCCAGTCATCACTTATGGCTCAGAGGCTTGGGTGTACACGAAGGCGAACGAGTTCAGGCTTCTTGTTTTCGAAAGGGGGCATTCTTAGACGGATTTTCGGCCCTGTTAGACCGGACAACGTATGGAGAAGAAGGAGGAATGCTGAAAAACTCTACAACGATGTTGACATAGTCAAATTCGTGAAACTCAGACGACTTCGATGGGCAGGACATGTGCAAAGGATGGCTGCCAATGAGATTCTGAAAATGATCCTCACCAAAGAGCTCTACGAGAAGCGGCGAGTTGGATGACCAAACGTGCCATGAATGGACTCGATCGTAAGCAAACCACTGAAGAAACAATCCCTTTTGCGACTCAGGAGCAATGGATTTTGCAGAATGAGGTATAAAACGAAAGGGTATTAAATGGAGCAGTGACAAATCATAGTAATATCCACCCAAAATTTCAGGGAAAAAGTTATGAATGAAAAGAAACTTTATTTGCAAACTACTTAAAAAGTATACATTTTTTTTCTCGATTAGACCCATTATTATTTGTAAATTTACTAAATTCCCTACAAAACGAAAAAAACAACAACAGGAAAATGGGACCATTACTTACAAAGATACAGCCTTTTGTAATTTATATATTATTGCTTCTAATATTGTTTTCAAAAAAGTGTTGTCATTAATATTAATTATCATTTTTACACGTATGATTTTCGATTAGACCCATAATTATTTGAAAATTTACTAAATTCTCTACAAAACAAAAAAAAGTTTATCAAATTCGGACCATTATTCACAAAGATACAGGCTATAGTAATGAACACATGTTTGGGATTATTAGTTTGAATGAACTAATGTAATTCAATTGAGAAAAAGAAAATTATGTCCTCTCTCTCATAATACATTTCATCAATTTATTTTTATATTATGCAGTCAGCTGTTTACTGACCAATATTCTATGTAAATTATTTGCACAGGCCAACTAGTTAAGGTCTAATAATGATAGACAAAATTTGTAAAATAGAACAAAAATGTCCGGTTACTCACAATATGTTGGAGACCCGCATCCACGCCATGATCTCTTGAAAAAAGTATATTTCTTTTGATCATTTGTAAAGCGACAGGACTTCTCTGAGCCAATGATTCGGCTAATTCAAGCCCTGATGCCATCATACTGAAAAAAAAAACAACAACAACATAAAATTATAGTTAAGCACATATATTTCAAACTAAAAGTAAAATTAAACGACACATCTCAAGTCGGTAATAAAAATAAACAAGATCTAGGCTTATTTTTATTTTATTTTCCCCTTTATCTGAATATTTCTGGCTCGAGGGCAGGTCGAGATTTATCAAATGGGTTCGCAACGAAATATATTTCAAACTGCATTAGGTCAAGGTTGCTCGGAAATATCTTGAAGTTCTAAGCAATCCTGGTTTCAAACTCATGGACATGATCAACCCAAAAAAGATCTTGAATGTCATCACTAAAATTTAGCTATGAAAACCATTTCGAGGCTAACCAACTGAATCTGATGGAGCAATAATATTTTTTTTTTTCAAAAACAAAACTAAATATTAAAAGAAGTGACGTGAAAGTAAGTTTATTTCCAAAACCAGCTTATTATTATATATTTATTTTAGGGAATGTAATGATAATTGCATTTCTCAAATATTTTTCCAAAAAAAAAATCATTAAAAGCTTTTTATAATCATTTTTATTCAAATGAAAATTAAAAATAAATTTACAACCATGGATTGATCGTTGACTGTAGTAAATAATTGAAGAGAAGAATGGCTGGGGTGATTAGTAAACAAAATAAGTATATTTATTTTTATTTTTGCTGATGTTTCGGTCCAAAATTCAGGCCTTCATCAGGGCTAAGAAAAAATAAAAAAAGAATCTTCTCCTGTTACTCTCTTTTCCATATCTCCACCTCTATTTTATGTATATTGATACATTTGCTCATTTATCTTTTTTACATTATTTTAACTTTTTATTCTCTTATAACATAATCAGTATGTTTCGATCGATAGATTTTACAGCATCTCAATTTTCTATTTACATCAATTATTTCTTTATATAACTTCATATTCCTTTTCTCTGTTCTCCATTTTATTCTATGATCATCTCACTTCCTTTTAGCATAGTATTACATCATATTTTAGCAACTATATCACCCCATTTATTTTTTGTCTACCCTTATGTTTTTTATCTCATATATTCCAGTACTTTCTGTTGTTAATTCATTTTTCATTTCTTATGTTACCTTATTTTGATTATATTTATTTCATTAGTCCCTACTTTGTTGCCGTTATTATTTATTTCTTAGTTCTCTGTTACTGTTATTATTCTAACTACTTTATTTTACTTTAAGTTTATTCTACCAACATTTTTCAGTCTATACCTTTCACCTACATATTATCAGGGTGGCTACCAAACAGTTAAGTAAAATTCCCTGATTTTTCCCTATTTTTAAATAACAAATATAATGTTTTAGAGGAAGTATTTTTTTTTAAGCTTGATTAGGATTTTTTATTTCAGAAAACTATACATTTATTAATTTATTTTTACCGCTTTTATTTTATTTTCATAAACTGAGAGGAGGTAAAAGATAATGCTTGGCATACGAAGCTCTAATTTTCTCTATTATAAAATAAAGTGAGTTACAGGGGATTCTAATATTAATGTAGTTTCTCTCTACTAATTTAGTTTCTTTATTACTATAAACAGCATAATAATTATCTATATTACAGCAACTATGCAATTTCTGGTTAAGAAATGCTCTTTTAAGGAGTACCACGGGTTGAACGAACAAATGCTTGCCAGCCAGATCTCGATCCAGATGTGTATATTATAAACAGTAAATAGTATCAGTATGTTTTTATTTTCAAAAAAATACTGTTTTAAGTACATTTTGTTTGAATTTCATTCATTACCCTTGTTTGATATCAATATAACGAACAGTGCGACAGTCAAAAGTGAATGAATATAGAAATCGTGAGTGTTTATAACTATTTTTTTATTATTTAATGTTAATAATTCTTATACTTATTGTTATCTGTTTTTTTCTTAACCCTGAAGAAGGTCTGAACTTTGGGCCGAAACTTCGGCAAAAATAAATATACTTATTTGTTATTACTTTTTTTTTTACTGGCCACCCTAAACAATCTTTTCTTAAATTGAAAATAAATTTATTATATTATACCATTATTCTATAAAAAAAATTTAATTTTTATAGTAATAGTTAATAACCTTTTTCCTCCCCTCTTCATATATCTTTTCCTCCCCCAAACTGAGCCTAATCAACTTTTTGTCCGTACCATATCGGGTCTTGAAGTTTAATTCATTCCAAAAGCGGTCCTGGTTGTTTCAATGTTTTTTTAATTACTCGTAAAGTAATCAATTGCTGTATTGATAGTGTAACATGGCAACCCATCCCATGGTTACAATTATTTATGTAACAGATGATTGTGAATAGTCACTTGTCTTTCGTTCTTGCACAGTGTGCTTGTTTTGGAATGAAATGAAAATATATTTTATTATTCTGAGACTGTTGTCCCTTTATAACAAATTATAAGTACAGAATACATGTCTGTGTGGTCATAAATAAATTAAATATTTAAAATAATAATTAATTAAAAGTAATAATACAGAAGAAAGAGAGAGAAATAGAATAGAAAATCAGATATACATATATGACAAACAAAGGAAACTAAAATAATATAAATAAACAGAATAGTCTTTGGGGGTACTTAAATAGTTCTCTTAGGTATATTTAGTAATCAGTTGGATTGAGAAAGGACATGTTGAATATCAGGAGGAATGGTATTCCAGAGGGAGGCAGCTTGAATTGCAAAGGATTTGTCAAATGCAGCAGTTCAGTGAGGAGGAGGATAGAGGTCAGAAGTATGAGATCTAGTGGGACGGGATTGGATGGAGTATTTAAATTATAATCTGTGAAAAATATAGGAGGGTTGATGATTTCTAATGACCTTGTACAGAAAGGTAGCTAGGAAGTACTGACGGCGATAGGATAGATAGAGCCACTTCAACTCGGTGTGATACTGGGTAATATGCGTATCTCTTGAGATTCCGAAAACAAAACGTAATGCGTAATTCATTAGGGATTTAAGTTTGGCTTTGAAATCTCCCAAGAGTCCAACATACACCATACAACTATAATCGAAGTGGAGGAAAAGAAGAGAGGAAACTAGGAGTTGATGGGACTTATATGGAAGGAGATAACACAGACGATTAATCTATTTTTGGGTGGAGTGTGACGGGGAATTTGGGACATGTGTGATTCCCAGGAGAGGATTTGATCAAAAGTAACACCTAGGTTTTTTAACGGAAGTATGGAATAAGATAGGTGAGTTGTTCAGGAGAAGATAGGGGAATACCAGAGAAGATTTGAAGAGTGAGGGGAATCCGATCAAGTTGGCTTTCTTCTTCTCGGCATTCAAAGAAAGCATTAATGCTGTAATGCGATTGGGAATACCTAAGAAAGGCGCTTGAAAAGTCCAAGGAGAGGCTTTCTGTCGTATCGGTGAGGATTCATTTCTATTTAATACTGCTATTATTTGCATAAGGATAACTTATAGAGATGTATTTAATTATTTTTAGTCCCGAAGATAATCTTGCATTTTGGAGCTAGTCTACCGTAGATAATTTTTGGGTATTCTCAAGTTCTCGGTCATCCTCTATCATCCAAACGTCGGAGTAGAGAGATTGATGTTTAAATTGTTTTGCAACATCAGTAAACCGAGATATAATAGCTAATTGTATCTGCTGCTGGACTGGATCTTAGATTAAGTTATTCTTTTTAATTCTCTTGCCTTTTTTTTTTTTTTTATATCTTCCTGTTTGTTATACTCATATATGTACATATTCTGTTTATAATTAAGTAAAGATTAAAGGAATATTTCATTTTGTTTGTGGTGCAAGTATCTTATATTATATTTTCTAGTATCTTATATTATCAATAGTATCATAGTATCTTATATTAAAAAATTATTTTTTTCATATTATATATTCCTATTTTATATCTAAGTTATGACATTATAATTATAAACTATTATTATTAATCTGATCATAATAGAATAAAACTAAATGGGAAGTAAAAATATAAAGCATGATGTTACTGAATGAAGGAACTACTAATACTTAAATCTCAATGATAAAATACCCATGACTTGATATTGCTAATTGATTTGGAAATAATTAATGTTAACAGTTAAATACCTTTCTTTATCTTTGAAAACTTTGCTAACGAGTCCAGCTTCCATAGATTCTTTAGCATCTATTTTCCTTCCAGTCAAACATAGTTCATTGGCTAAGGATGCATTTCCTATAATACGAGGCAACCTCTGAAGAACACCAACATCAGCAGCCATACCTGTCAAGTCGAAATGTCAGCAAACTTAATTAACAACATAAATGACTACATATTATACTAATTATTTATTTTAACTGACAACTACATCTCCATTTCTAAATGTATCATTTATTAAGTAATTATATATTAGATTAAGTTTAAAATTGCAAATTTGCAATATTACTTACCTAATTCAATTTCTTTAACTTGAAAGTAAGTATCTTCAGTGCAATACCTTATATCAACAGCAGCTATAAGGTCAGTGCCAGCACCGATGCAAGCATTATGAACCAAGCTAATAACTGGTTTAACACACTAAAAAATAAAAAAATTAAGTAAAAAAAAAACAGGTAATATAACCAACATAATGCTGGTGCTTAAATTCATACTTTTTCAGCAGCGGACATGCCATCCTGATAGGTTATTATAAGTTCCCTAAGAATTTTGCATCGCCTAGCAACATCTTCATGTTCGGCTAGTTTTTGTCCTAGACTAGCTACAGAAGACAGGTCCAAACCTGTAAAAAAATAAAAATCATAATTTAAACAATTATTGAAGGAAGTTAATCAACTGTTCTACATATCATAGGTGATGAATAGTCAGGATGCAGTCATTTTAAAGCGTTTTTATTACTGCCGACGTTTCAACCCAATGAACATGGTCATCATCAGGGTGTGTTTCAAGTACTGGTACTCGAAACACCCTGATGATGAATGACCATGTTTGGGTTGAAACGTCGGCAGTAATGAAAACCCTTTAAAATGACTGCATCCTGGCTATTTATCACCCATAATTTAAACAATTTCCCTTTTAATCTTTCCATCCTATCATTTGTTTTAGTTTTATCATGTACAACTTGTAAGAACAAGACTAAACTAATTTTACTCAGGAACATTAGAAGTTATATTCTGGATGAAACCATGAATTCTTCAAAAACTAGTTTTAGTCCGTGGTACAGACCCCTTTTATCGAATTATTAACATCCACCTGAAACATTGATAATAGTTTCATCTCATCATAACCTACAACTATTTTATTTACGAAAACTCTTAGAATTGGGACGTTTTCAATCTGGAGAAGGACAAAACTTTGCCTATTTGAATAGCTACTAAAAACTGGTAAATACCTATTTGCTTTTTACTTGGATCCTAAGATAATTTAATCACAAAATACAGAAAAAAAGGTGGCCATATAACAAAAATATTGAGCCGTTTGTCCTATATAACATCGTTATTTTTAAATTTTGGGGGTGTACGTCACGCCAAATGGCTCAATATTTTATAAGGCCAACTTTTTTCTCAATTTTGTGATCAAAGTATCTTATGATCTAAGTATAAAGCAAATGAGTTTTTAGTGCCTAATTAAATAGACAAAGTTTGTCCCCCTGCAGATTGAAATTGCTCTAATTCTAAGAATTTTTGTAAATAAAATAGTTGTAGGTTACGATGAGATGAAACTATCTACGAAGTTTCAGGCGGATGTTAATAATTCGATAAAAAGAGGTCTGTACCATGGATTATTTATCTATGTGGAAACTCTCACATTAGAACTCTATACTTATCTTTTATTCATTCAAAGTATGAGCGATATTAAGAACATATTTCCAATAAAAAAAGTCTATTCAAAATACCCAATAAATGAAGCTAAATACTTTTAATGATTAAGTTTAAATAACTTTCTATATAATATATTAAATATCCCTTCAGTTTAATAGTTAAGAAATAAGACTCAGCTACCCATAAACTTATGCTAATCAGTATTTTTATTTTTAAAGAGTGCAATATAAAAATCTTTTAAAATGTTTCCACAACACGTATTTATTTTTATTAAAACAGGACTTGAATTAAAAAAATTTATTATTTTTAAAAAGTTTTGGTTCATTGTAATTTTTATTATCGATAGATTTTCAGCTCTTGTGGAACTAGAATTTTTACCCTTGTAACTTTTCAAGTAAAAATTTTACAGAGCTTTTACTTAAAAAAAAACTTTTAAAGTTCTCTCGACTTCAGTAAAAAGTCAATTTAAAAAATGACTTTTATTCTTAGCTACTCAAACAAACAACACTTTAGAATCAAGTATAATTCATTTAAGACAAATTAGAACTCAAATTTAAGTCCATTTACTGCATATTTTTTGCTAAACAGAACTTTTTTTAATAAGTCGAATAAATACAATTTAAACTTTTACCATAAACCTGGAACTTTATTACCTTAGAACTTTCTCTTAATAAATTATTTTACAGAAACTGTTAAAATGTAAATTTTTAAAAAAGTTCTATAATAGTTTCATTCCCTGGCTAAAAAGTTTCTGTTATTTTATCTTAAGTTTCTATGAGGTGTCTAAGAGTTCTTAAAGAAATTTCCTTTCTTTACATTTTCAATAGATTTTTAATTTACTTTACACTATAACAGATAGTGAAATTTGTTTAATATATAACTTTAGGTTGTTTTTTTTTATTGTATATAGTTTTTGATTATTATTTAGTTATTATTTAACTTTTTTAAATTTTGTTTTCTGTATATATGGAGTGAATGTGTTCATATCTCATTATAATTATTGTCCAAGTGACAGATTATTATATTTCTGAATAAATAAAGAAAAAAAAATGTAAATATATATATATATATATAATAAATATCCCAGAGTAACCTAGACGTCTAGGAGACTATCACAACAATTAACCTTGACCTGTATGCTTTGAAATATAAATCACTATCAGTAAATTATACTGCTGTCAAATGTCGATATGTTTAAAAAAGAATTTGTCTAGTATCAATTTGTTATCTTACCAAAGTTGAGGTTTTGAAATCTCTTCTATTTTTCAACGACTGATATATTTCTTTTTTTTACTTTTGGTTTAAAGGGCAATGAACATCAATGGTTTCCACCATTCGGTTTTTTATATACTTAATTACTTATCCACAACTTACAACTTATCCACAGCAGTTGTAAAGCCTCCATATCTTTTATGGAGTTGAGAACTTTGTTGAAGTAACTGTTATCTTGGCGAAAGATTAAGAAAAGTCTAAAAGTTGTCCATTGGCCTGATGCACATAGGGCATTCCTCGATTATGAGGCTCACTATTTGTGCTGTTTGGCAATTTTGAGCTGATTCTTAGCTTATCGGATAGCTGTGATTTAGGCGGTGGTGCCTTATTCACAAATGAATTATGACCACTTCCTCTCTTTTTGATTGCCAGGAGGATGGCCACTTCTTAACGGTTGGTTTATCAGACATATATTCATCCCAAAGGGTTTGCCACTTATGGCATATGCCCTCTCTTAAATTTGACATTATCTAACGAGTGTGCTTTAGTCGCAGCTTATCATCCAAATCATTCCTCTAGATACCAATATGGCTTGGTGCCCAAATGAAAACTATCGTATAGTATAGTTGCAATACAAATTTAAGGATAAAATTTATAATTGATCATTTCTTCATGAAATTCTTTTCTTTATCAAAATTGGTAATTGGTTGACTGTCGTGGATAATGAAGAGAAGAATAGTTGGGGTGGTCAGTCAAAAAGGAAGGCAAAAATAAATGATAATATTTATTTTTACATATGCCGACATTTCGACCTGAAGTTCAGGCCTTCATCAGGGCTAAGAAAATAACCAGATAACAAGGTATGAGAAACATAAGTAGTGATGGTTAAAAAAAAATAAATAAATAAAATAAATAAATATAAAGTAAATTTAAAAGTAACAATTTCATTTTACTTTATATTTATTTTTATTTTTTTTTTTTTTACCATCACTACTTATGTTTCTCATACCTTGTTATCTGGTTATTTTCTTAGCCCTGATGAAGGCCTGAACTTCAGGTCGAAACGTCGGCATATGTAAAAATAAATATTATCATTTATTTTTGCCTTCCTTTTTGACTGACCACCCCAACTATTCTTCTCTTCATTTTCTTTATCAAAATCTATTGCTCTTGATGGCAATAAAAAATATCAGTACTGGTATATCATACATGAGATAAATTGTAATTTATGTAAAGAAAAAAAGCAAATTGATGTAATTCCAATTTTGTGACAGAAGTACAGCGATAAAATTTTAACATCTTACTAACCAGGACTAAACTTTCTATTTGTCTGAATCCGATTCATTAAGACTCATTCTTAAAATTTGTATGAGATTAGACTAAACCAAATAAAAGAGGTGCGAAGCCACGGGGTACAAGAGACTTTTAAATAAATATATATAATAATTTTATATAATATAGGTACTGTTATAAACTTTAAGAGGAATAAACTTACCAGCAGTGAATAACCTTCCTGCAGCAGATATTAATACTACTCTACAATCTTCATCCTTGTGTAGAGCTTTGAAACAATGAGTGAGTTCGCTAAAATTTTCATAGGTCAAATTAAATTTTCGATTTAAATAATCAATAATATTTATTGAATAAAGACAAAATATCTTACGTGAACATTCGATGGTTGAAAGCATTAAGTTTTTCTGGTCTGTTTAATTCAACATGATACACAAACGGTTTCGGTACAGTTACCGAGAGAGTCTCGAATTTGCAGGAACTTGTGGGTTGCGCTTCGGCTGAAGAATTTTGTTCTCTGACTATGAACAAAAAAAAAAAAAAAAAAAATGAATTATTTGTAAATGCCAAACAAGAGATCTGTCAAAATTATTTTTAAAAAAACAAATAATTACTAAATTGCGGCCGCAAAAACATATTTTGGCTCAATCTTAAAGAAGTTGTAAACAATTTTTTATTCATTTTTTGTTGTTTAATATGGTAAATATAAATCAGAGAATTTAAAAAATAAAGTTATTAATTAGTATGGAATTTGAAAAGAATGTGAACCCAATCTGGACGACTGAGGATATTATAAACGGGAGAGTGACTGGCAAGTTAACCTGGACTATGTCCAAGGACTGATAAGCTGCTTACTGATAACAATTAATAACTGACATGTTTATGTTTTCGGATTATATCATACCTACACTTTCACTTAATATTTATATGATGTAACGGTACGTTTCGCGTGATTGTTTTATTGAATAATATTATCAATATAGTAAAATTACTTTTTGTATATTTAGTAGTTAAATAATTTTTTTTTTTAAAACACATTAATTGAAAAAATTAAATTCGCTTTATCGACAATTTATGATTTGAGAATTATATCAATGTTTTTCAAAAAATTACATAGTAAAGTTATTGAAAAGACGCTACTAGGAACTACTTAGTACACGTCATTGAATTCAGGATTTATTTTTAGGAGGCTTTCGAGCTGAAGCCCTCCTCCCCCCAAAAATGGTAAAATATAACCAAGTTTTACGACAAAAATAATCTATAAACGTTTTATTGTTCGTGTATATAATATATAAATATATTTTCCTATACGTGCAATTTTAAATTGTTTATTGAATACTTAATAGTTGACCGATGCAATATAAAGGAAGGAGATGGTCCGGGGTGGCGGTCAGAAATAGGCTAAATAGTGGCAAAACTATTTTATTGAGGCTTTTAATAAAATATTTTTGCCACTATTTAGCCTATTTATGACCGCCACCTCGGACCATCTCCTTCCTTTAAATTGTTTATTTTTTTTTCTATTTTGTGTAATAATCATACCCCACACTTCGAGGGATGGCAAGAACATCGTCGATGTCTCACCCTAATTTGCGAAGAACAAAATAAAATCAATAACAATTAATCTAGATGAATGTATAAAATATGTAAACCACTAGCGGATCCAGGATTTAATTTTGGGGGAGGGGGCTTCAGCCCGAAAGATTTTTTTTTCATGTACATATAACGATAATTAATTTGAAAAAAAAGAAAGAAATTAACTACCTATATGAAATGGTGTTTAAGTGGTTCTTGGAGTCCTATTAAATGTAATTACACGAACAAGAATATTTTAAGAGATAGTTTATAATATTTTTTTCTGTAAATTATGGTAATATTTTACCATTTTGGGAGAGGCTTCAGCCCGAAAGCTCTCTCCCCCCCCCCCCGGTCGTAGATCCGACTGTGATGTAAACTAAAATCAAGGAATTAAGGAAATTAGGAAATTCGAGTATATGGCTAAGGTCTAGAAATATATTTCCTTACTATCGAAATATTAACATCAGCCTGAAACTTCGTAAATAGTTTCATCTCATCGTAACCTACAACAATTTTATTAAGAAAAACTCTTGGAATTAGGGCGTTTTCAATCTGGAGAGGGGCAAACTTTGTCTATTTAATTAGGTACTAAAAATTCGTAAATACCCATTTGCTTTCAACTTGGATTTTAAGATAATTTGATCATAAAGTCGAGATAAAAGGTGGCCTTCAAAACTATTGAGCAGTTTGGCGTCACCTACACCCCCAATTTTTCAAAATAACGAGGTTATTTGGGAAAAATGGTCCAATATTTTTGTAGGACACCTTTTTTATCGATTTTGTGATCAGTCTGTATCTACTCGACTTTTCCAATTTCCTTAATTGATTTTATTTTACATATTTTATACATTCATGCAGATTAATTGTTATTGATTTTATTTTGTTCTTCGTAACAATTCAAAATTACACGGATAGAAAAATATATTTATATAGAAAAATAAATTACGTCAAATGTCAAAATAACGGGAAAACGAGAATTAATTAGTGTAAGACAGTAGCGGATTGAAGATTTAATTTTGGGATGGCATAGTTCGTTTTTTTTTTTTTTCAATAAAGGTAAATAAATCTGGAAAAATAAATGAACTCAATAAAACAATTTTTATAGTTTCTTAAGGCATCTAAAGAAGAAATATACATGTTTCATATGTAGGGAAAGAATTGCGATCGTGAAAAAACTTCGAATCTGAATTTTCTGAGGGCGAACTTTCGATTTCGATTGGAGGGCCAAATGACCAGAGTTTTCCACATAATTTTTGTGAAACTAACAAATATGATATTGAATAGTTAAAATTAATTTATTTATATGTTTGTAAAGTTTTAAGGATTTTTATTTATTTGTTTTTAATCTAAAAATGTATATACATATTTTTTTTATTAAAATAAAAGATAAAGGAGAATTTTTTTCTGTGTGAGAGAAATCTTAAATTTTAACATAGTAATTTTCTAAATATTAAAATATAATAAAGTTTAACTGGTATCATTACAGTTTTTATATATTTTTTTATGAAAAAAAAGATAAAGATAATGGAAACATTTTTTCCTTTGTTGATACAAGTGCAGGTGCAAAACATATTTTCAAGGAAATAATAAGAGATTATATTCTTTATCTTGAAAGCCTTTAATTTATGTTTCAATTTCAATTTAACTGATACAAATATTATTTAATTTACACATATATGAACAATATAATAAGGGAAAATATTTTTAGTAATATGTCTTCATACCCATTTCAGTCATTTATTTTCTAAATCAAAAAACTACAAGATGGATTAGAACAATGCAGGGATGCCCAGAAGAGTTTCATGGCAAGTCGCACCATCAAAATTTATAAGGGGGGCATTTTTTTACGGGGTTTTCAGTTTTGATGGCACATTTCGATGGGGTTATTAATTTTCAAAATGAAAAGACAAGTGGAAGCATGGAACAGATTGCAGTACATGTAATTGTGTATAATCTACAAATATTTAAATTCTACTTTTGTTTGCACTGTTTTTAAGAAGAGAAGAATAAAATATCATGGGAGGGGTGAGGGAAGGCTTATGTGCCATCGGCTTTGGATGGGCACTGCTGGACCCATGAATATGAATAAATCAGATCTGGCACATGCAGTGCTCTATAAACATCAATGGGAGCTTAAGTAACCTTAATCATCATTGAGCTTAAGTAACCTTAATCATCATTGAGCTTCATGGACAGTGTATTTTCTCTCATTTCTCCACTTTTAGCTTATATTATCTGTCATAAGATCACATCTGACCTACCTTGTTTTTGATGTCATGGGTCAGATTAGAACTATCTTGTTTTGATTGTTTGCTTTTAACTAGTTGATTTTTAAATTGCACAAGTCTCTCAGACATTCTAACAAAACTCTATGATTGGTGCAAATTTTGGAAAATTTTACTTAACCAAGAGGAATTCCAACACATTACTTCCCCTCATTGACATGAAACTTTACCTCCTATTTACCTCGACAATGGCGAAATTCCTCAAACAGATCGATCCACTCACGAAAACTACAAATTTTTCAGTCAAAAACATTCAGGACTATAACTTAAGTTCCATGGTACGTCACAAAATTGCTATACATAAAGATTTCCACTTGAAGCCAACGTTAGTGCCTGCATATGGACAAACTACAAAAGATTCCATGAAAAGTTACAAGGACATACACATTCATACAAGATATGGCTACAATTAAAATGCCTGGAACACACTAAGGAGGCTCAAAAGAAGCTGGATAAGGGATCTTCCAGCTTAAAAAATATATTAAATCAAGATAGGAAGAGATGCCGCTGGGCACTCTCCTCTCTCTCTCACCGATCAATGCAACTATTTGATAGGTGTCAATGAAGAAATTAAATTAAAAAAAAAATTACAATACATTTTATGAGCTATGTAATGATTTTGTATTGGTTCAAAAATTAAATGTAATATTAATTATAGTTTAAGTACCATAACTTTTCCTATTTAGGCATTATCAATTCCCAAGTTTTTTTTCTTATTTAAAAGCTTATTTTGCTATATTTTGAACTAATTGTTATTCATAACTAACATTCATCAAGTTAAAAATATAATTTTAATGGATGATTTGCATTTTAAATTAGAAAAAAAGAGCTTTAAAATAGAGTAGATAAATTTTTCATGAATAAGTGGAACCCTTGCCAGCCAGACAAAATGATTGTGTCCTATACACCAAATCATAATAAAAATGTATTGTTGATTTTTTCCACGCATGTTACCGGATAAATAAATAAAACCAATCAGATTATTTTTTCGTATTCTGGGCATTGCAGCTGGAACTGCAACATGGAACATTATCCATTGATGAAAAGGAATGAACACACATCTTTCTTTCTAAAGAGCTTCAGATAATGCTTAGAAGAGAACCAGGACATGAAGAGCCAAAGAAGAGATACAGTTATAAATTCTAATTCCATAAAAGACAGAAAAGGAAAACTAAACTGTTTTATTATAAAACATTTTTCATTCTATTTTAAACAATGGCTACATTGATAGTGAGGAGGGGATGGCCAAGGGAGCTAACGCCTGAGCATAGCACAGCATTGCCTGGCAACCAAATACTAATATGATAAAATAATTACAAGTTCGCCTCCAGGTGCCGAAGGGGCTTTTAACTCTGGCATTTCATCCCCCCCCCTCTCCTCCTGTTCAGAAAAGCCCCTGGGTAGCCTAATAGGTGATGAAGGGATGAACAAAAAAAAAAATATTCTGATATATATCCCAAAATATATCTCACTTATATTCTGAATTGAATAGAATGAACTTTTTCTTAAAAAAAAAATAAACACTTAAAAAATAAGTTGTTTTTTTAATCTAATTATCAACCCCTTCATCTCAATCTTTTATATAATTTATTTTAACTTATATTTAAAGAGAGAGAGTTTATTTGAATGTGCAATTTTCAGAAACTTCGAGAGGGCAATTTACAGAAAGCAATATTAGAGGGTATTAAAATTTTTACACTCATCTACCTTAAGCCTTGGTTTATTAAATAAATCGTACTAAAATCTTTACTTTGATCAATTTTCAGGAAAAATAAATCTAATTCAATTTTTTTTTGTTTCTTTATGAACATATGTAAAAATATAAAAACTTTTCTGAAATAGGTAGGAAAGTCCTATAAGCAGTCACACCAGATTTCTTTTTTTTTCTATATCAAGGAAATTTTATGTCAAGAGATTATACTTCAAAATGCCTAGATAAAGGAGTGAGTTCCTGGACTGAATACGTTTAAGAACCATTCTATTAGATTATTAAGTAAAGCATATACTGCCCAAATATTAAAAGTTTGGATCGATGACATTTCAAATATTTTAAAAGGGAAACAACATACTTTCTGACACTGAATTCATAGTATCTTCCACTATAGTATCTTTAATTTGGTTTATTTTAAATAATTAGCTATCTCCCATTGTTATGAGTTACGAAACAAGGCTGAATACAACTTTTGAAAGAATTTGATAATTGAATAAAGGAGAAAAAAAGAAAAATGCTTATCCATAATAAACAAGTTGTAGAAGGTAACAGAAAGTGATAAAAAATATAAATAATAATTTCTTGAAACTAACGTTATTTAATGTAAATCACATTTTTCCAAGGAAATAGAATGAAATTTTCTTAGTAAATGTAAACTTTTAAAAAATTTTTAAATTTGAATAAAAGTATTTTAAATCCACCGAATCAAGGCAATGACATTGTTTAAAATACTATTTCATTGTACTTGTGTGAAAGAAGTGAAATATAAAAATATTTCATGAATATGTTTATAACCTTAAATAATTTTACTGTTGTTTAATAACTCTAGATCTAATATTATATTTAAATAATTAGGTATCTGTCATCCGTTTAATCCGAAAAATGATCATGTAAATTTCTGGAAAATTAAATTAGTGAATAATTTGATGAATTTTCACTTTGTGATATCCCAACAGTATCCATTGATTTGTTACCTGTAAACTTTAAGCTTCAGATCGGTTAAAAAAGCACTTAAAAAATGTTATAATAGTCTAACATTGCGTAAATGTGGTAAATGAAAGTTGTTTGTTGCGCGCATCATATTTTTTTTCTTATAATAGGAAATGATAATGTTTGTGAAATGATAATGAAGAGGATGATAAATAATCAGGATATGTAGTATTTATAGGGTTTATTATGCTTAAAAACATCGCTATAAACATGCTTAAAAATATCGCCCCTAGCATGTGGGTCGTGTCATCAGTGCTAAAAATAAAAAATAAAATATTGATATTAGAAAAATGAGATATAGATAGAAGTATGAAACAAGGTTGTAACAAAAATCCTTGTACATGGACACAACCTTCAATTATAACTCTCATAATGAATCCTATAAGAATTTTTTTTTTCTATTTATGTCAATATTTACTTTGACAAATCCTTGAATACTCTGTGACTAGAGTTGGCTTTATCGGGTCATTTACATTTTTAAAATGCCCATGCAATGGCAGAAAAAAAATCTCGGTTCATCATCTTTTGAAACATTACTGGGGAAAAGATCTAAGCGCAAAGGCAGCTGCCAAAGAAATTTTTGTCATAGAAATCAGTTATCCATCGAAATACTGCTGCATTTTGGTCCAGGCATTTCAACAATTAGAATATGAGCCTAGCAGAGGAACCCAAATCAGGTTGCCTATCGGTCATTGATGATGATTTTCCTGAATGTGTGAATCAGGATCCAAATGCAACTACTCATGATTTATCGGCTGTAGTTAGGAGTTCTGATGCCATTATTACAAATAAATAAATTAAACAAATAAGATTAATACAAAAAAATTCATAGGGCTAAGAATAATTAAAGTAAATTGTTTTAATTATAAAAAATAATGGGAATAGAATAGGCAATGTTATAATTGTATATATTTATTTATAAAAATATAATAATTATTAAGTTATTTTTTAATACTTTTTATACACTTACTTATTTTCATTTATTTAATTTTTCCGCTTCATACTATTATGTTTATATCACCTTTATCTCTTTTGACTTTCCATCTTTTTATCTTGTCTTATTTACATACCTCTATATCTCATTTTTCTGATGTAATATCTTAATTTTTAGACTTGATGATGATCCACGTGCTTGGGTAGAAACCTTAACAAGCCTAATAAATCATATGAAGACTGATTATTTGTCATTATCATAACTTTAACAGTTAATTATATATACATCTCTAAATTGTATGTGAAGTAAAGAATTGAGCTTTTACAATTCTGGTTTAATATTTTAAGGCAGAAAAATGTTTCAAACTAATAAAATAAAAAACAATCATGATTAGTCAAGATTAGAATAATTAAAAATTACTATTGATTGAATAATTGATGCTCTACTGTATACTTTTAATAGTATTAAACACAATATTATACTTACTCATATTTACAAAATAATCCGACACACTTTCAGCTGAGCGAGACTTCCCAGATGATGACGTAAACACGATCGGTGGAGATGGAATCGAGGTAGAAAGGGTCGGTATCGGGTTCGTGGGAATGTTATTATTCGATGAATTCTTTTTTAGTGTTTCCATTTCTGCCTTAAATAACAAATCATTGATAGTCTTCTGCATCAATACCTTCTGCATCTGGTCAAGGTTTTTTAATTTATAAGCCCAGACCTTGGCAATGTTCAAATATTCATCTTCTGGTGGTGGTAAATTGCTCCTATTTGAGAGAGAATCACAGGCTACTTGAAGCAGTCTATTCTGTTTGGCCAGCTGACCTTTAATTTTTTTTTTCTTAGCTGGCGGAAAATTTACAGTGGTATACGAGCTTGATGCTGGTTGTATGAAGTTTGAAGTATTTTCCGCTTCATCCTGAGATTCCTGTAACACAAAATCAATTCATTAGTGATTGTTTATTAGTGCTACTATTTATATATTAGATATAAGGATCATCCAGCAAGAAATGTTCGATTGTTTCTCAATAGTAACTTGAATTTATATATATTTACAAAAATTAAGAAACATTTGGTCATTGAGATCAACAATCATACACTGTTATTAGTGTACTATTTATTAATAGTCTACGTTTCGACCTATGTTGTAGGCCTTCCAGGGTTAAAAATAAATAGTTACTATTGATTGGAACAAGTTACAAAAGATTAAAATAAGAGTTGATGTTAAATAGATATAAGATATCGGAAACAAGTTACAGATCTAATTTGGAGGATGAGAAATGACAAACAGTAAATGAAATGAGCATAAACAGTGTAAAATAGAAGGCAATATAAATTTAAATGAATATTAAAGCTGGAAAAAATAATTATAATAATAAATGATAACTAAGCATTAAAATAAAAGTAAGCTAGGAAATGGAGATTGATTTAAAATGTTAGTTAATAGGCCTCAAAAATTAGGTACTTACGGAAAACAGAAAAAACAAGAGAGACTGCATAAGGAATGATGTTGTTTAAGAGGAATTAAAATTGGTGTCAAGGAAGAAAAAAACAAAACTGGTTAGGACAAATGTGCAGACTTCCGGAAGGACAGAAAAATAAAATGGTTCATTGAAGCTGATACAAGGAAAAGTGGGCAAAACCGGAAATGTATACATGCAGTCCCTACTGGGACTTGGAAAAAAGATAGGTAAATCAATTGTTCAAATAAAAAAGTTGGCCATGCAGTGGGACAAATGAAAGCGATAGACAAAGGCTGGGGCTCCAAACTGAAAGGCACTTAAGGATGTAGAGAGAGAAGGTATTATGTGTCAATGTAGTTAATGAAAAGTAACTGGCGTGTCTATTCTATATGTTGGAAACTTTTTTTTTTCAAGAAATGGGAAAAGTATAATCTACAGCACCATGGGCAAGTTCCTAAACTCAGGACTGAGCTCATAGATGACATTTGATACATTTCTAAACAGGGCGAAATAATGGCATCAATGGACACATAGTTGAGTTAACGAATTTGACTCAGGTGCCACATGTCATATTGAGTTTATACTTATATACTACTATCCAATACAAAAACAAAACTAACAACATAATCTTAAATTAATATAAAGTTAGTAGGTTGCCTAATATTTACTAAGTTACTTACTTCATTTTTATCAATCTCGACGATAAGAGGAGCCAAGTTTGTCGAATCACCTAAAAATTGTAAAGCATAAAACACCCATGAAGAAGGCTTATACACATCAACTGTTCCACAACCACTATTCCTTATTGAAGTTCTGATTTTGTTCAATTCCCGCCTGTAGTTGGAACGTAAAGTGTTCAACTTTCTGGTGACATCCTTGATAACAGCTAGAGGCTTAATTTCTCGATAAATGACCAGCAGTTTTTCCAGAGCTGTTTTCTTTTTTAACTTATTCGTATAGCCGGGATGTTCTCGATTCCAAAGCTCCGGTAATGACTCGTAAGTTTCGATGAACCGCTTCAAACATTCGTTACCATCACTAGCACATACAGTTAATTCGACAAAGTTGAGAGCCTCACTAAGAGCAACACTATTCTCCATTGTTTGTTATTCAAGTCTGGCGGTTGACAAGCTAAGCATTTTCTGCTACGGATGAGTACTTCATGAACGAACAGTTCAACCAAAGAAGTCGAAGATATAGAACTTTAATGAATGAGAAAACAAGGATATTGCATACTGACATCATGGAATGTAAAATTAACTGGTAAATATTTTAATGTTAATATTTGAAAGAAAACTCCCTTGTCACTGTACTAGTTCACAAGAGTTCCGCACGGATTACGCCTGGTTCACAATCACTTCGGTCACACTTGTTCCTGGAATCCCGAATGCGTTCGGGTTTATCCGAAAGAGAACGAAAGCGACTCTTGGGCCAGCTACTATTAACTTTCCCGCCATTTAAGTACTTCTACAACCTTAATCAGTTATCAGTAATATAGCAGGAGCATATTTACATTCGAAATTTAGGCTACACATCATGAAACCTGAATCGAACTTGTACATATATTATAGATCTGTAAAAAAGAAATAGTAATAGACAAAAATCTTTAATTATTACATCTCTAAATGCTATTTCACGATATTATTTTTTTTATTGATGATTTTCATTATTCATTATCTTGGAATTATCAGTATATTCATAAATCTTTAATCTGACATTATTATCATAAAATGCGTCCTTTACAACTTAATAGTGGACTCTTATATCTATCTTAGAAATCCAAAAAATCAACGAACAATTTTAAATCCGACAGTATATTCATAAAAAGCTCTGACGACTAGAAAATAGTGTATTCGTATATCTAAGAATTCAAAAAAGTTACATAAACTTGATGCTTAATCTCAAATCAGACAGTATATGCATACAAAGCGCTCCTCCCCCCACTAGTAAATAGTGGATGCTCGTATTATTAGAAATCCAAAAAGTTACATAAACTAAATAGATGATATGAACTAAAAAAGGCTTACTAAAATAAATTATAAATGCAATTATTCCAACTTCTATTGAAAAACTCGAATAACAAATAAAAAGATAATAGATTACTTCAAATTATTTATTATCCAAATAATTAAAAAATCTTTTATATACAGTTATTAAAGATAATATACAGTATATGCGTATTTACAGCCACTACATGTAAGCACGTGTCAATAAAAATGTTATTTCTAAAAGCCTTTTTTTTAACAGGGCTTGAAGTAACGACTCAAACATTATTTTATGTATTTTTCTTTCACAGTGATAACCGCTATAATATAAATTAATAAGTAACTAATTGGTAAATACACAATTTGTTAATAAGGAAGTTCCATGAAGGGAATACGTTGTTTGTTTTTTTTCAAAAATGAATGAAAAGGGGTTGTGGGATGGGGTAATAGCTGACGTCATAAAAGACGACAAGATTCGGCTGTTTTCGGGATTCCATGAACAAGTGTGATCGAAGAGATTGTGAACCACGCGTAATCCGTGGGGAACTCTTGTGAACTAGTACTCTCCACAGTGTAATTTTTAATGGGTCAAATAGACTCAGTAGAAATTGCGAGCTTGGTCATACAAAGATACGGTTTTAGCAGTTGGGAATAGGAACAATACATGCAGAATGATATTAAAGCCATTTGATGTTCAATACATGTGAAGTAGTGAGTAGGAAATGGCCAGGTTTTAAAGGATGATTAGTTTTATCATACCTAGTAGCACGGGCGGATCTACGGGGGGGGGGGGGGCTTTCGGGCTGAAGCCCCCCCCAAAATGGGAAAATAAAACCATGTTTAATCGAAACAAATATAAAAAAATTATCTCTCGAAGAATTATTGTTCGTGTAATTACATTTAAAAGGGCTTTAGGAATCACTTAAACACCATTTCATATAGGTAGTTAGTTTCTCTCTTTTTTCCCAGAATAATTATCGTTATTTTTATGAAAAAAAAAAGCTTTCGGGCTGAAGCCCCCTCCCTAAAATTAAATCCTGGATCCGCTAGTGCCTAGTAGCCCTGGAGCCAGGGCCCAAAAATCGACCTAATTGCAGGCGAAGGTTTGATTGTAAATGACGAAAGTGTGTGTCATTCTGAGTAAAAAGAACCTTGTCTGCCGTTCCAGAGCCGCTGATTTCAAAAATGGTCCCTGATTTAAAGAATATTAGGCCAGTAATTTGAGGATCGAAACAGGAAATACATTGCGTAAAATGTGGGAAAAGTTTTTATATTTTTAACTGGCTTAAGACATGTAAAAAACAAATTTTCTAACGCGGGCCACCAAAAGAAAACTTTTTGTGATAATTTTGTGATTTTTGCGATATTTTTTTTCACCTATAACTCCTAAACGATGCATCAAAGAGAAAAATATACTCTTTGATAAATTAAAGAACGTTAAATTGTGCGTCAAACGAGTACATAAACTGTATAATTTGGTTACGTGGCAAGGTATAAAATAACGGTCGAACAACGCTGATCTTTACCAAATTTGTCAAAAACTGAGAGCATTTTAGGCTTTATTCAAAAAATTAATTTATATAGATAAAGGAGAACTACAACAAACAAACCTCTCCCTTGAAAACAGAGAGTCATTCATATATCATAGGCAGATGATACTATAAAATATTTAGGATGCACGTTCTCGGTAGAGCTAGTGAGTGATATATGAGGAAAAGTTAAAAAAAAATTAACGACAACTTGGATAAACTGATGAGCAAAATACCAATGTTGTTAATCAATATGCGTTCCCAGGACTTACCTACCCTCTCCAGACGGCGCCCCTTACAAAGATACGTCCTGCGTTATTGGAGGGGATTGATGTAAATATCCGCAGGAGTATCAAAGCGATCATAGGGCTCTCCGCTAATACATCATCGGCGATGTTATATGCACAAAGGAGGTATCGAGGATTGGGACTGGTCCGCTGTCAATGAGAGGCTCATTTGCAACATTGGTCCATTGGCCAGCGACCGTCCAGTGTACCGGATGCCCTGCTCCAGTCTATATTTGATTATAACGCCGAAATAGCGGAGAGACTGGTGTTGATCAGGGCTACCGAATCATGAGAGCTCTACGACAGTCGCTGAGAATTTTGAAGAATGGGCCTATTGCAGGTGGCAAGGCTTTGGAGTTAGGCATTTCAAAGAAACTTCGAAATCTAATTAACATATATGCCAGAAGTAAATACTTTCGGGGTCAGAACGGTCCAACGCCTTGAAACTTAACATCAACTATGCACCGTTGAGTGGAGTCCTAGGAGGCAGTGGACAGTCCAAGGAAGTTGCGTCCCTCTGCCGCAAATGCGGCAGAGTCTGAAACACCAGCCCATGTGCTGGGAAAATGCCCCAAGAACTCCCTCCTCAAACTACGCCAGCACCATAGGGTAAAATTAAAATTGATGAGGCTCATTCTCAAAGGGAATTCACATGATTCGACGAGGTCTATTGTATTGATAGAGATGGATCAACAAGGATATAGTTTCTTTCTCCAGGAACGAAAAAGCATTACTGGTCTTGGATCCAACTGTACACAATGACCTGGATCAAGCCAATGAAGTAGAAAGAGAAAAGAAGGAAATCAAGGAGAAATGCATCCCTTTCCTAAAAGAGAAATGCTGTGAGACCTTCAGTGAGAGGCCTCTGGTTTGGGTCTCGCGGAATGATTCCTAAAAGAACAGGGACTTCTTCGAGGAACTAGGTGTTGATGTCGGGGAGCTTGCAGTGTTGGCCAAGGGTATTATTCTGGATGCCCTTGGGATAATTCATCTTCACACATATGGTAATTAGGGGTTGATTATCGTTATTTATTCAATTTTAAATGATTTAAGTGACCATATCTTTTTGTCTATGTTCATAGGATTGTGTTACTTGCTGTGTGTGCATTCTAATTTCGGGTTTTAAAACTTTGACATTCGCATAAGATATTTTTTTCCCCCTATAAATTTGAGAAATTGTCTTGTATCGGTTTTACCGAAATATGAATTTTTACTGTGTTTATTTCCATTGAAGTTCAACCAGTTCGTCTTGCTCTCACTTTCCTCCTTAAATATTGAAGTTGTGTGAACTTCACTCATATTTTTATATTCCAGCTTAATTAATATTAAGAAAAGGTTGGTCTCGTTAACACCGAACATACAAGTTGATTTTTCTTATGGATTTTCTAGTTCCATCCATTTTACGAGTGAAAACATATTTATTAAATATATGTAACTAGTATTAATACAAAAGGTCATATGTAAAAATTTTCACATTTTAAGCTGGGTCTACAGTTCTAGTTAAACCACTTACGCTATCTACATAGATTCATTTTAAAACAAAATTTTTACTTAATTTGACTATGTAGATTTGGCATAGATATGAACAACTTCGACCCACAGTTTGTACTTTTACCATATTATAAAATACATTAGAGGACAATGACTATGCACATAAAAAAATGTTTTACGTACATATTAATTTAAGTAGGTAACAATAGGTCATGTGAGTTAGATATGTCGTTCTTTCATTAGGTATTTACTTAGTCATTATACAGCTCTTTCGTTACACTAGTATCAAGTTTACACAATAACTCAATTTAAAATAAAAAAAGCATTATTTCTTCACCTGTTGATTTCTGTAAAATTGTCAATACCTTTGTACAACTATGGCACTCCACAGATGTGGATCAGTTTTTAAAAGCAGTGGCTTTGTGTTGGATAAATTAAATCAATGGGCACTGTACAATCCAGGACTCACGTAGACTATCTACATCATACTAGATTGTTTTTAAGGCCTTAATAATCTTGACGCCAATAAACCATGGCAACTGTCAAATGCCTTTGAAGATTGCTTTTATTCCAAATAGTTTAAAGCTAAATTAGTCTAAATTGACACTACTCATAATTATACAAATAATCTAGAACTCACTATTATTATTGAAAAGGAAGAATAATAAAAAGTAAATATAGAATAAGAAGTTTATTCATAAAAAATTTAAAAACATTTTATAATAAAAATGAAGTTCTAAGTTAGTCCAGCTGAAAAAAAAGAAAGAAGATTGAATTAATTAAAGAAAATAAAGTACAATATAATATAAATAAAATTCATATAGATTTAATATACTGTGATTTATACAATATACAACAAAATCACTTTTAAATTTTCTAACTATTTCGGATTATAAAATATTTAAAGATTAAAACTCTTAAATAATAAACAGCATACTTTCATAAGATAATCACTAATAATTCTATAACCCATTGAATATATGTGGTGCTAAGAACTAATATTACTGAGCATATCCCACAAAATTTAATTGCATACAGAATTATTTCTAATTCTTTAGTGGAATTTACAGGAAAAAAAAAAATGGTCACAATTTAAATTTCACACTAAACTGAACTCTGTTAAAACATAAAGCTTTAATTAGTGCTGACATTTCAACTCAAACAAGTGGGTCATCATCAGGGTGTCTTTCGAGCACTGATATGTAGAACAGTCGATAAACTTCCTTCAATAATCTGTTGAAACATATATTTCCGTTCACAACAAACCCAAAAAGAAAAATAAATAAGTAGATGCTACTCTGTTATAATTTCAAAAAGCCAAAATATCAGTAATACAAGTATAAAAAAGATTAAAATTAATTTTCATTAAAACTATGATGTGCTAATGCTGAAATAAATGTGAAGGCTCCCCCAAAAAAACAAATATTTATTAGTTAAATTTCAAAATCTTCCAGGAGTTTGATAAAGATTTCATAATAAATTGAAATTGTATTTTAACTAACTTTAACATTAATTAAAACAGCGCACAAAAGAAATGTTTCAGTATATATTTTGTATGTACACACTATTTTATCTAATCTAAGCATGATTGTTGCGTACTAAGATAAGTATATGAGCCTTGAAAATTGATTTCATATTACTAGTTCAATTTTTCCCTCGAAATTATCGTAAAAAATAGAAGAGCAAATTACATTTGAGCAAATAAGGTAATTCTAACAACAGACATTAGATGAAGTAATTAAAGTATTATAAGGTTCTACCATAACAGGAATAAAAAATTTGTTACTAGTTCCAAGTCACTATTTCAAGATTACTGATCTCCATCCCTTCAGCGACTAGTTAAAATGTTTATAAGCAAACATATTGTTATAAACATAACTTCTATGTTTTTGAACAATAATCAAAATCCCCACCCCAATATTCTTTTAGATTATTAAACACCATCAGAAATTAATTAACTTTGATTTAATTGAAACATTGTAAAATCAAAATTAAATTTTAAGTACACATCATATAATTAATGACAAAGAACATAGTTTTATACATTACTGATTAAATTATGAAATTTAAATTATTGTAATTATTAACCAATTTAGATTAAACATTAACTGTAAGACATAGAATATGGAGGAATATGTAAAAAATAAAATTTAATTTTGTTTCCAGCAGTGTTTCAATTTAATAACTATTTTGTAATTACAAGATGGCACTTAATAGTCAGACAAAATACAGAGGACGTAAATTATACTTTTTTCACCATCATGAAAAATGTATCCTTTGTAATTTTTCCTCGGTAAATAAATTCCGGTTCATTCTAAACCAAGATATTTCTATGCAACAACTTTGTCTTTTATATATAAACATAATTTAAATAATCTGATGCTGTAGACATTCATCAGAAAATAGTCCATTTACGGTATAATCAAAGTGATTAAGAAACCAGCACCATACCTTGGTGTAGCGGTTTTAGAATGAGTACCAAAAATAATGTTTCCAATTGCATAGCTTACCTTCTTAAATCCAATTTCATGAGCATACTCCCTAAAGCACTGCCTGCATAAATTGAGCCCATATTTCCTAATAAGGCCGTGTCCATTGGCACAAGCTCGGCTGAAAAATGAATATAATATTAAATATATAATACAATAAAACTTAAACTTAAGATCCTCCCTCTCATTTTAGAATTAAGGTAAAAAAATAATGGTACTAGTTCACAACAGGTCCGCACAATCACTTCGATCACACTTGTTCCTGGAATCCCGAATGCATTCGTGTTTCTCCGAAAGACAACGAAGACGACCGATCTCTTAGGCCAGTTACTATTAACTTTCCCGCCATTTAAGTACTTTAACCTTAACCACGTTAAGTTATATAGCAGGAGCAGATTTACATTCGAAATTTAGGCTACACATCATGAAACCTGATTTGAGCTTGTACATATATTATAGATCTGTAAAAAAGAAATAGTAATACATAAAAATCTTTAATTATTACATCTCTGGCTGCTATTTCACGATATTATTTTTCTTATAGATGATTTCCAATATTCATTATCTTGGAATTATTACATATTCTTCGTCAGTTGTTTCCCAAATACGTCAATTCCTTTCTCGAAAATAAATACTTTTTTTTTATACCATAGCCTACAATAATCCCTTTTTTCGGATTACCAAGAAAAATAACTGCGAATAACAATAATTACACATCACAATTACAAATCAGACAGTATATGCATACAAAGCGCCCCCCTCCACTAGAAAATAGCCCCTCGTATTATTAGAAATCTAAAAAAATACATAAACTAGATAGACGATTGCGCTATTCGAAAAATGGCTTGCTAAAATAAATTATAAATTCAATTATTCCAACTTCTATTGAAAAACTCGAATAACAAAAAAAAAGATAATAGATAACTTAAAATTATTTATTATCCAAATGATAAAAAATCTTTTATGCACAGTTATAAAAGATAATATACAGTATATGCGTATTTACAGCCACTACATGTAAGCACGTGTCAATAAAAATGTTATTACTAAAAGCTTTTTTTTTAATAGGGCTTGAAGAAACTACTCAAACATTATTTTATGTATTTTTTTTCTTTTTCTTTCAAAGTAATAACCGTTATAATAAAAATTAATAATTAACTAATTAGTAAATACACAATTTTTTAATAAGTTCTATAAAGGGAATACTTTGTATTTTTTTCAAAAATGCATGAAAAGGGATTGTATTATGGGGCAATAGTGACGTCATAAAAGACGACAACATTCGGCTGTTTTCGGGATTCCATGAACAAGTGTGATTGTGAACCAGGGGTAATCCATGCAGAACTCTTGTGAACTAGTACCAAAATAATAAATTAAATTATTAATCCTTGATACTATGAGTAGAACAATGTACAGAATGATATTTAGGTTGTTGAATGCCTAAACAACTTGACGATCTCACTATTGGGAACTTTGTTTATTATAACCATTAAATTAATATAAATATATTTAGTTTGTTATGAAAGTAAACAACATTTTAGAAAATTAATTATTAAATAGTTTAATGAATTTTGTTATAATGAAATAAAAAAATAATCAGATCCATAAAACAACCTCGTCCATTTCTGACACTCTTTGAACAAATGTCATCAACATTATATTGACTTTGTGTCATCCAGATAGAACACTCCTGAACAGTATATGAGTTTCTTCATTTTGATGTATGGTTCAAGATCGCATTATCAAAGTAAAAATAAGTATCCAAGAATAACAGATGATGGACTGTTCACCAAATAGCTTCAGAGCAATAAATAATTTAATCAAATTCCCAATACCTAGTTATAACAAATTGTAGCTGAGATCAATGTAAAATTTGAGATATTGCTTAAAGCTTTAATTCCAATTGTTTTAATTAGAATGAGCCAAACCAATGAGACATTAAGTTAAAAAGTTAGGAATATGAACAGTGTTAAAATCTTTAACTTAGGTTAAAATTTTACAATCCTGTAATGGTCACGTCAAAATTAACATATAAGCAAGAAAAATATATAAATAATCGAATATTAAATTGTAAAAGATTTAGAAACAACAAGTCATTAAACCCTAAGCAATCTGGTGAAAAGAAAGGAATACAAACATAAAACCACGTGGCGATAATTTAAACATTTTTAAAAATATAATAAAAACAAATTACCATGATCTGGATCCTTGTCCGAATTTCTTCGGGTGGGAACACCAAATGTTAGCGTGACCCATTTCTTTTAATAAAAATTTCTTAAAAGAAAAGACGAACTTGAACGCACCAGACGAGTGGTCTCAAAACCTTTGAAAGAAGGAACAAGTGCTGTTGCAACGAAGTAATGTTCCCAATCGATACAAGTGAAATATCGATACTTACTTTTCTATTAATAACAACTAATAAAATCTATTATTATTATATACAACATATTTTTTAGATAAACATTATTTTTATTATATGCCGTGATAAATTTCGGACATGCGACTTATTGCTATTCAAAATACAGATTTATTAGTCTTTGCTGTCGTTTTAAGTAGTTCCAAATATAGGAGGGGGGCAAATTTTTTATTAAAAGTAATACTCTTTGGTATACACTTTTCAGCCACGGTGTCCAAATAGATACTACTACATTGTTTTATTTTTTTAAATTTCTCTAAAGTAGTTGTAAAAAATACATGTAATATAAAACAGGTTACTATACTAGACCAGATGGAAATATTAACTACTCTATAATGTAAGAGAAATTAAAAGAAAAAAAATGAATATTTAATAGTTGACTGTTGCATTATAAAGGAAGGAGATGGTCTGGAGTGGCGGTCATAAATAGGCTAAATAGTGGTAAAATTATTTTATTAAAAGCCAACGTTTAGACCAGACTTTGCAGGTCTTGTTCAGAGAAATGTGTTCAGCTAGGAGTTTCACTTAGAACATTAGTTCTATATATATATATATATCAATGGTCAATCATCTCTATATCTTTATTTCTTTTTGTTCAAAAGTAATTAGGTATATATATAGTGATACCTAATTACTTTTGAACAAAAAGAAATATAGATGTAGAGATGGTTGACCGTTGATATAATATGAGAAGGAGTTGATCGGGGGGTGCGGTCAAATTAATACTAAATTAAATAAGTAGAATTATTTAATATTTGCCGATGTTTCGACCCACTTTGTAGGTCTTCATCAGGGCGTAGGATGTAGCACTGCGGGAGGCAGTTGAAACACTGGCAGTGTTAACAACCAAGAACAAAAAAAAAAAAACTAACTACCTTTATGAAATAGTGTTTAAGTGATTCTTGAAACCCTAAGTGGCAAGGTAGAGTGTGAACGAAAAATAAAAGTTTGCCAGCAACTAACATCTAAAAGAGCATGTTTTTCGTATTCATCGTAAGATCTGCAATCACACTAGTCATTTCCATGGATTTTATGCAAGTTTGCAGCCAAAATAACTCTGAGTGCTTTGTTTATCACTTTTTAAATTGTCAGAGTATTGAATTCTAGTGCTTTAATGAGTAGCTCACTTCTATACTGGACATAATATAATGATATATTTATGTGTACTGACCAAGCTACAAGTTAAATGGTGAAGGTGGGACTTGCCCCTACCTTTTTAAGTGGCCACCACCCAGACGGGAAGGCATATATATTCCGTCCGCAGTCAAAGGGTTAATTGGAGTTAATTAAGGAATTCCATGCAGGAAATGCAGTAGCACAAATGATAACAATTTTTAATGGAAGCTACTTTATGAGAAGAAATGTACAACCAATAGATTGAGATCAAATACATAACGGGTGGATGTAAGAATGAGGTCAAGATATAGAAAGGTTTTTCATTTCTCCAGGACTGGAATGAATAGGCACTAAGAAGCTATTGACCAAGGAAAATAGGACAAGCCCTCCAACCTTGCTCAGAATATACTACCTCTTTTTTTTTTTTTTTTTTTAATATTTTATGAATAACTGTATTAATTATGCAATTTCAAACAGCATTGTTGCAACTACAAATTTTCCATTAATAATGTTACTCATTTAATTAGCTGTAAGTAGAACATTTAAAATGTTCTCATTAATTGTTTACACAACTTACATGTTTGATTTCTGTTTGTCCACCACCACTTTTTGACCTTCCTTTGATCAGCAGCCTTCCCAGTAGTTTCCTCAAAGAGAACTGGTGAAATCGTATAATATAAAAATGAGTTTTTAAGAAATCTCTTTTTCCGAGATTTCTTAAAAGATATCTTTTCCTGTCTTCTTCAGCTAATATATCAGCAAATTTCTTTCCCTTAATACTAGGGCTGTTTTTATTTAAAGCCATTTTATACTAATTGTGAAATTTAGTTAAATTAGTTTTAAAAAGTTCACTCCAATTGTTTCAGTGAGTCGTAAATATCTAGGCTGATAACAGCACATTAAAATAGAGTTAAAGAACATTAATTTTCTAGACAAAAAGCAAATTTGGCTTGCAGAACAAACATGCTATTACCCTCAAATAAAAAATCAGACAAACATTGTTTGTATTTTCTTGATATGATCTGGAGATTTTAACATTATTATAGACTAGGAAAAATAATAACAAAGAAAATATGGAATAAGAAGTTTATTCATTAAAAAAAAAGTATAATAAAAAAAATAATAAATTAATAAATAAATAACTAGAAAATTATCTTCTGAATTAGTCCAGCTGAAAAAGAAGAAAAGTAAATTATTAAAATAAATTACTGTGAGATAAAATTGTAAATACATATCTTATAATTGAAGGTGTAAACTTCTAAAATCTCTATATCCATCCAATGAAATTGTTCAAAAAAGAACAAAGGCAAATATGGGATTATAGAGTTTTGGGACAACTTTTGATTTTTTTTTTAAATAAAAAAATCAAAGGGATCAGTTTACACAGTTTAGTATCTTCTTTCTGACAGTAACCACGTGTGAGTAACAATAAACATTGCTGTGTCGATAAACAAAAATATTGAAGTAGAAAGTTTTGTGAATTACACCATCGAGTAAAGTACGTTTTCTAAGAAACATAAATAGTAACGGATTTAAAATTTTCAGATCTTACTTTAAATGTAATTTTGACAAAGCAGAGGAGTGGAGTAGCTCAGTGGTAGGCTCTAAGCTTCCAATGCCAAGATCCTAGACTCGGGAAACCCTCTTTAATGTGGATACCCGTATTTAAATAATTAATTAAAGGGTAAAACCTGATGGTTGAACGTGATCTCGGCCCAATCATCTCCTTGACCAAGAAACAGTGCTATCACTAAATAATACTGCACTCTAGACTCATCATGGGTTATAGTGGTACAGATCATTTTTTTTAAAAGAGAGATTGGTTGGGGTTTTCAGAAAATAAATAAATAAATATATATTTATTTTTTCCAAACGTTTCGGCCTAAAGTTCAGGCCTTCATCAGGGCTGATCACATGAAACATTCCTGGTCCAACACCCTAACCAATCTTCTCTTCAGTTTTTTTTGTTTAATTTTTTTTTTTTTAACAAAGGATACTCAAGGAAAATCAATTTGGCCGAATAGAAATTATTCTAATGAAAACAAAGGTAAAAAATTGCAATAAATTTGAAGATTAATTTTTGAGTTTGTAATGAAAAATGTATAAAAAATCAAAATTTTATGAAATTGATATCTTTGTCCGGCAATCTGATAAAATGAAGATTGGGTTTAGAGTCCCGGTGCGAGCAGCTTTCAACATTGGCAATAACTCTCCACCTATCCCCTGGCCTACCGAAAATCCTGTACAACTAAAAAAGTGAGAAAAAGATCTTCATCAGAGCTTGGTGACAATACGGTAAACTGTCAGTCCTTCACTTCACAAAGTTGAAAGCCTGTGCTGGTTATAAATAGTTAGTTTTACAGAAACAGATCCAGTTGTTCACTTGGTTGCTTTCCTCTCATGTTCAAGAAAACATATTGTACAAATATTTTTCTATTTAAGAAAGATTGATTTAATTGAGGACCTTAATTAACCACGCATATTAAGCACTTTATCATGTCTAAAAATCAAGGCTTCAATATTGCACACCATTTTAAAAAACAATGTGAGATTATTTCTAAGTATGATGGAAACAACAGACAAATGATTAGATGAACTGAACATGAAGAACTTAGAACCATCATGAAAATTTGTTTTTTCATACTCATACGTTAAACGTTCGGTGGGTCCTTCAAACAGCCAATACTGTGGATATCATAGACTTTAACGCCTCCTTTTGTCCTAATTAATTAATGATCAAACATTGACAAACAAGATAGGAAAGGAAAAAAGTTGCTATAAGAAAAAAAAATATTAATCCAAGGTTATAAATAATGTAGTTTTTTTTTTTATTTGTACATAAATAAATTAAAAAATTTATTCTACTTCTTAAATACGGCTGGTCCCCGCAGGAAGTTAGACCATTACCCTCTTAATTAGGGAAGGCATACAAGTTGCAAAATACTTGTAAGAACAGGCTTTTTTTTTTTTTAAGTTTAACTATTATAACATTTTTCTCTAAGTAGGAGGAGAACATAATAACAGAATTTTATAGTATTGGCTTACCTTCTTGAATCCTATTTCATGAGCATACTCCCTAAAGCACTGTCTACACAAGTTGAGCCCATATTTTCTAATGAGACCATGCCCATTAGCACAAGCTCGGCTGAAAAATTAATATACTTTAAAATTAAAATACATAAAAATGAACTTTGGGTTCTAGTCCACATTGATCATAGATTAAATTCTCCTCTCTAAACTCAGCGGTTAGCTAACCGATGGTATCAGATTAATCTCTTAAAGTAACTGGATGATAAACGATACCATCAATGAGCACTGCGCTTAGTTTTGTAAGTTGCTCTACTTCATAACATAATACTGTCACTATATCCATCCAGAAAATTAAATTACATGCTACAACTTTATAACAATACAATATTCACATAACCCTGGTATGGTTAGAATTAAACTTGTTAGTAATGGAAATCAAAATCAAACGAATTACATGACAAATAAATGAATGAAAATAGGTTCAAAATCATGAGTTGAACATCAAATATGACATAACCAAACTTTTGATGTCTAATTTTTTTTTTTATGGATTGAACCAGATTTGAAACTACCCTACTCAAAAAACTTACCAAGACCGCGACCCTTGTCCAAACTTTCGCGGGTGAGACCACCAAATATTAGCGTGTCCCATTTTAAGTAACAATACACACTCTCCTGTTTTTTTATTTTTTAATTTGTAACCTTTCTCTGAAGAAAACAATATGGTAAATGCACTACCAACTGTGTGGATATATTTTTTCTTGAATGCTTATCTGTACTTAATGTTATTATTGATATCAATTTTTTTGATTTTATTAGTTCTATATGAGAGGCTCTTCGGCCATCTGTTGTGACGCAGCCCAAAGTAATTGTGATTTTTTCAACAAGTTGGTTTCGTTTTCACTAAAATGATTTATTATGTCCTGTAGTAAAGAAGAGGAATCCAGACCTGCAGGGGTGCCCAGAAGGAGGAACATTTTTGACATTAACATTAACATTTTTGAGGAAAGCACATTTTGAATTTTTGAGGGGGGGGGATCGAATGGGATAACGCGTGTGCACAGCACCGCGAGTTGTCCAGCAACCAGATTACCGAAGTTATGAGATTAAAAAAAGTACGAGTTTGCTTCCCGGTGATGGAGGGAATCTTAAATTCCCCGCCCTTACCCTCCGGCCCGAGAAAATCCCGTATAGCCTAAATGGCGAGGTAGGAAAGAACAATATATAAAAAAAAAAAATTGCACTCAGCATCGCCATTGCCCGACAAACTGATAAAAATTGAGTCATGAGTTCGCGTCCCGGTGGTGCTGGGGCTGGTCTTTTTAATCCCTGCCAACACTCTCTGACCCAGGAAAACCCCATATAGCCTTTAAGGCGAGGAACAAAAAAAAAAAAAAAAAAAAAAAAAAAAAAAAAAAAAAAAAAAAAAAAAAAAAAAAAAATTAACAACTAATATTCAGGACTGTTTACATGACACAAGCAAATGTTACTGCTGTTTGAATCAGGCCTGAGCAGGTTGAAATTTATTTAGTGGCGTACCCATGGAATGAGGTCCCATGCAATAAATCTCGATTCTCCCACTCTGGTTCAAAAAGGTTTGGTTGTTTCTTTAGAGCAATCCTCCCTTCCCATATGTCAGAAACGGTGAGGTTGGGGATAATAATAAAAAAAAGTAACTGCCAAGTGAAAACTTCATGACAGTATGTCATTAGGTGTTGTGCATGCTGTCACGACAGGTACCATCAAATATCATGAACTGTTGTAGTTTATACTATGCTTTACCTGGTTCTAGAGGTTCAGTAGTATACCTTCCTGACAGAGGTATAATATGTCTTAAATAGAGTGATTAAGATATAAAACTAAAAATGTTTCTATGGCTGCCACCAACTAAATGTTCTATAAATCATAATATTTACTTTTAATAAATACATATGAGGAAATCTACTGACTTCTTAAATTTTTTTCATGAAAATATAAATATTAGGATTAGGAATATTTAACTGGTCACTTATAAATACGGATCAATTAATAATAGAGATCTGGGTAAAAACAAGTTTCAAAATCACATTAGGTGATACATATGTACCTGAAATATCATTGTTAATAACAATATTTTTTTATAAATACAAAGTTTATTTATTTATGCAATCATGTTTATTATAATACACTCCAGGCCATAATAAAAAAAGAAATTAAAGCTTTGCAATAGTTTGTTGTAGTTTTGCTGAAAACACAGTGCTTTAAGCGATAAGATATCAAATCACCTCATTCTTTTACACAATTTGAGATTCATCTCAACTTCTTTGGTAATAAACCCTAAACTTAATTAATATAGACATGCAGCTTATTATTAAACAAGAAACTTTTCCTAAAAATGGGATATCTGTAATGTAGTTGGAGGCACGGGCGGATCTATGGGAGGGGGGCTTTCAGGATGAAGCCCCCTCCCCAAAATGGTAAAATATAACCATGTTTTATGACAAAATATATTAAAAAATTATCTAAAGTATTATTGTTTGTGTAATTACATTTAAAAGGACTTAAGGAATCACTTAAACACCATTTCACATAGATAGTTTATTTATTTTTTCCAAAGTAATTATCGTCATTTTTATGAAAAAAAAAGCTTTCGGGTTGAAGCTCCTCTCCCCAAAATTAAATCCTGGATCCACTGGTGGTTGGAGGATAATGAAAAAAATCGCAAATAAATCATGTTTAAAAAAAAAAAAAAAACAGATCTTAGCTTAGTTTAATTGCTCAAAAGCCCTCTTTAAATGGTTTTAACAATGACAAACTGTACTTTCATTTGAAGTAAATTTTGTATAGTTTACTGTAAAACAGTTAAATCCTAAAATTAAATATTTTTTTATCCTCATGTCTTCTCTTGTAGTTTATTTGTATATTGTAACTTTATTCACTGGTTGTCAGTGAACTTTGACAGTTGTGAATTAAAAAATAAGAAGAAAAAAAAATATATCCAGCATAAAACATGGTACAAAAAAAAAAGGAAAGAAAAAAGCACTAAATTTAAATTTTCTGTGGGGAGATTGGACTACAGTTTATATAAACTTTATTGTAGCTCTTGAGGTCACCTGGATAAATATTTCTCTCTATTTGTGGAACACTCTGTATAAATAATTTATATAAACATAATTATTTTTTTCAGGATAACTAAAAATAACTCTTATTGAAATTTTTTTATATTAGTATATTTGTTTTGTAATGTCATTTATATAATATCAATGTTACCTCTCTCATAAGTTCTCATTTTTTTTATCACTGTAGACACCTCTTCAGGATCAATATCAGTGATCCAATGTTTGTTTTCATTGTTGCATCAGCTGGGTGTCGATATATTTATCACATCAGAAGATAAGTATTAGCAAATCTACCTGTCATTCTAAAAAAAGAACTTTTGGCCCTCTCATATCATATTGATATCAACTATGAAAAATGATTTATCAATGCAAATTATCTATCACCACGCAGTGCGCTAGTTTCATCTCTTGTTTTTCCCCATTTCGACTAATGCTGTATGGGGTATGGTGGACTCTCAGGATAATTCGAAGCTAAACTTAAATGAATTGCTCAATATGCTTTATCTTAGGGATCTCAAGGGATACGCATATTACCCAGTTTTACACCGAGCTGAAATGGCTTTATCCGTCCTACCGCTATCAGTATTTCTTTGCCTCCTTCCTATACCAGGCTATTAGAACTCGGCGACCCTCCTATGTTCTACAGATCCTACAATTCAAATGCTCCTTTCAATCCCATACATTCGATCTCTATCCTCCTCATCGAACTGCTGCGTTTAACAAATCCTTTTTAATTCAAGCTGACTCCCTCTGGAATTCTATCCCCTCTGATATTCAACACTCAAAGTCAATATCCTCTTTCACATCTCTCCTCTTCAAACACCTACTCCATTCCCTATCCGGTTGATTATGAAATGCGCTTAAAAATCTAAGTCGTAAGAATCTCAAAGTCCCCCAGATACTTTGATTATTTATTTTACATTGTCTGTTTACTTTATATTTATGTAAGATTTTATATGTTTTTATTATCTGTACTTTTATTTTATTACTAATCATCCTGTAAATATTTAATTGTATTTTATGGACACACCAGAATCTTAATATATATTCTGTATTTGTAATTTGTTCTAAAGGGACACTAGTCCCAGAATAATAAAATTATTTTCATTCATTCATTCAAATATTGGTATTAACTGTGAAAACATCGAATGCTTCAAAATGAAAAGCAGGTAGCTATAAAAAAAAAAAAATAGATATATTTATTTCAAAATTAGATACAAAAATAGGTTCTCTTTAGTACAGTAAAACAGATACGATATTTTTTTTTACAAATAAAAAAATATAAAATATCCCTTAATAGATCATAAAATTGATCGTTCTATAATACGTGTCTGTTATTGCCAAAATACAAAATTTGGCATTGAGTAATACAATACTGCATTGAAATGCATACAATATAAAATGAACTATTTATAATAAATATTATAAATTGTATTCATTGGTAGTGTGGAAATATTCATTTATACTACCTAAGATCCACTGAACGGCTACGATAACAAATGATTTTAAAAAATATATATAATTTTCTTTGCCAGGAATATTTTTATGAAGAGTTTAACATTTAAAATTGTAAAATGTATTTTACATTATACTTACACACATTATGTTGTGTATTATTTTAATAAATTCAATTGACCTACACCACACAACCTACAATTGGAGGTTACTAATCTCTGGCACTGGCCTTAATCAATAATTCAGAAATGAAAGGATGTAAGCCTAAAGTAATCATCTAAATTACGATCGCCTCAAAAGTATTGAGGTTTACGATATAGAGAGCCGCTAAAATAATTACAGAAACTTTATAACTTGGAGAAGGTAGGTGGTGGGCTCTTAGTGGCAAGAGCCATCGCAGCGTTCATGAAGTCTTCACTCTGAAGCATTACTTGGTTCCAGTCAGCCTGTAAATAAAAAACACAAAATAACGTTATATAATAATGCACAGCAATCATTTTTATAAAATAACTAGCTTTACCCAGCCACACGCTGCTGTGGCTTAGCCTGGCAAAATGAAAAAGAAAGAAAATAGAAAGCACATATGAGTAGATTAGTAACAAAGGACATCTATCATTTTTAAAAAGTTGGGAAACAAATTTGTCTGTAAAATGGCTTCAATTTAAACTAATTCTAATGTTTTTTTTTTCTCATGATTCAAATTGAACCTTCATAATCATCTGAGTGTATATGCCGTCATTCATAATCATCAGAAACTGTCTGAGTTGAACTTGTAAAACTAAATTAAAAAATTAATAAAAAAAAAACGTATAATAGTATTGACCTACATAAGGAGAATCATATAACTTCTTCAAATGATAATTTCAATTACTGTAGTAATTATAAAATTTTCGATTAATCAATAAAAAAAAAACAAAAAAAGCTTGCCGACCTTCCGTAGTGAGGAAACAAAAGGAAACGGCCTTTTCTGAAAAGAAAGCAGTAAATGTTTAAAACTCTATATCTGTGCAACGAACTGTCCGATTTCAATGACATATTTTTTATTTTGTTGGAAAATCAGAAATCTTTCAAATAAATGTGGATATTATAAGTAAAAAATTCTGTACTTTTTTAGTTATCGTCAAATAAAATATTGAATCATCGTAACATTTTTCAGCTTGTTTTCGGGAAATTATGTTATACACATAAATTAAAAGGGTTTCAAGGGGAAGACTTTAGCCAAGTTTCGTTAAAATCGGTAAAGCCGTTTTGGTGCTACAGTTTATAGCGACACATTTTTTTTTGCGGCTTTGAACAGAAAAACATTTAATTTTTATTTTTTTTACATATATGAAATTATCGTAACACAGAAGTACTCTGCCAGAAACCTTCCCAGGAGTGTATGGAACAACTTCCCAAAGTTTCATGGCGATCGGTTGAATGGTTTAGTAATGCATTAAGGACAAACAGACAGACAGACAGACATACATTCATTTATATATATATAGAAGATATGAAAAATACAAAAACTCATGGCGCATTAATTATTTTTGAAAAACCAGACTTGAAGAAAGAAAAAGTGAGCCTGAAGTGTTGTGAAATGTTTTAATTGTAAAGAAATACGAGAATTAAAGAAGTTTAAAATGGTAAAATTATTTTCATGACATTCTTGTAATAATAGATGATGGGAGTGGGGAGGTTCAGTAAGTAAGGCTGACTAAAAGGTTCCAGGTTCGACTCCAGCTGTGGTAGGTAATTATTTATTCTGTTACATCAGCCATGGATTAACCTTGGGATCGGAGACCCTTCTGGGACACATCCGGGCATCTATAAAGTAGGTACTCTAAATTCAATAATTAATCAAAAACTAAAACTAAAAAAGGGGAAAACAGTACTAAATCCAAGGCTCTCTATGGGTTGTAGTGGTACAGATTTTTTTTTTATTATTATTATTATGATAGGTAATAAACATATATATATGGCACAGGTGGATCAACGGGAGTTGGATGAGGAGGAGGGGGAGGAAGGGGAGGAGCTTTCCGTCCAAAGTCCCCTCCCTCCCAAAAAATGGTAAAACATACCTATGTTTTACAAAAAAAAAATTATGTCTTAAAGTATTATTGTTCATGTAATTCCACTTAATAGGATTTGGGATTCTAGCCCATCCCATATCCGTCACTCCAATACCATTTCCACCTTTAAGTCCTGCCTGTTTTGAATTTAAAATCCCCTCTGGCACCAGGACGCGAACTCGTACTTTTTAATCTTCTCAAATTTGTTATCCGGTTGCCAGGCAACTCACGGTGCTATGCACACGCTTTAGCCCATTCGGCCATCCTTATTGATAATACCTATATTTATTTGAATGCTTCTGGAATTTCCTACAAAATAAAAAACAAATCATTATTCTAAAAATTAAACCCTGTCCAAATGTGCTACCTCTCAAAAATTAAAAACTCCGTCAAAAATTTTAAAAGTGCAACTTGCGCCCTGAAACTCTTTTTCGGAACCCCTGATTCCCAGACATTAAACCAGCAGAACTATACTGATGTATTCCTTTCCTGTTCTTAAAAAACAGTGAAAGCGAAAGAAGATTTAGAAAAACATATAAATATATACAATTATAATTGTTGTGGTCTCCTCCATATTTTTACCTTATCCCTGGTTAAAACTGTTTATTTAAAAAATTTAATCCCATTGAAATGTGTTCCCCCTCACAACTTCAAAACCCAGTCAAAAAGTATCCCATTCAAAATTTTTAAGGGAGCAACTTGCTCCCTGAAATCCCCTCCTGGGCACTTCTTACCCCTAGACATTAAAAACCAGCTGAACTATATTGATGTGGACTCTGCTGACTGAACTATCGATTATGCATAAATCTCTGCCCCTGTTCCACGAAATTTTATTGCTCTCCTGCTCTTAAACAACAGTGAAAGAGAAAGAAGATTAAGAAAAAAAAAAAAATATATATACAATTATACTTGTCGAGGTCTCCTCCATATATCCACTTACGAGGAACCTAACAAAGCTGGAAAAATTTTTTGATAGTGAATCAGAATCATCAGACAAAGTCATAAAAATTAACATTGAAAACGGCTGAAGGAGAAAAAAATTAAAACATGATGAAGGGAGGAAATTCGTTATAATTAGGATAGGAGACAAGGTATTAGTATGGTCATTAAGGATTCCTGTTGTTATAAGTGCAAAATTATTACCGATATTTGAAGGGCCTTATGTGGTTATAAACAAATTAGGAAAACATAATTTACTTATTGGAAATGAGAAAAATCAAATTCGGGGAATTTTCCAACACCAATTTATTAAAACTTTAATGAATAAATGGTGGGTTATAGAACATTGTGTTTCACTTTCTTTCTTTTTCCACTCTCAAAGAAAATTATGTGATGCCATACTGTTAAATATGCCTCATTTTATTGTAATTAAACTAGATGCTTTTAAATTATATAAATAGGATTATATTTTGTGATGCGCATTAGACAAAAATTCTGTGAAAAAATTTATGTTTTGTTATAAATTATTAATCAATAAATATGAATGTTACACAGATGAAGAATTAAAATAAAAATTCTTTGTTTTAATGTATGAAGATTTAATGTAATATTGTTCTAAGAATCCAATTTTTTCAAAGAATCCAATCCAAAGAACCGCCTGCGTTGCCAGACCATAGTGAGTGCAAAATATATATAGTGACATTTTGAAAGCACCAAGTGTAGACGCTGACAATTAATTGTGTGGAAATTCATAATCGTTTCATATAAAATTAATGTATAATTTAATGGTATATAAGCTTTGCAAATAAGGAATGTGTATTTAATTGTCACAACTCAACCTGATTAATATTTAAAAGTTTTTATAACAAACTAAAAGTAATTGTTGTATGAAATAAATATAATTTTGTTACGAAACGGTTTCTTTACTTTTCCACATAAAACGTAATCTTACAACACATACACACATATAATAAATTTGTAACTTCTTTTTCTACATTCTTCTGTTATATGGCAAGGTAAGGAACTAAAATCTTTTAATGTTTTCTTTTCATTGTAGTGTCATAAACAAAATTTATAACTTAAAAGTTGTTGTTATATTTTAGACAAATTAAATATATTAGCTTAAATCGTTAATAAAATATTATAATCGGCTACCATTAAATTATATTCAATCTATTAAAAAATAAAGAGTTTTTATTTTAAAATATTCAAATTATATGTCATAGTCAACAAATATATCCATCTCAAAGAAAAAAAAATTTTTTTTTTCTAAAGGGCATTTACTTACAATATGTTGGAGACCTGCTTTAACGCCATAATCTCTTGAATAAAGGATATTTCTTTTGGTCATTTGGACTGCTACCGGACTCTTCTGTGCTAATGACTCAGCTAATTCGATTCCGGATGCAATCATACTGAAAAACAAAACAAAAAAAACATAAAGCAATTGCCAAGCAGAATAGTCTGTGATATAGAACCCTTTTTATCAAATCAATAACATCCGCCTGAAACTTTGTAAATAGCTTCATCTCATCGTAACCTAAAAATATTTTATTTACGAAAAACATTGAGCTGTATCGCATGACCTACTCCCTCAAAATGTTATAATAACAAGGTTATATAGACCACATGGCCCAATATTTTTGTAGGCCACCTTTTTTCTCGATATTGTGATCAAATTATCTTAAGATCCAAGTGGAAAGCAAATGGATATATACGAGTTTTTATTAGTACCTAATTAAATAGACAAACTTTGCCGACCTATAGATTGAAAACCACTCAGTTCCAAGAGGTTTTGTAAATAAAATAGTTGTAGGTTACGATGAGATGAAGCTATTCATGAAATTTCAGACAGATGTTAATAATTTGATAAAAAGGGGTCTGTACCACTGACTAGAAATACTTTAAGTCAAAACAACAATCAATTGACTCATCTCAAGGTAGAGATAAAAAACAAATGTAATTGAGCTGAAGAAAAATTAAATGAAATCAGTCCTAAATTCCATGACATATCATAATTATGGTCAATGATTTATTTTCAATCAACTGTAATTGAACCAAAATTGATTATAAGGGTCAAGTGGAGGAAAATGATAAGTATTTTTTAAATTATAAGAAAATACAGATGACTTGGCACATTCATTAATGCAATTAATCTTCAATTATGAATGTGAATGTGTTAAATGAATGGAAGGAGGAAATATTGAAAATATGTCACTTCACATCTTTAACGATAGCAATAATCCATAATTATACCACTCGAGCCTTCAATTACAAATATAGTTACTTTATTCATTATTTAGAGAGAATGCTGATTATATAAAAATATTTTACATGAATTCTGGGTCTCCAATTTCTTAATTAACTGATAGAAAGCTAATCTTGAGTTTAAAGAAATTTTATAAATTGGAAATAACATTTTTAGCTAATGTTGTTCTACGTTTAACAACTACTTCGTATAAAAGACTATTAGCAATATGTAAAACTGAAATAAACAAGAAGAAGGTGAAAAATAATTTAATCTCAAATTACTTTCTGAGAAACATGTTTACACCTCCAGTTGTACCAATGGCAAAAATATTTATTTTTCATAAAAAAAAAATATTTATAAAATCTACAAGGATGCTATTACAGTTTTATTATATTTTAAACCAGGTAATATTATCAAATTAAATTTAGAAAATTCGAATCTTGGAAATTAAAAGACTAGCACATTTCATGTCTCCTTTTTTTACCAAATAGTTAAAACAATACTATCTACATGTCATCGATGTTTATTGTTTGAATTGAACAAAATTCAAACAATAAACATTGATGACATATAGGTAGTATTGTTTAAACTATTTGGTAAAAAAAGCTATTATTGTTCTCTAACAGGGCTTAAATGGCTAATTTTCAATATTAGCTTCTCCTTATACACCTTAATTTTTTTTTTATTTGAAACAATTGACAATTTCACATTAATCAATATAAAGATAGTTAAATATAAAAGAATTTGATAATTAACTAGAGGAGAAATAAGAGATTGTAACGGATAATAGTTGTAATTGAGGATCAAAGGAATACGAGCGCATTTGAGCTCGTCCAAATGATTAGAACACACTTTCATACATAACATGAGCTTAATATAATAAGGAATCCAACAATATTATGTAAATATACATAAGTGGTTTTCATAAATGCTTATTGTTGGTATTATTTAATATTTAATTGTATAGATTACAGCGATATAAATATTAAAATTTGTATATATAAGGATACTTATACAAAAAAAATACCCACAGTGAAATATAAATCAATATAGTGTTTATAATTTTCACTTTCACTTCTTCTTTTTCTGATGATACTTATTACTGTTAAGAAGAGGGTGGTAAGTGAAAGTTGTGTGATGCGAGCACCGCACCAGATTTTTTATAGATACTATCAAACTATCGATAGTGGAAAAACTAATCCCTAATCAGAGGTATGGCTGGAAAGAGTTCTGTGAGAAACTGCCAAGTCATTAGAATGACTTGGCAATATAATGACTTGTAATTGTATAAGTTGATGACTTGGAGAACTATAATAATTTTGGGAATTCTAATGATTTGGCAGTTTCGCACAGAACTCCATCCTGACCGTACTCCTGAAACATCTCTTTCCTCAATATTATACTATAGTGAACTATAAAGTACTCACTAATGTAATAGTTCCATACCTTTCTTTATCTTTGAAAACTTTGCTAACGAGCCCAGCTTCCAGAGATTCTTTAGCTCCTATTTTCCGCCCAGTCAAACATAATTCATTCACTAAGGAAGCATTGCCTATTATAAGAGGTAGTCTCTGAAGAGCACCAATATCAGCAGCCATGCCTGTTAAATATAGAAATTGTGGATGTAAATATATTGATCTAAATGTATTTATTTATTATTACATGACCTTCAAGATTTATCAGCAAATCCTTTTCTGGTCAGTATACAAACAATGTAGATACACACTTAAACAGATGTGCATCAGCTTAAAATTGCAAATTTCTAATTTTACTTGCCTAATTCAACTTCTTTAACTTGAAAGTAAGTATCCTCAGTACAATATCTTATATCCACAGCAGTTATAAGGTTAGCACCAGCACCGATGCAACCATTATGAACCAAACTTATAACTGGTTTAATACACTAAAAAAAGAGTATGAAAATAAATAAATAAACAATAGATTATATAAATAAGAGTGTATAAACTCCTACTGTTTCAGGAGCAGACATGGCTTCCTGGTATGTAGTTATTTTTTCTCTAAAAATTTTGCATCGCCTAGCAACATCCTCCTGTTCAGCTAGTACTTCTCCCATCTTCATTGCAGCAGTTAGGTCCAAACCTACAACAATTAAAAATCAAAATTGGTACTACTTCCCAAATGTCACTCAAACATGATGGATGAGTATAATATATTCAAGGAATATCCAAAAGAAGCATGTCCTTATCCATTTGTCTTTTGACAGGTTGAGTCAGGGTACATATTCAACACAATTTCATTTTTACGACTAGTGATTTTCATTATCTAAGTGCAATTTCAGATTAGAAATAAATAAATTACCTTATATTACATGGCTAACATCAAATTAAACAATTTTAATATTTTCAACAGGATGGCTACAGGAACTAGATGTTTCTATGCCCTGCAAAAGGCGCTCCGATACAAAAGTCTGTACAGGAATGCAAAATTAGCAATATATAAAATGGTGATTAGACCGGTCATTTTGTATGGCAATGAAACGTGGACTATGACCAAGGAAAACAGGAGAGCCTTGCTGGTCTGGGAGAGAAGAGTCCTAAGGAAGATCTTTGGAGTTGTCAGAGAGCAGCATAGATGGAGAATAAGAAGTGACATCCAGTTAATGGAATTATATGGAGAGCCAGACATCCTCAGTTTTATTATGAAAGGCAGACTCTGATGGCTGGGTCATGTTGAAAGAATGAATCTCAGTATTCTTCCAAAAATGATGCTGAATGGTACTGCAGGAGAAACAGGTAGACCCCGGCACCGACGGTTGGATGATTTGGAGGAAGACTTGAGGAGGCTAGGGATCAGAAATTAGAGGAATCTTGTTATGAACCATGAGGAGTGGAGGAGAGTTGTGGCACAAGGCCAGGTCCTACAAGAACTGTAGCGCCCATTGAAGAAGAAGAATATTTCCAACTAATCATAATCAATATGGCTAGTTAAAGTGGCTATTCTCCTCCTTTTTCCGTTAATACTTCCTCGCATCGTTCTTATATCAATTGATCACTTCTCAGCACTCTTTCTATATCTACTACCTCCTGCAGCTCATTTAAATTACAGAAAACAAGAACCCCTGTTTCTGACCTCTATATAATAGCGATTAAAGTTAGGAATCCAAATACAAGTTAAATAAACATAATAATGCACCAACAAAAATTAATAAATAAAATAATCAAGATTGTAGAAAAAGGTACTACTTTATAAGTGTTGCTCTACTTTGATAAATGGGCCAAGCTTTTACAATCACTCTAAAAATAGAATACCGAGAACAGTGATTGGTCCTTTTCAGTTAATATTGGAGTCTTAATTAGCTTTAATTATATTATTGCTTTGGATTTCCGCTCATTCAAAGGAGATAAATAAACCCCCAATGCCAATGCTTCATCGTAATGGATCTTGAGGCACACATCAAAGTGAAACAATACTTGTTAAGTATTACCTAGAAAAATAAAAATCAAAATTGATCATGTACAATACCATTTCCCCTTAACTTAATTTATTAAAATTAATATGATTTTTCTAAGGTTTTGAAATTTCCGTTTCATTCATATTATCTTTTTCCAATTAATTGAAAAATGAGATAAGTTAAAGATGGCTTCAATATTGTAAGAAATCCAACAGAACAGAGAAAAATAGTAAACTCTCTAATTTAATTCTAGTAACAAACATTTAAATACAGATAAAGAGAAAAGTTCATTTATGAACCTTAAGTTACGTAAATGAGTAGAGGCATTCAGAGTAAACAATTTCCAGAGCAAAGTAATACAAAATGTCTAAAAAATTAATATAAACGTAATGGGTATTCGGTTATACTAAAACAAATATACTACCCCAAAATTTTAGGACATACTATTAACTGAAGTACATTTGCTTCATAAACTTAAAAGAAATTTAAATAGAACAATAAATTTACCAGCTGAGAACATCCTTCCTGCACCAGACAATAATACTACTCTACAGTCTTCATCATTGTGTAGAGCTTTGAAACAATCAGTGAACTCACTAAAATTTCAGTATTATTAAGAAATTTTATATTTAATAATCAATTATAGTTTTATAAAAAAAATAAAATAAACTCTTACATGAACATCTCATGGTTGAAAGAATTCAGTTTTTCTGGTCTGTTTAGTTCAACATGAAATACAAAAGGTTTTGGAGAGGTCAAATTGATGGTCTTGAATTTCATTGTGGCTATGGAACTCTGTTTTCTGACTGATAACAAAACAAATCACATAAATTATTTAAAGCCACCAAACAAACAGAGCTTAAAAAATCATTTCAAACAAAATATTTACTAAATGTTGGCCGCAAAAAGGAAGTTTGTGTCATTCTCAACAGAGAATTAGCAAGCACTTGTTGAGTCATTTTTTGTTTAAAATACAAATATAAATTCGGAGAATTCGACGAAAATGAAGTTATATATAAATATGTTTTTTAAAAAGGACTAATTTAAAAATAAAACAACAGAAAATATAACAAACCGTAGAGTAATAGACTTGGACTCGGACCAAGTGATAAGCTGCTGACTGACGATAATGTACCTGTTATCTGCTTATATACAGCTGATAACGTTCTGATTGACTTGACGTATATTATTACAGCATTGTTTTTATAAATTAAATAGCCTATTTTTTAATTTGTTTATTTGATTTAGTCGATACATTCAAAAGTTTTCATTATATAAGCTTTCTTTCTGCTCGTTAAACGAATAAGATCTCATATTACATTGAGAATCCCCCCCCCCGCAATCAAATTTAACGCACCCATACATTTAAGCTGCTCCTACTCATACCTCAATAATCGTATTATGCACAGGCAGATCTACGGGGGGGGGAGAGAGCTTTCGAGCTGAAGCCCCCCCCCAAAATGGTAAAATATAACTATATTTTACAGAAAACAATTTGATAAACTATCTCTTAAAAGTATTCTTGTTCTTGTAATTACATCTAATAAGACTTCAAGAACCACTTAAACACCATTTCATATAGGTAGTTAATTTCTTTCTTTTTTTTTCCAAATTAGTTATCGTTACATGTATACGAAAAAAAAAATCTTTCGGACTGAAGCCTTCTCCCAAATTATACCCCTGATCCACTAGTATTATGTAAACATAACAATACCTGTGAGTTAAAGAAATGTAAAAAATAAGTTTATATAAGTATTTATACAAGTAAAAACACATATATTCATTTAACTACCGTTTATTATCATAACACAGTAACTTATTTACAATATTAATCAACTGCTAGCAATATTTAATTAAGCCCTTGTATTTTCTTTCACCACTTTATTTAATAGTAGGGTCAGTTTTTTTTTGTTTATGTCAAAAACATAAATAGGATAAAACTATTATTATACACGATAAAGTCTGTTCTTAATAATCGATACCAATTCTTTAACACTATCGATGTATATATATTGCTGGTCCTTTGTTGGATTATGCTATAATATTAAAAATTTAAATTATATTAAAATTACATATCTGGATTTCTGTAAAAAATATTGTGAGTATTTGAACGTTTTTTCTTTATAAACAAATAAAAATTGGATTTTGAACAAGGATACTTACATAAATAATTTTCTTCTTTAAATAATGATCTACAAAATCACACGATTTTATTTTTATTCAAAATAGTTTAGAATTTAAATAAATTCGAGAAAATAAAGTTTTGCCTGTTTTATATTTTTAATAATAATAATATTTTTTTAAATAAAATAGCGCCAAATGGAAGCCTGAAGCAAGTAAGATGAATATGGTGGATGCAGTATGTTGGACCTGAAAAAATGTAACTATTGAAGCCAACATAAGGTATTATGAACAAAACTTATAATATTAAAGTTTGTATTTCGTACATAAATAAGTTATACAAATATTCTTAAGTATAAGATAACATTTATTGAGATAATTTTTAAATGACTAATATGTAGACGTTTTTCTATTTATTGGTTCAAAGTTTCTATTTAAAAGATTCTTTCTGATTGTATTATAATATTATAAATTTGTTTTTCAAAAGTTTGTTGTATCGGTTGGCAATTATTTTTTTCGTTATTATTCGTTGTGATATTTTTTTTTTTTTAAATAGTTCAAAATTGAAAATAATTTGCCAATTAAAACTATTGAATTACAAATTGAACTGGACATTCTGATCGTTATCTACTTTATGACTTAGGAATTGTATGATGTTACACCTTTCTTGGTCGATCAAACATTAATATTAAATACGTAATATAAATTATAATAAAACAGAATTTTGAATTAAAAAATAAAATAAAATAAAAATCATCGAAAAAATTGAAGGCCACCAAGGATCACTCCAAATGGAATGATGGACTGGAGTGATCACGATTCAATGGCTCCATTGGCTGGTGATCCCTCGACTTTATTGTTTAATTTTTTTGGGACATTTAGAGGCCACCAAGCCATTTTTTCACTCATCGATGGAGCAGTGATCAAGTTCCTAAATTCGTCGATAATATCATTGATGAGTATCTTGTTTTATTAGTATCGGAAATCCAGCAACGGATTAGTGCTGAATTTAGGAACTTGCTCTAGTAATTTTACGCTGTTACGACCTCATTTTTAAAATTATTCCCAACTCATAAATACTTTAATTCCAGGAAACTAATAAGAAATATGAAAAAATATATTTGGTAATTATTTAGATAGAACCGCACCAGTCACGCATGGTTCACAATCACTTCGGTCACACTTTTGAAACATCAAAAACGTTCTTTTGGATAAACCAAAATGCATTCGGTACTCCATGAACCAAGTATGACCGGAGTGATTGTGAACCACACGTAATTGTGCGGTCCTCATATAAATAATTACCATATATGGTAATTATTTTGATGACAACATAGGTTACGTGTGGTTCACAATCACTTCGATCACACTTGTTCATGAAACACAGTCTTTTGGATAAACTCGAGTTATAAACTTATGTATTACCAAAGCCTATTGCACAATTTATAAATTTAAATTTTTTCATTTATCCTTATTATGGTTTAAGCATTACAATTAATAAAGTCAGGAAGTTAGAATAAGAAAGTAGCTAATTTGACTAATTTGACCCAGTGGTACTCTCCACCATTTTTGATTTTAAAAGTACCTTTTTCCATGAAGCAATGATTTGGTCTGCTTAGTTTTCTCAGTTATGGTATTATTTATTCATATTATTTATGGTTGATAGAATGAATTGTTTATTGTTATTATTATGTATATGTATTTTAATGATTATCTAGTTTTTATGAAAACAATTCTTCTTAATGTTAGTGTGAAATCTTATAAATTTGATTTTTCAGTTTTTTACTATATTTTTTTTAACAGTTAATAATCATTTGCTTTATGATACAATGCAGATTATACAAATTAGATCTGTAATGTAAAAATTGAACTAATTTTTACTGTTTATTTTTATTTATCTAATTATTACTGTTTCTGATTTTATAATTTAAATTTTAACATTGCTTAAAATTTTACAAGAGCTTAAAAAACTGATTAATTTAGTTTATAATAACATCCTACTTACAATTTATCGTACATTTCAACCTCAAAAAGTTTTGGAAACATATAAATGATTATTAATTGTGGGTTTATGGTTGACTGTAGCGAATAATTGAAGAGGATGGTTGAGTTGTTTAGTCAAATAGAAATGGTAAAAAATAAATAAATAATTAATAATTTTATTTATTATTACATTCGCCGACGTTTCGGTCCAAAGTTCAGGCCTTCATCAGGGTTGCTGTACAAGAAGTAAAGTCAGACAAGCTTATACAGCAACCCTGATGAAGGCCTGAACTTCTGGCCGAAACGTCGGCGAATGTAAAAATAAATAAAATTATTTATTTTTTAAAATTTCAATTTGACTAAACACTCCAAACATCCTTCTCTTCAATAAATGATTATTATTTCATCAGGTTGAAGAAATTAATCCAATTTGCTTGCTAACGCCTTTTAATCAAAAACTGAGTTAGGCATTGCAGTTTAAATGAAGATATAGAAATACGAATCAGATCATAAATCATTCTATATAGATTAAAAATTAAAATTATTGAATTTAATTTGAAATAATTGAGAATTTTGGAATTAAAAGGATGAAAAACAGAAGAATAAGCAAAAATATTAACACCTACATATTACTTCTAATCTCCAGACCCAGGTTCAAATCTTTGCCTATGGCAGATAAATTATTTATTCTGTTTCATCCTCCTTGAATCAACCCTGGGGTCAGGAGACCCTTATGAGGCACACCCAGCCTCTCTATAAAGTGGGTACCCTTAATTAAATAATTGATTAAGGGAAAAAACTTGGTGGTTAAGTGTGATCTTGGTCAAATCACCTCCTTCACAATCCTTGACCAAGAAACAGTACCTCCACCACCGTAAACAGTACTATACTGAGCTCAAGCCCTTTAAGGGTTGTAGTGGTACTGTTTTTTTTTGTTAGTTTTTCATTATTATTAGAATAATACCTTTTTTTTTTTAAACTATTTATTCAAGATATTTACAACTGTATTACAATATAAATACATCAAGTAAATGTGTACACAAGAATATAATCACTTGAAAACGCTTGTTGGGAAACTAGCCACAGGTAGCACTCTAATAATATGTCTACATAAGGAGATCACGAGGCCATCTTCTTTTCAGACGCCTTGGGAGGGGGGGGGGAATAATAAAATTAAGTTCTGGAATGCAGAACTTGCAAGTGCATCTTGTAAGACATAATTCACAGTCTCTATTATAGGTAGCAGCACTAGTGCTAGGTCCTGATGCACTGGGTTCTACTAGCCTGAAATGAAAAAAAGTATTTCTCCTCTATTATCAATTAGGCTATTTCAACATAATACTCAAGCAACTTGTAATTCTACAATGTACAAGCTTTATTGCTGAATGGTCTGGTAGCTTCATATGAAAATATGATAGTTCAGCCTGGCATTTAGGCATTTCATGATATGGAATTTCACTTTGGTTCATTACTATTTCAAACCAGCAAGCAATGCTAAATAAAGACATTTTGATCTAATCTATGTTTCGGACTACGCAAAATAAAAAAAGGTATTGGGAATCTCATTAGACATGATGAGGACTCTTGTATGAAGAGAAATGATCCTCGAGGTTAAGGCCTAGATATAATAACAAGAGCATCCTCAACTAATAAGTAAAAAATGAAAGTAGTGCCAGCTACGATCAGTACATGAATGTTCATGGTTCTAGTTGTAACTTGTGTTTGTTTATCCCACAGGTTGTTACAAAGTATTTAAACTGCCTTGTTAATTCTAGAAAATAATTAATTTATTGATGGAAAAATCCAAATTATAAAGCCACGAGTCTCTAACAAACGAATGAACGTTAACTTGCCTATGTTTTGCGAATTCTGGCACCATCAGGGCAGAAAAAATAAGGTCACAGATTTGCAAAAATCAAAGTAAAAAAAAAGAAGGAAAATAAATAAAAACCTCTCACTAAGCTATCCAAATACATACTCTATATATATTTGGATGACTTAAGCGATAGGCCAATAACAAAATTTTTTTTTTTTTTCTTTTCCTTTTCTTTCTGTATATCTGTGATCTTGTTTTATTCTGTCCTAATGATGCCTGAATTGGAGAAATAATTAATGGTTAACTGTTCACTTGCATGTTAGAGAGACTCATGGCTTTATAATTTGGATTTTTCCATTTATAACG